GAAAGTGGAAATGCCCTGTGCTAGTATGATTCATTGCTGAGGATTTCAAATAGACGTAATTGGTGTGTTGTCCCCACCCTTCCACAGTCTAGAATAGTATGAATAATTTTCTTTAGCTTTACTGAAATAGTTTGAGCGGAAGTAGTGTGTATTCCTGTAACGTTGTGAAGTCCTGGTGGTATCCTCCCAAGTAGTGCTGATAATATATGGATGGAACTTTTGAAAGAATTTTCAAATGGCTTTAGTATGACTAGACAAACATTCTGTAACCTTAGCAACCAATTCTAACCATAAGTATTTTTTCTTTCTGCTTTCTGTTGCCACAGCACAATGTTTTGATAAATGGCTAAATACTTATATATTTTAATGCAAACAAACATTTTGTCATCCTAAAAAAACAACCTAGTATATCTAAAAATAGCTATTCTGTAATTCTTATAAAAACAATGCCTTAAATAGTTATTTTAAAAGTTGGGTTCATTTTTCTCTATTCAAGCCTAGGAATAGTTGGAGTCTAAAATCTAATAAAGCAAAAACTGATATTTCCAGTTTTAATCTTTGAAAATGAGACTTCCTGTCTCCTAAATGGGTAGAGGCTATCTGTGTGGGTGATCACACAGCCCTTTCCTGATTGTGGAGAGCAAAGTATTGAAATTGGTAGTCTCTATGTTGGCATGCATATGTTTTGTTTTTTTTAAAAAGAGTCGCTTCAGAAAATAGTAGATGGGTCTAAAATACTTTATTTTCCTAATTGGTAGGCTGCCTCCATGCCTCCTTTTATAGTTAGAAATATGTAGATATTATATTGTACTTGCTGCATATATCCAGGACACTACTTTTCTGTCTGTCTCATTCTAAAGAGCTGAGGGGACAAACTGCGGTTGTCATACTTGGAGTTATCCTTTATTAGGCTGTATATGAGAATGTAGCAGTTTTTTCAATCTTCCCTGAGGTGAAAATCCTGGAGATGTGTAGAGTACTGTTCTGCTAGCTTGAATGTTCATTGTGGCTCTGTTCATGGCTAAGCTCTTTGGCACTTAATTCTCTTGCTATATGAAATTTCATGCATATTGAGGAGTTGCTGGATATACAGTCATGCAGTTATATGCCCAAATCTTCACATCAGTGGATCTTTGGTGTTTACTGGTTGGCTCTGCCTCTTAACCTATAATGTAAATTTCATTTGATCCTCTGAGCTGTTCTGGAGTTCTACGTGTTAGCAGCCAGATGATGAACCTGCACTGCTTCTGGAACATCCTTTAGGTGGTGTGTGTGTGTGTTTGTTAGTCAGTCTTATGCATTCCTTCTGCTGCTCCTAGAAGGCAAAAGCTTCCTCACTAGTTGAGATTACAGTGGTTATGTTTTTGTAATATTTTTGTTTTGTAATACTTGTGCAACGTTATGTTGCTTATGTGTTCAACAAACCCAATGTGATGTTCATATTTTGATATCACAGACACAAGGTTGAATGAGCTTGAAGGGGCATTTCAAAATTGCTTAACTTGGCAAATTATACTTGAAGAATTTTAAACTGTCTTAATTGCAAAAAATGAAGAAAATGAGAACTCCCACATGACTAATTTTCTTCCACGATATTGCTTTCATCTAGGAAAACGTTTGTAGCCCAAGTATATGTTGTACAAGTAATGTATAAACTATGGCTGTGTTCAAATAATACAACAGGCTGTGAGTTTGTTTTTTTTTTTCTTATCATTGTTGGTCTCTCATGTGGTCTGAACCCAGTCGTGGTATTTCACCATGGTAAGTTTAGTCTTTAGAAACCATGAAAAGAAACAATGGCTTGCTCTGTGATTTTTTCTTTACCACAATGGTTTGTTGTGTTGTCTGTACTCAGAATCATGGTTCCCATAGTCCTAATATGCAGTTACCATAGAGTCCTTTGGAAAGAATGGCAACTGCTGGAGCAACTCCAGCCATTCAGTGTCTCTGTATGGCACAGTGAGGAAGAGGAAGGCCACCTAGGAAGTGAGTAATGCTCCTTGGGATTGAATTTCAGGCACAGTGGCAGATGGGATACATTCCAACAGTGGGAAGACTGAGTGGGGCGGTTGGAAATCATATTAAAACAGAAATCACTTAAACATCTGACAGGTAGATTATGGTAAAAACTGTGAACCATGTTAACCACACAGGGTGTCATGTGTTGCGTGAACACAGCCTATGTTTTTCATGGAAAGTCATCACTGTAGCTACTTACCTTATCCTCAGGGAGCCATGTGGCTAATAGGGTGATCTAGAAATCCAGTCAATCAGTCAATCAATAATACTATTTACTAGGCATGCTTTACTAAACTTTTGATTGGTAGAAAGTTGTTGGCACTTGTTCACATTCCAAACTTTTGTAGAGCATTTCATCTTTAAAATAACATTAAAATTTGTTGATGACATTTACTCTGGGGAAACATACTTTTATTTTAATAATAATTCCACAACTCACGACTTTCCAAAAGTCAAGTAGGGTCACTAACATTGAAAGGCACAGTATTTTCTCATTTTATTGGTTATGGATAATATCAGTTTTCAGTAAATACTTATTTTTATGTAAGTTTACTAAAAATGCATACAATTTAATTTCAGAAATACCACAGGATGAGGGGCAAGTGGCACATCACATGTTAACACAAGTAACAGCACTAACAATTTTAATGAGTCTTTGAAAATCTGCTTTGGCTGAAAGCCACACTTACTAATTCTCCATCTTTTGTTTCAGGGCTTCAGACAGCAACTGAAGGGGGCTTCCCTCTGTATCTTCCATAGTTTTGAATGTGGTTGCTTTTACAGACATGTTTTAAATGCTGTGTAGAGGAGTAGAGACTCCTTAAAAGGGGTGATTTGGAGAGGAGAAATAAAAGGGAACACATGATATTGTATTCCCTTCCTACGTCTCTGCTTCAAATTCCTCTTCCCAACATGGATTTTAATTTCTTAAGGCAAAATTGAACCCATGAAACACTGCTGCTGTTTATGTGTTACAAGTAATAAGTATTTATTACTACGTTTTTACTTAAAACGTATTTCCTCTAATTCATGCAACTAGAGAAATAAAACAGGTCCCCAGACTTTTGGATTCATAGACACATAATAGAATGTTGCAGCTGAACCTTTATGTTCAGAAGCAATTATTCTTGCAGTCAGTTCTTCTAATAGTGAATTCTTATAATTGACTACCTTTCACTTTGGAAGTGAAGGGGGCCCACCCTAAAATAAAGTCGTGGGTTCTACATTTTGGGGAGTGGGTGGAACATCATTTGTACAGAATAGGGATAGTAGTTGATCTTTATGTGCAAGTGTTGAGAGCATTTTTAAAAATACAGTTACTCAGAAGAAAGTTCCAGATCAAATGGCAGACACTCTATGTAGATCTAGTTATCAAATCCCAGGTTGAGGGGAAATTTGAAATACAAAATCTTCAGACATCTGTAGCCTGTAAAATTAGTAGCAGAGGACATGAATGGAGTACTTGCTGAAGCTATTGATTACTGCCCAATTCCTAGTTGTTTTAATAGCAACACGCAGCTCTCTTTCTAGGCTATCTTTGAATGGAATGAATTTTCATAGTAGGTGGGATATACTGCCTCTTAGTTTTAGGTGTGATTTGTATATCTCTTACTGAGGACATACTCTGAGTACTATTTGGGAAAGGCTTGTTGTGATTTCACCTCTGTATGATTTAGTTTTTGAACTATACCAGTACTGTTTTTATGTTTTCTCCTTTGGATTTCTTGATGGAGTATAATATTTTTGGAATAATGTTTCACAACTTCTGGGCAGAAACTGTTGAACAGTGTTCTTTCCAGAAGGAATGTTATCCTTAGTTTCTTCTCTTAATATAAAGAAATATGGGATTGTTCAGACTTACTTCTTTGCCTTGAAAATTGGACAGAAATACTATTTCATTTTCTTTCGGAAATGGAAATGCATACAATATAAAACTGATGTTTTCTTGTTAAGGAAGTAAAGTATGGAAGTAAGCTTTTCAAAAAGAATGATGTGACTTCAATAAGGGATATCCATGACCTTTATAGCCTACTTGTGAGAGTATAAAATGGCCACTATTAACAACTGAATGATGAAGAAATGGATGTGACTGTGGAAACTGGCCACTTTTGGCAGCTGAATGATAAACTAGATGAATATAGATTACCTGATTGTCCTGTTCAGCTGGAAGAGGAGAAAAGGCTCCTCCTGCTCCTCCTCCTCCTCCAGTGGGGTCTTTTTGGGTCCTACAGTGTAGTGGACTAGTATTTCAGAATCCTGACAAAAGTTTGTCATTTCGGGCAAAATCCTAAGTACTTTTAGAGAAAAAAGGCCAGTAACTTAAAACATGCCCCAACTGAAGCATACTGGATGTTGTAGGCCTGTTTTTTATCTACACATGCATATGATTGTACATTGTGTCCTTGCTGTGTGTAGTTTTTACACCTGGGGCAAGGAAGGAGGTATGTCATGCATTGGCAGCAATACATTGCAGTTCTTGCATGCATGTTATATTTCCAAGGTTTGTTTAATGGTTGTCTATGTATATTTTTCTGTGTGGAAAAAATAGTATACCATACATTATAGCTAACTTTATTCCATTTAGACAATCCTGTCCAATGTGTAAGATCCTAATCAAGTAACCATGACTAGGTTCAAGTTTAGTCAAATAAAATTGAGCCTTAAATGCATTTTGAAGTCAGACTCTCCCTTTTCCAAAATCCAAGTAATACTATACATCAACAGTTTCTCCCTTTTATATTTGTCTTATATGATGCTTCCTTGTCAATATGGTCTTTGTCCTGACTTCATTCTTTGTGACTAAATGCTGCAGGTTGAAAATGCCCCTTTAAATAGTCTTATTCTTGAAGCAGAAGTGATACCAGTAAACAGAGAGATTTTGCACAGTAGATTGTGAAGTATAAATAATTTAGTTACATTTACAAATGCCTTAATGCTAGAATTAGCCATTGCTATTAACATCTTAATTTCTTTTCTATTAGTGTTCTCGTCTTCCAGCTTCTGGATGGTATGAATGCAACCTTACTTGCTTCTAGAACCACAAGACTGAATCCAGAGAAGCAATGAGTGCATGTTGTAGTGGTAATGTTGATGGCTCTTTTGTGTTGTTTGGTGACACCTTATGACACACTGGTCTAAAGAGGCCCTAACTTTGGGGTCACAGTTTTCTTGATGGCCATGGGGAGCTGCTCTAAGAAGAGTGGAGTTGGTACTGTGTGTGAATGATAGCAAATCATACTTTCTCTGTCTCAGCCATGCTCAAGAAGCCTACAGTATGTTACTCAAAGATTGTGTATGTTACATTTTATTTACTTTGGCATCTACTTAACCAATTAGAACCTGTTTGAACCAGCTGTGACCTTCTTGGTGTTCTGGGTTAACAAGGTCTATTGTAGAGCATCTCCCAGAAAATAGTGAAATTGGGAGGAAGGATTGATGAATCACAAAGGACCAAAGGAGCTAGTGGTTTCAGAAACAGGACTTTGGAAAATGTGGATAAAAGAGTCAAAAGCCTGAGGGAAAATTAATGGAAGAGAGAGTTTGAAGCTGAGGAAGGCACTAAGGAAGAAATTTGCCCAAACTTAGGGAATGTAGAGATATTTTTTCATATCATGTGACAGTTATAATTTGCTATCATTAGCTGTATGACATAAGGAGAACTTTTTCTTTTTTTCCCTAACATATAGCACTCTGAGTCCATATGTTATCTTCAACGTGGCATATGAGTGTAGTCTGCAATTTGCTAATTATACTTTTACATGGGTGGGCAAATGCAGCAAGTCAGTTAAATTTCCAGGTAATGCTGTGCTGTATGATACTAAATTTCTTTTAGCATATCCATTTCAGACAAGTTCATGAAATCATAGAATAGTAGAGTTGGAAGGGGCCAGGAAGGCCATCAGGACCAGCCCCCTGTTGTTCCACGTTACCAGTTTATACCATCCTGCTCAGAACCTTATGAACATAAGGTTTATGCACATCATTTTTAATGATAATATTGGAATGCAAATCACAAATCTCTGAATGTATTTAGTGAAAGCAATATAAGACCTTTTTGTGGACATACTTTTAAGTCTTAGGAAAACAAGATAGGAAAAAGGATGTAAATTGAAAAACAAATAAATAAACAAATAAATTACAAATTTCTTACTTTACAGTTAATTTTCCTAGTCCTTATAAAGTTAGTCAAGTTAATCATTACATGACAATAGTCTGTTGCTCAGATGTTTGCATTAGTAATGTTCAAGACTAGGCATGGAGTAATCCTTTTTTAATATTTAAAGAATTTGTGACTTAGAAGGCTTTATCCTGCATTACTGGAAGTTACTGTACTAATTTAAATTTTAAAACCACTTTTTAAAAAGAAAGCATTAACTGAAAATAGTTTGTGATATGCCTTAAAAGTTAATGGAAAGAAACCACATCTGTCACTTGTTTGTCAATTTCTTTAATAGAATTCTCTTTATGTTGGAAACCTCTGAGTGTTCAGGAGATGAGAGAAGGACATCATCATCATCATCATCATCTCCAGCCTGTTCCCAATTATTAGAACTCAAGACAGCTCACAACCTTAAAGAAAGAGAGAAACTAATCCAGTAAAAACTCACAGGGCATTCCCAAATGCTTGCTGGAATAAAAAAGGATTTTGTCTGCTTATGGAAACCTAATAGAGAAGGCGCCAACCTCATCTCCCTTGGAAGGGTATTCCAGAGCCTCGGAGCAGCCACTGAGAAGGCCCTCTCCCACATTTCCACCAAGCATGCCTGTGGGGGTGGGACCAAGAGAAGGACCTACCTAGAATATCTTAGAGCCCGCACAGACTTATATTGGAGAATATGGTCTTTAAGATAGCCTGGACCAAAGCTATACAGGGCTTTTTAGGTCATCACCAACATTTGGAATTGTGCTTGGAGATAGAACGGGAGCTGAGGAGTTGTATGCTCTCTGTGGCCAACCCCAATCAGCAGCCTGGCAGCAGTTCAGTGAACCAGATGAAGTCCTCAAACACTTTTCAGAGGCATCCCCACATAGAGTGTTGTACAGTAATGCAAATGAGCTATCACTGAGGCATATATCATGGTGGCCAAATCAGACAGTTCAAGAAACAAGCATGGCTCTTGCACTAGTTTTGACTGTGCAAATGCACTTCTGACCACTGCTGAGATCTGGGCATCCAGACTTGGGCTTGAATCCAAAAGTATATCCAAACTGAGTCTTCATGGGGAGTGTAACCCCCATCCAGCAGAGGTTGAATCCCTATCCCCTGGTGCACCTTCTGACTGACCAGAAGCACCTCTGTCTTGTTTGGATTAAGCTTCTATTGGTTTGCCTTCATTACTGCCAGCACTAGTGTTAGAATAGCCTTTCCCAACCTGTTTTAGACTTCAGCTTCCACCAGACTAAGCCAGCATAGTCAGTGACGGAGTTCATAAGAGTTGTAGTTTAAAACATCTGGAAGGCACCATATTGGAGAAAGCTTTGCTGAGCTTGTATTGGCTTGAAAATTACTGAACATAGAAAGTAAACCTGTATTAGAATTGCTTGTGAGCACCTTTTGATATGCAGCTCTTTACTTTTTTGGAGCAAAAGGTATAGCTCTTGCTCCTTCATCTTTATTTTTCCTGCAAGTATTTGTTTTATTTATAGTCTACCTTCCTTTCAAGGAGTTCAAGGCAGCATGCATGATCTTCCATTTCATGTTATCCTCAGAACAATCGTGTAAGGTAGATTTTGCTGAGAAATAGTCACTAGATAAGGTCACCATGGAAACTTCATGGATGAATAGGAATTTAGACCCAGATTTTACCTCCAACTGTGTAGGTATTACACTGTATGGGTCCAGAGTAGGACCTCCCTTCCAGTACTCAACAGATCTTAATTACTCCTTCCAGTTGTAAACAGCTGCTGCCCAATCCTGTGCATGCTGATCAAGTAGTAAATCTCAGTAGGTCTTCTGGACATAACATTCCTTGCTTAATAAATCACATATGTTAAGGCAGGAACAAATATTGGGCCCATACCCTCCTCTTTTGCCCTTTGTATTTAAACCAGTGTTTGCTGTCATGTCCAAAATGGCCTTTCTGGATTAATGTTGGAATGCTAAGGAGGATTCCAAACCACAGTTTGATCTTAACCACAATTTGATCTTGAACCACAGTTTGGTTTAAGATCCTAGTAAGTGAAATGACATCGAGCTAGATTCTCCATTTCCAACATAATGGAGACCTTTGATTAAAATAGATCAGGACTGGCCAATTAAGAGAAGAATTGAGGTGAGAGGCAAGTATAGGCCATGATGAGTACTGCAAACTTTAACAATTATGCATCTACACTGAGCAACTTTGTTCAGGGCAACTTACGTCTTCCCAAGTTAGTATGTGTAAGATTGCAGGTGTAAGATATCTGATGCTTAGTCTTGAAGGCCCTTACTTTAGCAAAGTTTTTGTTGCAATGAGTAGGATTAATTTGCAGGGAAATCTGAGGGTTAGATTGTCATGTGGTTTTTAACTTTAAATTTTCATAATCTGTAAGATCAGGATATCTGAATCATGTAGGGTTTTTCTATACAGCTGATTTTTCTTTCATCTGAATCATGCTTTGAAATAGTATATTTTAAAGCATAGAATTAAAAAATATTAGGTTGGTAAGAATGTACTGACAGCAAAAATAGCACCTATCAAATAAGCTATTTATACCTAAGGAAGTTGCTAAGATACTTGAGATCTTTTCTCACTGTCATTTAGGTTTTGTGCCTTGACATTCTGATAACTTTGTTTTAACTTAACTTTAATAAGGCTTGAATACTTGTTTGATTTGAATACTTGTGTGGCTGTACAATTAAACTGAAATTGAGAACTTAAAGCATGATAATGATATGAATAGAAACCACTTTTTATTTAGTATTTCCAATGCTTTATGCACATGATTCATTTTATATAATACACCCACAGATCACTGCTGCCACTCAGCAGATTGAAATGAAAGCTGTACATTCATTTTATGGAGGACTTTCATCTACAACAGTACATTTTTGTTAATATTTGTCAGAATCCTAAATTTTTGTATGTACTTATTCCTCATAGCAACACAATGTCTCTGGTAAGTAACTATTAGTTGGTTATAATTGTCTCTTTAAATGCATTTAATCCCTGGTCTAGAAAGACTTCCACCAGAAAGACTCCATGCTTGTAGAGGGTTAACAGAGACTATTCTGAGAATACAGTAACATATGAAAATGGTTAAGGGTTTGGAATTGTTTATTTTCCTACATTGTTAGTCACCAGTGCCAGTGTACTAGTTTCCTTGTGGCTTTTAGTGGAAAATGTTAAAGGCTGAACTGAATTTTTATGTTTGAACTGAATTAGTCACACAGAACTGGCAAGGATATTCTGTAAGGGCTGCCCAAAAGCTGCTTCCCTCCCCCTCCCCCTCCACAGGAAGTTGCATCCAGAGCAGTAGCTCAGTTCTTTGGTAAGTGTAACATGTGAGCATTACTAGGCATTTCATCCTGCGGGTCTGCAGTCTGTGCTGTTTAGACTATTGCTCAGCTGGAATACTGCTGTGGGTATTTTGTATCCTGTTGATTTGTTCTCTAATTACCTTTTTAAGGTACTAGTTTTTTTTTGTACCGTTTGCAGTACTATCTGCTGTATCAAACATTTTAAATAATTGACAAGATTTGGATAAGCAGAGCATAACCCGAAGAACCACCAGGCTGGCACAGACACAAATCTTCAAATAAAGAAGTTGGCTGAAAGATGATGCATGGAACCTGATTTTCTCTCTCTCTCTCACCTCCCTCCCTTTTTTACATCCGTCTGAATGAGGTCTATAATGGGAGCGTTATTCACACAGTGATCAAAAGAAGCACTCGAGTGATGAACTACTTCTGGGAGAAAAGTCTAAAGCAATAATTCAAGTGCTTCTGCTATGGTGTTTTGCTGAAGCATTTGTTGTTACTAGCGTTTATGGCTTGTGTGTTCCCTGTTGGAGCAGCTAGAGCAACGGCCTGATGGTGGAAAACAAATGTTCTGCGTTGCTTTTCTGACTGACGGAGTAAAGCACTCTTTGTTGATGTCTGTTGGGGAATCTGGATCGAACAAGCAATATTATTATTTGAGTCTCATTGTCCTTTGTTGTCTGACTCATCACATGTAAATGTACTGCAGCTTAGCTGTACATTGCAGGGATTTTTACATGGAGAAGAAATGTCAACCCTTGGAGCTCTAGTTCTGAATAGCTGCTGAGAACAGATTGCTTTTTCTATGGTGGATTTTTGACATTAAGGCAAATAAAATCATTAGCTGCAAAATTTTTATGGCCTGGAATGCTTGGGACAGTTATGTGTGCCATTTTCGGAAGAAATTGTGCTACTGTTAACTGGAGGCTGACCTTGCTGAAGTGGAGAGAGCTGTGATCATCTCTGCCAGAGCAATTGTCTCTTGTTTCATTCTGTACAGAATGGTGTTACATTGTCTATAACAATGATTTTGCTGCTTAGATAATTCTACTTTGTAGAAATTAAGCAAAGGCAACTGGGTCAATACGTGCAATATCTATACATGCACTGTAATTTCTATTTTAGTATTGATGGAACAGAGAATATTTTAGTGAGTTAGTGCCATGAAGTAATAGCAGGACTATTTTATGCATTCTCTTGGGAAAACTTAATTAGTTGAATACCTCAGGTTACTAATTTGATGAATAAGACATAATTTTGTTATGTCAGTTAAAGATTTCCGAAAACAGCAGTAGTATTTGCAAATTATGTTTAAGAGGAAAAGAACTTTCTGTGCTGTTCTGGCTGTTACTGGAGCACAGCTATTACAAATCTAGCTTTTCTTCAAACGGATCGAATGAGTCGAGTGTGTATTGTTGTTTTGGAGGAGGTGGAAGATGATTCTCCCACATTTATTTCCAAATTGCCTCAGGAAAACATATCTCTACAGCATTCACTTTCAGGACATGGCTTGGTAAGATGTTCTTGCTATATATATCTCATTTGTAATTGTGGTTCAAATTTCAAATGACACTTGACATAAATATATCTGAATATGAAAAGTGTAGTATTTATTTTGCTTAAATAATGAAAACAATTATGTAAATTCACTTCTGGGTCTATTTATAATCCTACTAAGTGACACAATTTGTAGATTGTTGATTTTTCTAATTTTCTAAGGAGAATGATCTTCAGAGGAGTATTGTGTCAGTATAAAGTAGTGGATAGGTTCTATCTCTTTGCTAAATAACTGGATTCCTACGGTAATTAACCATGTGTTGTTTTCAGAATTCATAAAATACACTCTCTTATAAAGCAATTTCAACTCTTAAAATATGGGAACACAAATAATGCAATATAGGGTTACTGTTGTACTTATATTTGAGTGAACTTTAGCTTAAAAAATGGGATTTGTTCATTCAATCCAATGGTTTATGTGGTGATATGCTTTCAGAAGTTTGTGATGCTAGTTAACACATGGAGACCTTTTTAGAAATAGATCTTTGTCACCAGATAGTTAAATGTGCTCTTTTCCTTACTGTGTATTACATTCAGAAATAGACTAGATGTTTCTTTGAAAGTGAATGTCTTAATGCATTCTTCAAAACGTCACCTGCTAATATTGGGCATTTTTCTCCCTGCGGTAGTATTTAATTTTGCCTTGTGTTGATACTTAGACCAATTGTTTAAGTAGAGCACCATTGTGCAAGAGCACAAAAGGCAGAATTCTAATGAAGTATTTGTGATTCAAAATGATTCAGTTAATCCTAATACACACAATAATAATTATACGTGAGTGGCAACAGTTTTGAAATTTAAAATACTCCCTTTTATTTCAGCCACCACTTGTTCAGGCCATATTTAATGGGGACCCTGATGAAGTTCGTGCACTAATTTTTAAGAAAGAAGATGTCAACTTTCAGGTAAAAAGGCTTATGTTTTACTCATAGATTTAATTTAAATTTTGTTATTCCTTCTAATTTGAGACTACTTTTTTGATAACATTATTGTTTTAGGAAACACAACTAATCCTGCAACTACTTTCTTTGTTAGACTTTAGTTGGACTGAATTAATTGAACCTAACAAAAGCATTTGCTTAACTTTCATGCTTACATTTTAGAGAAATATTAGTTCTTACAGATATATTAAGCTGCAACCAAAAAAGTTGCCACCACAAAAATGACTTCTCCACTGTTGTCTTCTGTCTCTATTTCTTTCCTGTGCTCATCATCCATATTGGCATTCCAGTCATTCCAGTTTGCCCCTTTCATAAAGGAGGGAGTGAGAGATCAGACTGAAATGCTACAGCATCGAGGTTTTAGAAAGCCAGGACATTTGATTAGATTTTCTGAAACTATTCTGGTTTGTCCAGTCTCCTCTGTGTGATCTGTTAATTAACAACTGAATAACATCTTTCTTTTATGTGGAAGTAAGGGACCTTTCTGAAACGATAAATCAGTGTCATAGCCACTAAGACATTAGAATTAGTTTAAGTGGGTCTTAAATCAAAATGTGGGTCTTAAATCAAAATGTTGTGCTGCAGAATACTTTTTCCAGCCAATCAGGTTCCAGGATGCTTCTTTCCGTTCCCTTGCCCCTCTCAGTTTTTTCATTTTTCCCCAATGTATGGTTAGTAATTCATGCCCTATAGATCCTGTTCCCCTGTGCAGGCCTTATCAACATGGCTGGTGTCTAAGGTGGTCATACTTAGGTCTCTGCTGAGGTCACACAAGCTAGCAAGCATCCACTGCTAAAAGCCTCAGGGAGCTGCTCTTCTGATACTTCAAGCATCTCTTGTGTTTACTTGCTTTTTGCTCTGGCCTAGACAACAGTGGAATGAGAGATAGGAGTAAGCAAGTTGTAGCTGTGATGAGAGATGAAGAGTGAAAGCAGCTGGTGACAGTATTTGGGGGAAGTAAAATACTGAGAAAAGAGCTCCATTGAGGATGTGTTACTCAAGCATCCTCATGAACCTGGAGCTGGCACTGTTCATTGGACTGTTCTGTATGGGTTTTGTTACTGTTGTTCTCAGATTTACTTAAAGGTATTTTGTACCTGTGGACTTTGACGTTCTCTCCAGCAGGTTGAGAACCTCTCTTCTGCATGGAAGAGAAACCCTAGCTGCTCACCTTACAAACAGAACACCACAAAAACAATACAAATGGTAGCAAGTAAAATTGATGTAGTAAAGCCAAGTGCAAGTACTTAGAAACACACTTAATTGCTTGATAATTTTACTACTCATTGACTAACATTCACAGAATCATGTGCAAACACAGAAGGGGTTTTGTGACTGTACAGGGTGAGTTTTGGGTATTCTCTTCCAGTTGCATACCCTTGTGCCAAATTCTGCTATATGTATTGTAAGGAGCTGCAATAGGAAGACAATCCAGAAAGATCCCTGGGTCCATGCAGTGTTCTGCATGCAGACCTTAGATCCAAGCTCTTGTTCATTTGTATGAATATAAAACAACCAATAACTGTGCTTCACTCAAGGAAGAATAATAGTTTATTATTTTGTTAGAGTTGGCATTTTGTATTTGTTTGGCTTGGAATTCATAACTCTGGCAATTCAAACTATAGTGATGTGCTTCGTATCGATAACCAATAGTATGCTGACTTTGGAATTACAGAATGTTGACATCAGTCAGTTAATCAAGTTGTTTATGGAAAACTTGGATATACACTCTTGGCTAAGGTAGTTTATAAGAAGGAAAAATGCCACAGTTAGTGCCAGAAACACTGTTGTGAAGTGATATGAACCATAAATATATGTTACCTAAAGAGAGACCTTTTAAAAATACTGCATAACATGAACAAACATAAATGTTCATTTCCTTTTTAATGAGAAGATGCTAATATGCCAATTAGTCATTTCCTCTTGTATAATAAGGAGGAAATTATGTTCTATTTATGTGAAATATCTGTGAGATATTTTCCCAATGGCAGAGAAAGGACATAAGTGTGTAGTTCTTCCCTCTTCCGCACCCACAATTTCCCAAATATGTATTGCAGTATCAAAGAGTAATGTGGAGCAAAAAGCTTTCCATGAAAGATTCCGAAGGCCTGCCAAAATTTTCTAAGACTGTAGTAATATGCACATTAATTAGGAATAAACTCCACTGAACTTAGTACTTCTAAGTTAACATGTATGTGATTGCACTGTCAAGCTAGACTAACTTTCACAAAGTGTATCCTTTTGTCTATGTAATTGGCTCTTTTGTAGTTTGTCATCTGCCAATCATTGGCAATTATGTTGCTGTAGAAGTGGGGATCTGAAAGATACTCAACTTTCCTTGCAGTCAGTTCTTCTAAAGTGCTGTCCCCTTGAGCAGGCATGGCTGCCAACTTCATAGTATTTATGAGAATTTCATCTTGTGATCATACTGTGTTTCCCCGAAAACAAGACCAGGTCTTATATTAATTTTTGCTCCAAAGGATGCACAGGGCTTATTTTCAGGTTATGCCTTATTTTTCATACAAAAATGAATTTTAATCTACAGTTATTCATGTACAAAAATCTACATTCATTCAAATACAGTCATGTCATCATCTTCTGGAACATAGTCATAACTTTCCAAACCCCAAATTGTGTTGCAGCGAAAGTACTAAATGTGTCTGTTTGGCTGACGATCTTAACTGGGGCTTATTTCTGGGGTAGGGCTTATATGACAAGCACCCTGAAAAAATTATGCTAGAGCTTATTTTCTGGTTAGGTCTTATTTTGGGGGAAACTGGGTAGTTAGCCTCATGCTGCTGTACTTTTTGGAAATAATTTTCACAGGGACTACTTTCTCATGGAAAAGAAACAACCTTTAGAAAACAATTGCTTCATAAGGATTCTGCTTATCTTTCCTGGAAGAATGTATTTTGAAATAAGCAATACAGTACTACTTGAGAAACCCTTGCATTAATTGTTGAGTGGAGCAGTACTGATCTGAGGCACCTAACTTTCACTTGATCTAGACAAACTTGCAGAAAGCACAGATGAAACATGCTTGCCTACTTTACTCTTCTGGGTAATAGTGGTTCTAGGGGAAGCATGCATGTACATAGACTTACCTCAAATCCAATATTAGCCAATTATGCATTTCTTCTGCTCTGATAGTCAAATGTTGTGAGTCTTATCTTTTACTATATTTGATGCAGCTGTACAAGCAACAACAGTTTTGATAATGACAAATGTAACCCCCCCAAGTTGGTTCAGATAAATTTATATGAAGCTATTTTATATACTAAGTCTTAGCAGGTATTTTAATTTTCTGAATTGGAAAGCCTATTGGTCTTGAGGCTCTGCTACTCAAGATTTGCTACCCCTTGTCGTCAATGTTATCTCCTGTCTCAAATTGGAGATAGCAGTAGAGATCTGGATTGTTGGGAATCCATAGTGTTAGCTCCAGTATCACATCAGAAATAGCAGAGTGATGCCCTCTGAAGAGATTCCTCCAGGGTCAGGACTTGTAACCTAAGCCCACTACCTGGGAGAAGCTAAAATGGCTGTGTGGGCCAGATTGGTGTGCTTCTCAGGCTGGAGATTCTTCACCCCTACACTAGGGTTTCAAGTGTTAAAAAGGATACCTTGAACAAAGTAGTGATGGACTACTTGCTCTATGTGAGAACTATAAAACCAGTCGTCATTAGTGTTTTTTGCTAATGCTGGTCAAACTCAGAGAGTTGCTGAGTTCCAAGGAATAACTTAAAATGGGTCAAGGTATGCTGGCACTGGTGCGGGGGGGGAGGGGTAAATTTCTATGTGGCTTTTTAAACAGCAGATCTACCCCTACACGATTTCATGGATTGTCTTTGAAGTTCACTTTATTAAATCACTGTTACCTCTTGATATTTACCAGAAGATTTTAAAGAAAGTTTTATGATCAAAAACATTTGTGCAATATTTTTTTAACCAGGAACTGGTTACACATTAGTAGCGAAATTGAGGTCAGCAGCAGATGCCCTCCTCTGGGAACCCTCTGTGAATGAGATTAGCAGGGTGAGCACCCGGAGGAGGGCTTTCTCTGCGGTGGCGCCCCATCTATGGAATGCGCTCCCCAGAGAGGTCTGCCTGGCGCCGTCGTTATTTGTTTTTCAGCGCCAGGCTAAGACCTTTTTATTTAAAACTTATTTTAATTGTTAATTATTTATTAACTAGGGTTTTTTTTTAGCCGAGAATGCACTGGGGGGGGGTGTTATTTATTGTATCATTTTAGTATTTATTTATTTTATTACTTCTGTATTTATTTATGTGTTGTGAGCCGCCCGAAGGCTTTGTTGCGATGGGGCGGCATAGAAATGTTTTAAATAAATAAATAATAAAATAACATTTCCCCCATTACTTAAATAATTTTAAACACTTTTATCCTGTCATTCTTCCAAGTTGCTTGGAACTACATATGTGGTGCCCCTTCCATCCATTTATTCTTACAACTGTCCTGTGAAGGAAGTTATGATGAGAAGTGGTGATCCAGTGACTTGGTCACCATGTGATGACTTTCTATGGCTGCATATGTTCCAGTCAAAAACCTCCCATTACAATGTCAACTCCTCCATTTTTAAAAGGACTCCTGAAAAGAGGGTGGTACAAAATGTAAATTGTCATGTGGACTATATGGTAGAAGAATTTTGCTGTGAAGGAGATATAAATCACACTTTCCCCCTTTTCATGAGCAAAGATCACCTGTGCTTTTGGTTTGGACAGCTGTCAAGAGAAACTAAATGGAGGAAGATTTGGAGCCTCTTGTGAACTGTGGCCAGGGATGGTACCTTTTGTAGCTCGACAGTAGGCATCCCTCAAGACATTAAAGAACCATAAAATAGTAGAGTTGGAAGGGGCCAAGATGACCATTGGGTCCAACCCCCTGCTCAGTGAAGGACTCCCAAGATAAACCATTCCTCTCAGATGGCTGTTCAGCTGTATCTTGAATGCTTCTGGTATGGAGAGATCACAGCCTTCCCAGGTAATTGATTCCATGTATTGCTCTAGCAGTCAGGAAGTTCTTCCAGATGATGAGCCAGAACCTGGCTTCCTGTAACTTGAACCTGTTATTCCATGTCCTGCTCTCTGGGATGATTGAGAAGAGACTCTTGCATTTCTTCATGTAACCACCTTTAATGTACTTGAAGAGTGCTATCATTATCTCCACTTAGTCTGCTGTTTTGCAGGCTAAGCATGCCCAATTTTTTCAAGCTGTCCTCATTGCTGTAGCCACATTGCACAAGTGTTAATTTTTTTCAAAGAAAAAAAAGTGCTTTTTGAGCTAAATTTTGGTTCTGTACATCTGAACCTGCTACTGCCAAATAGCATCAACCCAATTCATATGTCACAACAACTCATCTTTTTAAAATCATGGTTGTGCTATGTGAATTTTGATTATTATTTTCCTAGCCAGAATCTGCATGGTTTGAAGCTTGTTTACAAATCTTGGCATAACCATGGTTTCCTAGTGTGTCTGGATCTGCAATCCTGGTTTAATTATGGTTTGTTTTGGAGCCCTGCCCCAGCAGCTTACCTGGAGGAAGAGACATGAAATAAATATAGTTAGCAAATGAAATACTAATTTTGGCAAAACAAATCTCATTGGTAGTTTCCCAAATATCAGATTCCCTCTTTCTTCTGCTTGGCAAATGCTGTTGGAAAAATGGTGCCAATAGACTTGCTCAATGCAAATGCAATATCTGTGAAGTGCAATGAAGCAAAGGGCAATAAAAGGAGATGTGCCCGAACCTGCCTTCATTCAGATTCGATTATTTGTTGATTTAAAACCCTGAGTTGTTCATCATCAACCAGTAGTTCTAGATTCAGATATCACCTCAAACATCCTAGGAACCAGATGCAAAGCAGAAGTGACAAGCATGCAGGAAGCAACATATATTCCTGCTAACACACATTTTGTTCATGGTTGAACCAACAGAAGAATTGACATCTCATGCTAACCAGGTACATAAGATGATACTGGGTTGTTATCTATAGTAACTCAAGCCTCTGCATAGCTACTTGCTTTAGATGCCTGTGGTTGGAATCTCTGTCAAGCAACCAGGCAGAGAAGATTGCATAAAATGGAATAGTTGGTTCTTTCATCTCTATCCACTTTCAAGGCTTATCAGGCCAAGGATAATTAATTAAAAATACATGCAAGCAACTTTTGTTGAATTACTTGTAAGGCTGAAGTAACTGCAGTGGAAGGTTTTAACCATCAGCCTCAAACAAACAGTAATACAGTTACCCAAAATTTATTTCATTCATAAGACTTGGGCAGGTTTTGTGGCATGTGATACATTATTTCACATTGATTGTGCTGTATTAATTTCACCTTTTCTCTTGCCAAATCGAGTTGTATCCAACCTTAGGTTTCCACTAATGGCTTCTCCCTTCCCCTGCAGCTCTGCGCATACACCTAATACTGCTTCGTAGCATTGAGGGACCCTCCAAAGGAGTTTTGGGGGATACGGGTGGGGGGAATGAGAGACATTAGATTTAAACTATTACGCTAAAAGGCTGAAACTCTGTTCACATAAACAGCTTGTGAGTTAATTGAATTGGTTATTTAGAATTATGAATACGTATGAGAGAGCAATAATTGGCTTCATGCAACTTAGATTGTCAATGCTACCATTATTTAATGTCCATAGACAGATTCAGGGTTGAATTATTTGCATTAAAACAACTTTTTGGGTTCTCTTGAAATACGCTCTTTTAACTTGTAAAGCACTAAATGTAAATTGTTCCTAAGCACAAACATACATTTATGTTAGGACAGAGGTCAGCAACCCGCGGCTCTGGAGCCACACATGGCTCTTGAATCCCTCTGCTGCAGCTCCGTCGCTCAAAACACGCGCCGGCACAGCCGCCGATCTTCGAGGCTGGTTAAGTAAATTGCTACATTCCTCTGCTATTGTGCAGGGAAAGAGTGGAACAAGCTTCCTGCAGGCTCTCATGTTACTCAAACCCTACTGAAAAGATTCTCTTTGTCCAAATGTAATCTCCTTCATCTGAATGTTAAAAGCTGCACTTGGGACCTGTCACAATTCACAGCACTTGACTGTTTATCTGCTCATCAGTCACTAAACACACCTATATCCGGCACAGCCGATCTGGGACCCTGCACCGATTAACTGAGCTTCCCCCCCCCCCCACCCCTGTAGGCCAACCATGGATAAACTGAAGAAAAGTTTCTGAAGAAAACCGAACATTAATGGTACGTGGGTAGATTGATTTATTTTTACTGCTGACGAACTTATGGGGTTTGCTGTTAATGCATGCAGCCCTTTAGCACTGACTTTGACTCTTCAGAAAGCTGTTCTCCTATTCAAAATATATGAAAGGAGTCCCACTAGTTTATAATGTAAGATTAAAAATAACAGTTTTTAGTGACTGAACAAGAGCTGCAGCTAAATCTTAATGAAGATATAGATCTACTTCCTTGTTTTTTTTAGAAGTTCAAAATGTTTTTGTTGCATGTAGAAATAAAAATTTGTTTTCTCTGTAGCAGTTCATTGATTTCATAAATACAACCCACTATAGTTTTTTTATACATAGCATAAAGGTAGAAAATGATATATGCAGTTTTATCTTCATTTTAGATGTCAAAAGGGTTTTGGGGCTCCCTGTGTTTTCTGTGGGAAACGGGTCCAAATGGCTCTTTGAGTGTTAAAGGTTGCTGACCCCTGTGTTAGGATGTAACCTCTGCATGCAGTATTTCTTTCTGTAGATTGAGTTTTCTTTCCCCTTTGCTCTGCTTCTCTTCTGTTCTGCCATTTCTTGAGTTTTACAGCACTTTTGAGTTTCCTCCCCATCCCCCAGATGCTGATATTAATCAGGTTCTATGAATGTAACTGACAGATTACTTGCTGATATATTTGTCAAATATGCAGTTTTTCAAAGACACAAAAATATATTTTGGGTTAATTTAGATTTTAGTATGAACATTTGATACTAAATCAAATCTGATAAGTGCTTATTTATCAGATAAGATTCAAAGAGAACACACATCTTCTGTCTGCTCTGCTGCTTTCTTATGTCATAAAGGTTTTACTGTTTTAGAACTTAATTGGGCCCCACTTTTGTATGCATGAAAAGACAGTCCTTGTTCTCTAAATCTTTTGAGGAGAAGTATTTGTTTTGCTTGTTTCTGCTACTTGCATAAACACATTCCATTCTGAGCTCTCTGTGTGTTCTTAAAACTCTGATCTGTGGAAACCAGCTCTTGGAATAGCATATTTTAAAATGGTTTAATATCAAAATGTGATGTAAGCAGTCATTAGTTTTTAATAGCTTGCTGTGGCATTCATTTAAGTTACTGTAAATTTATTATCTACAAAAACAGGTTAACATTTGCATGTGTCTGATATGTTTTATTCCATTCAAGTCCTGGACACTTTCAAAATACATCAGATATCTAGTTTACCTAAATGTACATTTTGGAACTTGCTTAAAGTGGTAAGCAGGCATTTTCATTAGTGACATGATAGCATGATGTTTCACTTTTCCACCACCAAATTGCTTCTTGTTATTGGAAAGAAAAACAGTTAATTATGTGATCCTCTTCAATTGTTGTTTCTAATGGCAAGTGTCAGAATATCAGCCAGAGTAAGTAAAATAAAATCTTTTAGAACAGACTAACATGGCTACTATCTTAGAAATTGCTGTATAGGGAATCCATTAAAAATAAAGAATAATTTGTGAATGATGAAGTCCTAATTGCTCTATATTCAGAATTGTGTAGATTCCTTAACAGTACTTTGAAACATAGTGAACTAGCACAAACGTAACTAGTTTATAGTTTATAATGGTTTTTAAGCATAGCAAACAAACTCCGTTTGTATAAAATACTGTATTTATAAAGGGGAGACATCAAAAACATGACTGGAGAAATAGTAGTTTTAAATAGGTAGCTATATCTGTTTCCATGTATATCTGCTAGTGAGGGGAGTTTCAACTCTTTCCATGAGTATGTTAGGGAAAGTCAAAGACAGAAGAGGAAGACCAAATATGACATGGGTCATTTCCATAAAGGATGCCTTAAGTTTTCAAGATCTGAGCAGGGTTGTCAAAGACAGGCCAGCTTGGAGGGCATTGATTAATAAGGTTTACTATAAATGAGAGGCAACCTGACAGCATGTTGTAACAACAACAACTGCTTGCAGGTGGAAAAAAAGATTTCAAAATTTCTTGGTAAATAGTGGCTAAAGTGGGAGGTAGCCAGATTTTTCTTTTATTTTTTCCCACTACTCAGGGTGGCCAGTGAGCACTGAAACAGTGTTTTTCTCAACAATAAATGGGTCAATAACAATGGAGTTTTCTACTGCTGCACTTGGAGACCTTTGATGGTAGCCATCTCTAGCAGAGCAAGAAATCTGCAGCATCCCTCCTGGACAGTATAGGCTCATTCCCTTCTTTTATGCATTTATTTTATGGGTGGTGTAAAAACAAATTACAAATGAACAATGAAACAATGAAAATAATTAGCATCACGAAGTAATACTTTATTTTTTCTCAGTTTCTGAGGTATTTGATACTCTAAATCAATTGTTGAATGTTTGGATATAAGAATATTATCTATACTGATAGTGAATACTGTGGTTCCTTTTAATTTGTTTCCAAAAATATAACATCTAGTATTTGGAAAATAACATTATAGCAAGAATATCTTAATTTATAAATGAAGATGATCTTAATGATGCTGCTTTTTCTCCTTGTTGTTACTGTTGTTATTAGGATGTGATTAAGTTTCCCCTTCTTTACACAGGATAATGAAAAAAGGACCCCTTTACATGCTGCTGCATATCTTGGAGATGCAGAAATTATTGAGCTACTTATTTTATCTGGTATGATGCTTTCTTGTTTATGAGACACATTTTTTTCAAATGTATTAACACATACTAAGTTCTTTTAAGTGTTAGTCCATCTCATGAAGTAGATAGTGTCAATGAAAGCTTATAGCAAAAATTTGCTGTGGTTTAAAATACCTTCTAAGGCTCTTCATTGTTTTTATGCAAACGTTTTTTCTGTGGCAGAAAATTAATTACTGAACTTTGACATTACATGAACAATATTTGTAGAGGTTAAATTGCAAAGCTGCATAAATGAGAACTTCCTAAACACATAGTTCAGTTGGGGGAAGCTGAGGTACTCTTGACAGGATGGAGCAATATGCCAGGGAATATGCTCATTTTTCTTTGGTGTCTCAGCTCTTCAGCTTCATGGTAGAGCCCATGCTTTGCATTCAGAAGATTCCCGGTTCAGTTCCTGGCATTGCAAGTTAAAAGTATCAGATAGCAGGTGATGAGCAAGAAATGATTTTATACCTTCTGTAGTGCTACAGTTCAGAAAAGATAGATGCCTTATGATGAAACAGCACTGCTTCTTTTCTTCTCACACCTTCTAGTATATTTTCTAACAGACATACAGCCCTGTATTGTAAGATTCATGTCAAAATGTTATCATGGTAATATGTGCGTCTATGTTATTGTGATGCAGGCAGGCGGTTAAATTGTTTCCAAAGCATATTTTGATTGTGCTATTTGCATTTTGTTTAGGTTATTACTTTTTGTTCTGGAGGGGAAATTTTCCTTGTTGTTGCTTCTATTTTCTTTCTCTCCCTTAACATTGAACTATAATTTGGGGAGAAGGTAAAGCTGAGCAAATCATGTTTCCTCTAAACTTTTTGTCCCTGCGTTTTTAATTTTCTTCTGTAGCTTCCTGGGGCTACTGCAACCTCCAGGGTTTTTGCACTGTAATCTTACCCATGTTACTTGGAAGCAAGTCCTGTTGCTTTCAGCTGGGTACTTCAAAGTAGGCATACATAGGATTTCAGTCTTAGTCTTTCTGCTCAGTTTTATTGTTTTCGGATTTTGTGTTCTTGAAATATGTGATGAATGTACATGTAGTAATGTAAATGCAGATGATAATGTGTTTTTAATGCAGAACTAATCTTGTTCTTAATCATGAGAGACATTATAATAAAATTGAGAATTTTCACATCCATTCAAAGAAAATTGACAGGGTAAATTATCAAGTATATTGGCTTATTTACTGTCTTTTACCACTTCTTACCAATTTGTCAAACTGTGACCAGTGAACAAATGGTTCCTCTGAGAAAGAAGGATACAAACTGCAATTTGCATAGAAGTATTGCTTACACTCTACTCAGTCTGTAATTATCCTACAGAAATGTTTTTGTTTTTATTAAGCTTCATTGCTTAATTAGGTGCATACAATTTAGAACAGAATTTGTTTGTTTTGTTTTTTGAGATTTTGCTTTTATATTTGCAGGAGCTAGAGTTAATGCCAAAGACAGCAAATGGTTGACTCCATTACATCGAGCTGTTGCATCATGTAGTGAGGTATGGTGGTATATTTTTATTTTTTATTTTAACAAAAAGAACACTGCTATATAATTCTGTACTAGTGGGACAAGAGGGAGGTTGCTACTAAATTCTGTAATTAGTACAATGCAGATTGCTTTTGTATAATGTCATTATGATGTTGGTTGAAAAAAGTGATTGGAATAGGAAGACCTGTTGGGGAAGCAGTTGCCAACTTAGACCAGTGTCAAGGCCAAACCCTTCTTTCCTTGTCTGTGTAAAGTTAAGGTAGCAAAATAGCTGTTGTAATTGCTGGTGACAGAGAGCTCATAATGAATCCCTTTCTTAAACCATAAAGTCTGCCTATTGCCTCACCCTGTCCCCCACAGGCCATCTACCACCAACTAGTTCCCATTCTAGTGGGAAGGATTCCAAGGCAGGGAGGTTATAATAATACTAGATGTCTGTTCCAGTTCCAACTAGCTCAGGAATGAACAACTTATTGTCAGGAACTAGAATGTGGGCAGCAGGAGGCAAGACAGAGGCACTGGGACCAGGGCAGCATAACTTAAGGTGAGACAAGAGCCCAAAGTCGAAAAGCAAGATTTAATGGCAAGTCCAAGTTGTCACAGAACAGTCTGAGGTCAGGAACAGGGGCATGGAATAGCCATGGGTCAAAAACAGAAAGAGAAACAGAGGTACAGTACCTTGAGACAGAATAACTGGTCAGGATACATGGCAATGGCTAGGCAAGATGCAGGATATGAACCACAGTCAGTAGGCATACCTACATTACTGGGGCAACATGGCAAGGCAGGATACAACAGGAACCAAACACGCCAAGGTGCAGGCACTACAGCAGACAGGTAAATCTGTGTTGCAGAGGCCAGTTTTAGAGGGAAGAGCTTGCTCTTGTACAGTTGTTGTTCCTCATGGTCTCTGTACATCACAGAGTGGGGCCTGTTGTTGGGACAATTTGCAAACTAGACTAGTTCTGGTGAGAACCCCTTCCCTCCCACCGCCTCTTATAACTAGGAGAGGTTCCTGCCCTTTTGCGCAGTTCTCTTTCACTATTGTGTGTGCCTCGGGTCTTTCCTTTCTTGGTATTTACCTTTTCAACACATTCCTCTCTCATGTTTCCAGTCTTTCGTTTCATATTTCTACTTTTACCTGGTTTTTCCTTAACCTTACCCTTTCAAAAAAAAAAAACCCTTTCTACCATCCACCTCTCCACACCCAACATTTCATCTTTTTCTTTCCTCTCCTTTCTTTCCCAATGGCTCTCAAGGCACTTTTGCAGAAGTGTGTTTGCTGTGGGAATCTTCTCCCTCCCACCCACAGATGGGCACACTTTTTGTCTGTTCTGCCTTGGAGAGGGGCACTTCATGGAAGCCTGTCCACACTGTCGGGCCTTCACCAAGCAGGCCAGAAAGCAATTTGCTGGATGTCTTAGGGTCAAGCTCCAGAGCTGTGCCCTCCAGGCCACCGATTCAGCCTTGATGGCACCGGTGGACTATCTGTCTACTTCCCAGGCAATACATGCACCTTGCCCACCCTCTGCAGCTTCAGGGGCTTCTTCAGCTGCCCTGTTCATCCCACCTACTTCTAAGTGCTCAGACAAGGCCTACCAGGCCCGAAAGCTGGATGAGAAGGCCAAAAAGATGGCAGAATTGGGGAAGGCCAAACATAAGTGGCCTAGTATGCACCATTCCCCACTGGGTCTGAGCATACCCACACCAGGACTGGTGCCAACATCATCATTGCATCTTCCCACAATGGAACCAATCTTGATTCAGTATCTTAGAGGGCAAGATTTGAAACTCACTACTCCACCATCCAGCATGATTTCTTTCCATGATCTCACTGACTAGAACATTGTTCTCTTTACTGGGCTGTGGACCACCACTCCTGCTGCTGTCATCTTGCCCAGCTGCCAACCTTTTTCTGTGCCAGACCAGCGACTACTCTTCAGTGCCACCCTGAGCTTCTGACCACTGGCTGTGCAACCATTCCACATCCTCTCTGGTGGCTTGGGACTGGGAGACTGCCTGGATACCTCCACCTAAACATCAGCAATACCAGGAGGAGAGCAGGTTCTCAGACCCATGACATCAGGTGCCTACTCTGAGTCATCATCATGATTTTCTGGGATATTGGTTGAAAGAACAGAGTAAAGCATCGGCATTTCATCCTCCCTCACTGGCCCACCTTGCTACCACAGCACAACCCCCTGTCTTCCATGCCAGAGAAGTATTTGTCCAATTCCAACTCGCTTCCTGCTGACTTCTTCTCTGGACAATGTTATTACGACTCAGGGACCAGGACCTGGGACACTTCTGCAAGCAGATGAATGGGATGATGTAAATTGGTGACCAGCAACAGCAGGGAGTTGGACTCGATGGACTTCTTGGACCCTTCCAATGTTCTTTGATTCTATGATCCTTTGGGTGGTGACATCTCTTGGACTGGAGAAACAACAGCATCAATGGAGGACACTGAGCTCGTGACACAATTCCTGCCCATTACCCTCAACTGAATGAAGGAATCATGAAAGGCACCAGCATAACTGCAGCCAACATACAAATGCTTGGAGGGCACATATCCGGTCCAGGAGCAGGAGATCCCATTGTTACTGCAACATCCCCAGCCGAATTCAGTCATCATAGAGTCAGGTCATGGCTGTTTGCAGTGGGAGCATTCCACTCTGGCAGACAAGGATGGCCACCACCTAAAGTCACTGGTGAGGCAGATCTACATGTTAGTGGCATTGGGCTACTACCATGGCCCACTACCAGCTATACCTATGGGAGAAGATAGGGTCCCTAGCTCAGCAACTCCAGAGGAATATGGGACCTGGTCTGGGTGTTTAAATCAGAGGCCCTCCATCTTTCCAAGAGCAAATCAACACAGCCTATCACCATGTTGACTGTGACTCAATGCCCTTGTTGGCACAGTGGCAATCTGGTGCCATGCCTGGCTTCAGGCTATAGGTCTTTCCCAAGAGGTTTGCCCTAGAATTGAGAACATGCCCTTTGACAGAGATGGCGTCTTCAACACCTGCACAGATGCATGGCTGAATGCAGTTCAAAAGGCCAGGTCAACATTCCTTCTTGGTCTTATTCATGATACTATAGCATGGGTCCTCAAACTATGGCCCACAGGCCGGATCTGGCCCTTCATGCCCGTTTAACCAACCCGCCCCAGAGGTTTTGTACTTGCCGCGCTTGGTCACGGGCACGTGACTTGCTCACTTGGAGATCAGTTTGGATTCACTTGGAGAAAACGATCTCATGAGCAAGCCGGCACCTTACCATGTGTGTGTCTGGCAGCAGCTTGCTCGCGGGGAGATCGTTTTGGACTCGCTTGGAGAAAGTGATCTCTGCTCAAGCAAGCGGCTGCCTCGCCTTGTGCGCGCCCCCACCCCTGCCTTGGAGCGCACACCCGCACCCCCGCCGGCATGCCCCTGCCAGCACTGCCTTGGCGGCCCACGTCCACCACCAGCACCTTTCAACTGGCCACGTGTTGGAAAAGTTTGAGGACCCCTGTACTATAGCAAAGAGAAAAGTTGAATTATTGCAACTTCAGAACAGCAAAACCAAAGGATTCAACATGTAGTCTACTTCTATCATTTTTCTGCTTTGCTGATTCGTCTGTGGTGTGGAAGACATACATTAATTTCCTGTTCCTTTTTAAAATATATAATATATTACTAGAAAGCTGCAAAATAGCACGTACATAATGCCCAGGGATCAGATTCAACCCCCAAACTCTTAGTTTTTCACTGAGCTGCCAGTTAGCTCACAGAACTCTCTTCCACATGTGCTACTGTTGCATTCATTATTCGTTATACAAGTGGCTACCTCTCCGTTAAAACACTCAAATACCAGTACAAATGTACCATCCTGTTAACAGCATTGCCTGTGTGAAACTGTTAGATAGCAGTGAACTGTTTCAGTGTGTGTGCATACAGTTGTATATGTGAGTATACTAGTATTTTGTTGTTGAACTGTAAGCTTTAACAAAAAAGAAGAAACCAGAAGAAGTGAGCATCAGCTTTACCTCTCAGTTTACTGACGGCGAGTGCAAATTAGAAAATATGAAATATAGCCTATTTTTCCTTATAGAACAAAAACATACAAATTCACTGGGTATAACAAAATTCTTCCTATGTTGGTACCTGAAAGTGCCTTAATAACCCTACATTTTCAGCCACAAAGGCTGGGAAAGTACTTAAAGAGACTGTAAGAAAAGGGGAGAGTTAACAAACTGTTGCATTATGAGGATATATATTCAAAATTTCATGTATGTTCATGGGCATCCAGAGAAGGGGACAAGGAAAGAGTATTGACTCCCTATGGATAAGCTGTAATCTCCAGATTGCCAGTTTTCTTTTTAGCAAGTCTGTTAGTCCATGCATAACCTAAGATGATGCAAACTGTGCAGCCAGTATTCTGCCTAGTCATTTTGTAAGAAACTACTCTGCTTCCTACTTTTAACGTTTTAGCTAATGAATGAATACATGCCCACTGTCTGCATATACTAACCCTTCTAGGTGTATTGAACTTTTTTGGTCTTTCCCATTATGAAGTAATTGCACCCTGGACTTGTCTTTTAAATAAATGTTTAAAAAGTACCCTTATGATGTCTGCAGATAAAGCTCCTCATTATACCCATACTGCAGGATGCAGGGCTGAGTCTGAGAAAGTGTGGGTTACATAATACTGGGAAAGCAAACCACTGTTGTTCCAGTTTTGTGGTATTTTAGAGAAATGGCAAATAAAATATCTGGAGGTTTATCAGGATAGTGAAGACTGTTCCAGGACGTGTTCCCCAATTATTCTAAGAGGATGGAATTCATTCTAGGAGGAGCCACGTGAAATTCTCAGTATTTTAAGGGTAGTGATGCTGTAAAATTAGATGCACAAGTCTCTGTGCAGCTTTGTCATTTCTTTCTCTAGAAAAACTCCTATAGACTCTCATGCTCTCAGAGGGTGCAGGTGGTCACTGATGCTCCTCAGATGGTGGTGGAACCAAGTAAAAGTTTCTCCTGGAGAGTTTAAAACCTGGACAAGGTTGTGTGGGAGAATTCAGCATCAGGGATGGCAGTTATTCTGTAATGAGTGATGCTACATATGGAAACTGAACCTTTGTTTGTGGCAGATATTCTACCCGGAACATCAATTCAAAATTATATGTAAATAGGGCAAAGGGGATGTATCTGACTAGAGTGCACATCTGGGAATATTTTACTGGATCAGCAGAATTAGTTGTCTGCTGAATTAGGGCCTGAAGAATGACCATAGATCTGTTTTACGGTGTGTTAAAAAATGTTATTTCAGATACCTTGGTTTTTTTTCATTTAGGGTTTGAATTATGCCTGTAAACAGATTAGTAGTTGGTGAAACTGTTGTAACAAGGAGTATTATGCTCCCTAAAATTGCTTTTATTCAACAGCCTGGCCACAGCCTTCTGAACCAGCCGAAGTTTCTGAACACTTTTCAAAAACATTCCCACATAGACTGTGCTATAGTAGTTCAAGCAAGATGCACCTAAGGCATGTGCTACTGTGGTCACATTGGACATCTCCAGGAAAGGACAGATTAGCCTAGGGATATTAGACTTAATCTGTGCACATACGTTTCTGGCCATTGCTAAACCTGGACATTCAGGTTAGATGTTGAAACCTGGAATATATCTAAGATGGGACTCATATTTAAATAAGTCTCTTGGTTTTCAGCATGATAAAATAAAAATGTATATACAAGACTCCAAAGGATTATGTTACTGAGGAGTAGAGAATGGGACAAATATTTCTGGATGTCCAGGAGTGATGCTGGATGCAGGGTCTTGAGCTCTTAAGAAATTACCCAAATAGGAAACCCTTCAGTGGCATTTCAGAGCTGTTCTGGAATGTTGTTGCTGGCAGGGAGGTAGATATTTTATTTATTTGTTTATCTATTTAGATTTTTTTATATCCTGCTCTTCACTGTGTCTCAGAGATCAACAGTAGGGGAAAGACTGGTATGGAAGCAGTCTTCTGTGAGGGGGACTTTAAGCCTTTGAACATATGTTTTATCTCATACTTCAGGATACTTTGGACTCTGAATGTGGATTTAGTGTGCTTTCTCCATAGTAAGATTATTCGGTAATTGAAAGTGGAGACAGACTTTGAAAAAGTTATGTTTAAGAGCGCTAATGAGGAAACAGAATTGGGAGTTAACATCACTAGTACCTTTATTCATTGAAAGCGCGTGGTTTTATTTATTTATTTATTCATTCATTCATTAGGATGCTGTACAGGTGTTATTGAAGCATTCAGCTGATGTCAATGCCCGTGACAAAAATTGGCAAACACCCTTACACATAGCAGCTGCAAATAAAGCTGTCAAATGTGCAGAAGCCTTGGTGCCACTTCTCAGTAATGTAAATGTGTCAGACCGTGCTGGTAGAACTGCATTGCATCACGCAGCCTTCAGTGGACATGTTGAGGTATAAAGACTTATTTTCCATTTTCCAGAGCAGCTGTTCTTACACAAACAGGTGTTTAGTTAATCCCTTTGTTGTATGCAAAGCAAATAGTATCATGCATATTTTAATCTTGTAACTTACTTTGCAGAAACAAGGTGACTAGTGTATGTAAATGTTCCTTTCATTTCATTTTTTACAATAAAGATAATTTCTATACTGCCAATTGAAGTTAGAAAATATGGGATTATCAGGCACTCTCTTACTCAGGGAATGACCAAACCAAGATTTGGAAAACAACAGCAAGGTTCTGTGTTACGTGTTCTCAGACCACATCATATTAGTTCTGCTTGAAAGTCTTTACTTGATTTTGACTGTGAGCAGTAACAAGATAAATGTTTTACTTGTGGTCTTATTAAAGATATTCAGCTCCAGTACCATGTTTATTTTAGTGAAGATGTTCATAGATAATTATACATTATGAAAGAGATCCATAATGATTAAAATCAGTGTTAGTTTTGAAGGTTTTAATTACATCCCTATTTTATGTCTTTTCTAGGTACCACAAAGTATATGTACTGTGGTTTTTAATACAATTTCTGAAATGCTGTAAATGTAAAATTCAAATGCCCCAAACTTTCAGTAATGCTATAGATGCATCCTAGTTTAGCCTACATGCTGTATGGTATTGAGATGATTTTTCAACTTTAATTGTGTTTCTGTGTATTAAAAGATACAACTTTCTTACTTCTAGATGGTGAGTTTATTATTGTCTAGAGGTGCCAATATTAATGCCTTTGACAAGAAAGACAGACGAGCTATCCACTGGGCATCCTATATGGGTATGTAAAGGCACTTCATTTCTCCCCACTTGACGCACTTTTCCTCTTAACATGGTATTCATTGTACACTTTGTGTCATGTATTTGCTTGCAGTTTCTTTCCTGGATCAGGAATTGCACAGCTGGACACATACCAACAAATGCAGTTCCATTTGGTGTGGATGGAGATTCACCTCCCCACCCATCTTGCAAAACAGATAGGAATATTACATGCCTGGGCACTCTCTCAAGCCTTCTGGATAAGGCCTTGTTTTGCATAATTATAGCTTTTTTAACTTTGTGGTACATTGTGGGGGTTGTAAATGAAACACATCTACAGGGCACCAGCTTGGAGAAGCCTGCTATAGCTGAATTCTTAACAATCTGACAATCCATATAAAACCATGAAAAGGTGAGCCAGGGTTCTGATAAGAATGTGGGTGATGGTTAAAGGTTTCAGAATACTCATTACCTGCTGGTACATAATTAAAGATAAACTTTTCTCAGTAAATAAGAATGAAGTAAATTCAGTTCCTTAGACCTCATAAGATTAATTTAAGGAATGGGAAGGTTCAAGTTTTTTTCATTCCATAAAACAGCTGAGTGGAGATTATTAGAACACATTGTAATCTGTATGGTAATGACATTGAGCTCTGTTTCTCCTTCTCTATCGTGTGAGGTTGAGGTCCTTTATTAGTATGGGCTGCAAAAGTGGACTGAATGAGGGCTACCAAACAGAATCACAGTCAGAAGGAAAAGATGCTGTTAGTCAGTGGTTCTTCTTACCTGATGGAGGGCACTCAACTTCTCTGGATGGAGTTTGCATATCCCATGAAGAGCAGGTTATGGTTTTTGAACTGTCCTTGAACCATCTATGACACTTGAGGCTCAGGTGGCCTCAGTGGCACAGAGTGCCTTCTGCCAGCTTTTGACCCATCTATACCTCTTCACGGACAATAGTAACCTGGTTTCAGTAATATATGCACTAGTAATCTCCAAGTTAGATTACTGTAGTGCATCCTGCATAATGCTGTCTTTGAGCACTATCAAGAGGTGGCAGCTTGTGCAAATTGTAGCATCCAGGCTAATGACTAGGACCAGAAGGTTGGAGCAGTTAACACCGATTCAAGCCCATTTGCATTAAGTGCTTGTATGCTTTTAGGCCCAGTTCAGGGTGTTGGTTCTAACCTAGAGATCTTTTCACAGCTCGGGACTGTAGTGTCTGATAGAACTTCTCTCCTGACCAGAAACTACCTTTATGCTGTGATCAATATCTGAGGCCCTCTTCCAATTGCCACCTCCAAGGAAGGCTTGGAAGGTAGCATCAAAGGGGGAGAGCCTTCTGTGTAGCAGACCCCAATTGTACAGAATGATGTCTGTACTGAGGCCCACCTGGCACCAGCTCTGTTATCCTTTTGGCACCAAGTTAAGACTGCCCTATTCCCTGAGACAGCAACATTTAGTAGCATACAGGAGGTGTAAGTGTCTGTGTAGTAATATCAAAGTAGTTTTAAATTTCTTCTTAAATGTTGTATATTTTATATGCTATTTTATTGTATTTGTTGTGATTTGTGCTGCTTAAGAATTGTTTCGAACTGAGAGAACTCCCAGCTATTGAGCAGTATAGAAATAAAATAATAACAATAACTTTGTCTTAGATATTAAAATTGATTTACCTTTTTTAAAGCCCACAATTCAACAAACAATGATGTTCTTTGTTCAGGTCATATCGATGTAGTAAAATTGCTTGTAGCCCATGGAGCTGAAGTGATATGTAAAGACAAAAAGTCATATACACCACTGCATGCTGCAGCTTCTAGTGGAATGATTAGTGTAGTCAAGTATCTTCTGGATCTTGGAGTTGATGTAAGTAAAAGATGACTTGAACTTTTCTTTCATTATTTTATACATCGTTATGACATGACAGCACTTTCAGGAATAGTACAGACATAGTCCAGTGTCTGTTATAAGACGGCTTCACAGATAGTTGATGTTCTCATGTACAAAGTTTTATATTCTAAAGCCTTTAAAGGTTCATTTAGAAACTTGATAGTATTGCACTTAATTATTAATATCTCCTCCTTTACTTGTGATTTTAAGCATGGAGATGAGAGTAGCTCTTTAACACAGATGTACTATAAGAGCCTGAGTAAACAAATAACTGTTCATAACGTCAAAGTAATCTACTTTAAATGGACAGAAGTCTTAATATCGATTTTGAAGATTAATCTTTGCTTTCAAATCAACAGAGTCATATTGTTTAGAATATTTCCAATAGTATAAGCACATTTAATACTGTATACACATATTTCAGAAACAGAACTGAATGTTACTAATATGTTGTGTCAGATTTTAATCTCATTGAGAACTTGCAGAATTTTGTTTATGACATTGTTGCAATTGATAACATAGAGCTTTCAGAAGTATTCTGGTTAATAAATTCTGGAATTTAAAGAATTCTGAAAGAAAACTTGAAAACAGATGCACTGTTACTGTGTGTTGAAAAAAAATGGGCACAGCTGTATCATAAGTAGAGATAAACCTTTGAAGCAATAATTGAACTTCTGAATCTGTATTATACCAAGTTATACCATGGTCTATATATACCATTATAGTCTGTTTTGACAAGATAGCCTTCCTTAATTCCTTGAAACTGAGATCCTTTTAAACAGAATTAGGCTTGTGACCATCTGCATGCAGGCCCATCTCCTGTACAATGTGACTGAACTGTTTGGATTCAGAATCAATGAATAAATGCTGTTTTTGTTGAGCAAAGCAATGACTCAAAACATTTTCTGAATATAAATTTTGATTGGGATGGTCTAAAACAGTATAAAGATTCTTCAGAATTGGTTAAGACTCATGATATTTTCCCCTCAACAGATGAATGAACCAAACGCATATGGAAATACGCCTCTTCATGTTGCTTGTTTCAATGGACAAGATGTTGTAGTAAATGAACTTATAGACTGTGGTGCTAATGTAAATCAAATGAATGAGAAGGGATTTACACCTTTACACTTTGCTGCTGCATCTACCCATGGAGCGTTGTGTTTAGAACTTCTGGTTTGTAATGGCGCAGATGTGAATATGAAGGTAAAATGAACTGAAAGGTGAATTTTAAATGCTGTCACAATACCTACTAATATCTTTATCAACATACATATAATTCTCAAATATAATGCAAATGCTTTTAATATTCAGTTCATGCATGCCTCCTTATGGGATAATTAGGAGAGCTCTCAGGACTATACTGGTTCACTGGTTCCCAGACTTCTTTTTATGGCCTATTGTTAGTACAGAGGTTGTGATGAATCACTCCACTTGATTTATGATTTCTTACAGTATTTTCAGTGAAATTATGGTAATTTTGGGGGCATGCAAGTTGTCTGTGAGATGTTTAACTCTCATCTAAATGCCTAGGGAACCACTGTGCTGGATTGCAGAAATGAGCTAAAAGGAGAGTCAGGCAATACAAAAGGTTTCTGAGTGACCATGAAGCCAGAACTGGTGAAAAATATATACAAGCAGTTCCTGGGCTATGAACAGATTCCCTTCCTGAGAAAACGGAAATTCATGTTCAAGTCAATATGTATTTTTATACATGCATATACATATGCATGTATAATCAACCCTCCACATGAAAATGTTTTCCTGAATTTTCTGTTCATATTTGCATAGCTAATGATGGCTACAGTTTATAACTGCTTTATAGTACTTTAGCAAAAATTGAAATCTCATGCTTTATTTATTTAGGAGACTTCTATGCCGCCCCATTTGCCAAAGCCTCGGGGCGGCTCACAACCATAAATAAACTTCAAAATAGAATAATATAAATTAACAATATAAATTAAGGTGGACATATGTACTGGATTTGTTTTTGCCTTATGCAAAACAAATATGCAGCATTATCTGGAGCTTACATCAAGCATTTCTTGTAGTTTTTAATAAATTCCTGTGGTTATTGTCTAATGTTCATAATAGATTAATATATTTTAGATATTCATCAAAAACTAGGTTTTACTGCTCTGCCATAATTTTTTGGAATCTAGTTATGATGCTGCATGCTAAGATTTGTCCACTGTCATTGTTGTCAAGTATCCAAAAGTCATACTTCTGACTATGCCTCACTGTGCAGCTGTAGTTAAGAGAACCTGTAATTCTAGCATACACAAACACCCTGTATTCTAGTGTAGCAAGACTGATAATGCAGTAATTTTGAAAAGTCTACATAATTGTTTTGTCTTGCCACCAGCACAATTTTTTAAAAGAAAGCAATTTTAACCAAAACAGGAAAGAGCTTCTATCTAAACATGTCAATTTGACTTGGTAGCCATGGGTTGACTTCTTTCTCCCCAGAGTAAAGATGGGAAAACACCACTGCATATGACAGCAATTCATGGAAGATTTTCAAGATCGCAAACCATCATCCAGAATGGTAAAACAAAGAAATAATACATATAACAGTGTTGAATCATTCACGATTTTTTTAGCTTTAACTTTTGTTATACTGTCTGTACTGTACCCTAAAGTATGACAAATTGTCAAGATAAAATTTCTGGGATCTTCAGATTACTAAAACTATAATATATTCCTTCTCTTACCCAAATAACTATAATTTTATTGTGCTCTTGCAGTCTAGTAGTCCAGGACTGTTATAGTTTGCCCAGGATCTCTCTCTTTAGCTTAGTCTTGTAATTGCAAATGAAATTTCATTAATTTAGTACAAATCTTCATAATGGGTGACGAAAATCGTTCCTGGGGAGAAAAGGGCTTCTTTCTTTATTTGCCTGCATTCTTGTTAAGCCAGTCAGTCTTTTCTGAGGGCAACCGTTGCCCTGCCCCATAATTTGTGTGGTTTGAACATGCTGGTAGTGTGTGATTCTTATTTTATTTGGCAAATCTGCTTTCAGTACCCTTCTCTAGAACACTGAAACTGGTGTACATGACTCTGGGATCAAAGAAAGTGCCATAAACTGAAAGATTTGTATTCATTTTTTAAAATCATAGATATAAGCCAAAACTGGCTTTTGTATATGAGAAACAGATCTCTGCTATTGTGAAATCTGTGAGTTGAATGATAACCTTGACTCCCTTTACTGACATGATGTAGAAACAGGAAGAAAAATAATGTGTTATTTATGTATCCTGTTGGAGACTTATTTTCTGTATGGGAAGTGGGTCTTTACATTTGGGGCTGTTCAAGCTACTTGGACTCAATTTGGCAATTTGAATTTCCCTCTAAAATGTGAATTTGCTAACAGTTTTCTGCTGCTAAACATGCATGCTTATGCGATTACAGTTTATTTACATTTAATTTCTAGGAGCTGAAATAGACTGTGAAGATAAGAATGGCAATACACCTTTGCACATAGCAGCCAGATACGGCCATGAGTTGCTTATCAACACATTAATTACAAGTGGTGCTGATACTGCAAAGTAAGCAACACTTAATGACTTGAATTATGTCAAAATGAAATGCACATCAGTTGAGAGAGTGTGTGTGTGTGGGGGGGCATCTAATGTGGAAAACCAATAAGGCTTAGTGGCTTGAGTGTTGGACTGGAATCTGCAAGAACCAGGTTCTAGTTCCCACTCAGCCATGAAGCTCAATGTGTGATTTTGAGCAAGTCACAGGAAGGAAGGAAGGAAGGAAGGAAGGAAGGAAGGAAGGAAGGAAGGAATGAAGGAAGGAAGATTAGTGCAGCAGTAGCAGATAATGGTAATATTACTGCTGCTCATTTTAAAATGAGAGATACAACTTTATCAATATAATGTCTTCCCAATAGAAGACCAGTAAAGTGTTATTCATATGTATGCAATTATTCCATAAATTGTGGTAGATGACATTATTTGTGTTAATAGTGAGGAGCTTTCATAACAATTTACAAAGGATTAACATTATTCTTTAAAGAAACTTGCTTTTCTTAGAACATGTTGGTTTTTATGCAAGATGATATGGTACCCCTGAAAATAAAGCAGAAATCTTGTCTGTTTTTAATTGTAAATACAGATAATGCTCAAATTTTAATTGGATGTCATTCTGAATGATTGCATTGTATTTAGATTGAAGAGTTGCTTTCAAATATATGAGGTTATCTTTCTTTGTCTAACCATTATATACATGGAATTTGATATATCTTGGATTTCTTCCATTGTAATGAGACTGTGATGTCTGATTATGGTGTATCTTAGGCGGGGTATACATGGAATGTTTCCTCTCCATTTGGCAGCATTAAGTGGATTTTCAGACTGTTGCAGAAAGCTGCTTTCATCAGGTAAGCCCTTCAAAATTACTTTTTATCCTTTTTATATAAACCTTCAATGGTTGGCATGTTGTAATTTTATATTATAAAATATAATCAATAGCTTATAATTAATATATAAATTATATATAAATCATTATTATAAATTATATAATAAACAATAATTCACAATTCATATATAATTAATAATATGATATTATATGTTGTGAATTACAATATAGTAAGTTATTGTTAATAATAATATAAATATTGTTTATAAGAAAGTGTAAATTATGGAAAATAATAATAAATATAAATTTTAAATGTTATAAATTTGGGATTGTCACTCCAATCTCAAAGAAAAGTGTATCTTAATCTTTAGTCTTTACATTTATAAGCAAATTGCTCTATATATGATAAAAATTGTTGGAGGATGGACATAACCAATAGGAGGAGCAAAGTGATCCTCAAATGTAAACACCAGAAAGGAATTTTAACGTTTTGTAGTCCCTGTCACCTGAACCCTAAGAATGACGGGTAGTTAGTTTAAACATTGTTTAAAGATGGTTTCTGATATCTAAAATGAGTCTTGAGCTTATTTACTTTCCACTCCTTGCTACTGCAAGGAGGAAATTAGAAATCACTCAGTACCTCAAACTCGAGAAATGGTGTTATGTCACCAAACTATGGTTGATGGAAAAACATAGTTGTGTCCTGGATTATTTGAACTAACCATAGGATAAACTAACCACAATTTCTGCTAAGTTTGTATTTAATAAGAAGATTACTTCAGTAAAACACAGTACTTCATTTAAACGCAAAAGCTAAAGGTCTCTCAGCTGCTCCAGAGAAAGAGAGGGGAAGGGACACGTGAGTCTCAGGTGTGCATATAGCACTGAAACATACTTCAGCATCATTGTAGAGAGGGGTCCCAGTTCTTGCACATGGCATTCAGATAGTTTTAACCAGTGCTGAGGATGAGTTGGGGAAGGTGGAGGGGCAGCTGTTTTTGCAGTTTCAAAGTTGTCAAGTGATGATGCTGAGAGAGTGTGAGAGCCAGACTGCCTTGGAAAAAGAGGGAAATGTTTTAGAACTGGGTGGGAAGGAGAAGGGAGCATTCCTTGTTCCAGTACAGAGGCAACAGGCAAATTAAGTGGACGAGTAAGAATGGTTTGACATTCCTGCCATCTAGCAACTCAAGCAGCAAGAGCCACCCTGCGGGTGGAGGGTGGAATCTTTTCTGAAAGGGAGGGAAGGGAGGGAATACTAGTGCTTGGATTTACTACTTCACATGGGCAGATGCTTTTCCCATATCTCAAAGAGAATGTTACTTCGATTTATGCTGTTTTGTATCTGTTTAAGGGCTAATAAAAGGACAGTGCTTCTAAGGTCTTGTCTAAGTCTCCTGGGAGGCCCTTTTCATGCATTGAAAGCACATACTTTTAAGATTATTACCGCAGAAGTCCTAGCTCATGCTTTGGTCACTGTATAAAGAAGTCTTCTTCCTAGCATGGTCTGTCAAGCTGGATGGCAGAGGTACATTTCATAGATGGTTTCATAAAATGCTTTTTTTGGTAGGCTTTGACATAGATACTCCCGATGATTTTGGCAGGACCTGTCTTCATGCAGCTGCTGCTGGAGGGTATGTATCTTTATAGTTTCAATAGTTTTTTAAATTTACCATTTGGGAGTCTGTTCATTTAGTTTATCTGAGGATTTGTATTATTTATGTAATACTTAACGAATAAGCTAACTGTAGCAATAAACTTAGTACACACATACACAAAACCTAACACAAGCAGATGAAGAGTTGTTGTTATTATAAGGGAAATCTATGATATTAAAGAAGTTTCCCAAAAGTAGATAATTTAGGTTTAATTTCATATAATATAAAATCCTGGTGTTATTGACAGATGCCTGTTCTAAATATATACAGTCATAATACTGTTCTCAATATGTAATACACTGTGTGTGTATCAGGGGTGGGGGGGGGATCTTATTGCTTGAAAATACTATTAAAGACATCTAAGGGAAACATGTTCTTAAAGTTATACTTTATGAAGAATACCAGTTTAATTTGCTGTGATACCATGATTTGGTAAACTATGTATAATATTTATAAAACATGTCTAATTTACATCATTAGGCAAGGATGTTGCTTAAACTATATAATCAGCTGTCAGTATCCAATTCCATTTTCAGGAATTTGGAGTGCCTAAATCTGCTGCTCAACACAGGTGCAGATTTCAATAAGAAAGACAAATTCGGAAGGTAAGTCATGAAGCTTTTTCTGAATATTTAAGATCCATTACATAATTGCATTGTTTGCTTACCTTCAAAGGTCACATACTGTTTTTCTTGGATTTGAAAAACACTTGAATATTTTCATTTATTTTGCTTTACTTTTATTTAATATGGCAGATGTATTTGTGTATGTTAAAATACTTGGTTGCCATTGACTTTTACTGACATAAAACATTATGGGTTATATATGCAAGAACATGTGCAAATATTCTGATATTGACTGTAACTTTTAAGACCCACTGAGTGCTAAATATCTACAACATCTTGATCCTTTGCAGGAAATGTTCAACATTTACTATGGTACAATAACAAATTAAGTTTTGTTATAGTGACATTTTGCCAGTAAATCAGCTTCAGGATCCAATTTCATTCTTGTTGTCACTATTTACCAATAAATGAGTTAATCCAGTTTCACAATAGATGGACTTTCTCTTCTGTGACACTCTAAATTATACTCTGGGAGATTACCCAGCCCCCTGGAGCATTCAAGGGCTATGGGGAGGGGAGGATTGTACCCCTCCCAGTTTCATTGACAAACTGTTATATTAGTAGAATAATGATATTGGATCCAGACTCCTGACGGAATTTAAAAGGTGGGAGACATTATCTGTTATGATGTTGGAAGGTACAAACTAACATTGGCAGCATTCATAGCAGCAATGGGCAACTACTGATGATTGGGGGCTGGGGGTGATTGTCCCAATGAACCCACAGAAACTTTTGAGAAGCACAGTTATACTTCTAAGCAAGATGTACGTAATATGTGTGCGTATTCAGTGGATAATTGTCATAATTTTGGCCGCTGCGATTTTAGTGACAAAAGAGGTAGGGTTCAGAAAAACAGGAAGGGAATGACTCATGCAGCTCCTGGTATATAGAGAAAATTAATATTCAGACAACCCAAAGTCTACATTATGATCTTAACTTTGGGTAAAGCATTTGTATTTCTACCACAATCATATTTTAAAGAATATATTTAAGGATACTTGTATGAAATATGGTAGCAGGATATAGTAAAGTTATACTAATCACTATCAAGCAAATAGTTCATTAAATGCTGCTCAGATCAAATGCTTGTAAAAAAAGAAATGCTTGTAAAAAAAATGTTTGAAAAATAAATGGATTTAGACAATGTATTTATAAAACTGTTTGTATGGTTTGTTACTATGAACAATGATATCTTTTCTCCTGTTTCCTTTTAAATATACCATAGAACTCCCCTCCATTATGCTGCAGCAAATTGCAATTACCAGTGCCTATTTGCCCTTGTGGGCTCTGGAGCTAGTGTGAATGACCTTGATGAAAGGGGTTGTACACCACTGCACTATGCAGCTGCATCTGACACTGATGGAAAGTAAGCATGGTATTATTTTCAGAAATTTTAGGCTGCAGTCTGTACCAACTTAACCTGGGAGTAAATTTGCTTGAACTGTATGTTTGAACTTCTGAATATACAGGTACATGATTGTTAGTGTGTTCAAAATCCACAGTGTTGCTTTCAGAATTCATAGTCTGAAGACACTGTATCACAGATGGACTCACCAATCAGTTGGATGGGTCTGCCGATTTAATATTCCTGTTGTTCTATTATTTCTGTATGCATATGCCACCTTTTTTTCCTTTCAAGGAACTGAAGGCAGTTCCTCCTCTCAGTTTTATCCAGCTGAAGAATTTTTCCAGAAAAACACTCTGTAGATTACTATTTCTTCTGTTTATACTTCTTAGATGTACAGCTTCAGTAATGTTTTTAGAAGCTTTGGCAGATAGAATGGAACACAGTTCTATTTTCAGTAACATATACATGTGTAACACTTGAATCCTAGGCACATTTACCTGAAAGTAAACCCCCTTAAACATCTGAACAAAAATACTGCAAGTTACTTTGTTGCATTTTTAAAACAAGACTAATACCTGGTTCACACAATATGATACCCTGCAGTGGGTTGTCGCCTTTGTTCATTTCACAGTGACTTGTTGTGCTGTCCAAATCTGGTTCAGTTTCTGCAGCATGGTTTGTTAACTCTGCACAGGCTACCTCAGAACTTTTAACTTGTTGAGTGAGTTTGAATGTGACAACATGTTACCCTGCAAATAAGCTATACAGTGAAGGCTGTTCATGAAACAACTCATAGGGCTCCCAACAGACGGTCAGGCCCTCAAGGGGTCCCCCCCCCCCAGTCCCTTCACAGGTAATCCGGGAACTTGACCATGGAATCCATCTTTTCTTCTCTGTGCTTGCTGACTGCAGCCCTGTAGTATTTGTTGTACCCCTTTTTGGAGATTGCTATTCCTTTTCACAATCTCTGAAGTGACAACTACTGAGGGCCTCATCAAAGTGCCCAAATGGCACATTGGAGTTACTATTATTGGTTCACACTTACCTATTTTGATACTCCAAAGTTTTGTCCTCTCTGATTTATTGTATTGTTTTTATAGGAAGTCAGATACTAACCAGAGAGCTTTGGCTATTGAGAAGTAAGGAAATGAAATAAAACATTGGTGAAACAAGGCTACAAAATAGTTTCTTTTTTTGCTTTGCAAAGCCATGCCAAGAAAAGCAAAGCCAGGCAAAAGGCCACACCCTTTACTTTGAGATCATCCAGGATTTTTTTAGTTGGACTTGGCTCTGGTCAGTGTTTTTGCACCTTTTCATTCTTTCTTAAGATTCTGGATGTTTGGGAAAGTTGAAAAGTGTGAACTTTAAATGGGAGCATGGATTTTTGCCTGTTACATTGACATATATAATTAGGTATACACCTATGTCCTTTTATGTGCCTTTGTAAAAATCCCATTTTAAAAGACTGAGCTTTGGCAGCCCCATGCTCCTGTAAATGCTTGCCTTCACCTCAGGAAAATGGTATTTAAAACTTTCCCACTCCTGTTTTCATGCTAAATGTGCCCCCCCCCCCAGAGGTGGGATCCAAAAAGGTAAACAGTCCTTTTTAAAATAATTGGATTAAATCCCACCACCCCACACACACATAGCTGCTCTAGGAAGAGGAACAGGCTGTGAGGAGAAGTCAAGGAGGCTTTTTGTAAGTGTTAGAGAAATAAAGTCAAGAAAAATATCATTCACCTCATCCTAAGATAAGCCTCCTTGCCCTCCTGGAGATGAGGCATGTGTATGTCAACTCAGGTGCCTGGCAAGGCAAGAATTGTAACGTGGGGAGAATCCAATCACAGCGAGAGTCCAGGCAACATATGCCAAAAGGCCCACTGGCAAGGAGATTGGAGGGAAAAAAACATGGCAAGTTGGCAGCAAGCAAGTAACTAACTGACCATGGCTTGTCTCCAGCGTTGGCTTATTTTGATGTGTGAACTGGTCCTATGTGATGACATTGCAAAAACTTAAAATTAAAATAAAAAAACAACAACAAATCTTGAATTGGCATTAACAAGTGAACCCCCTCCCCCCAGGATCCAGAACTGTGTTATGTGTATGTTTCTAGCATGAGGTGATGGTTGAGGGCTCTGTCAGCTTTCACGGTGCAATGTCTATGCATGGGGAGAAGACTCAAAAGGGACTGGTTTCAGATTTCACGCTCATTGCTTCCTCATTGATTAATGATAAGCATTCTATTTATCTTGCATAGGTGCCTGGAATATTTATTACGCAATGATGCCAATCCAGGGATTCGAGACAAACAAGGATACAATGCGGTTCATTATTCTGCAGCTTATGGTCATCGCCTATGCCTTGAATTGGTAAGAGAGATGATTAGTATTAAGTTAAGCAGTGAGAAATGATTGAATCTTTATGTTTAAAAGTAAATGTAGGGAAGTTATTTTAAAGACACCCAAAATTGTATTATTCAGTAAAATAGTATTGGTGGAATCCTGTAGTGGGAGATACTCTCGTAAGCCTTTGAAGTCAGAGGCTTACAAACATCTGATGAAAAGTGCAACAGCAACTGTCATACCTTGCATTTGATTTAGATGCCATTTGCAGTTGCCTGGATCTAGTACCAAGGAGTGATGGAGGCTGGGTTACCAATTCGAAAGAGTGTTAAATGAATCTGTAGCCCAGTCACCTCCTTGCAGTGTTCCCCTTTTCCTCCTCTGAAGCTCATTTGCAACCTCATGGGGAAAGGCAGAGGGTAACTAGTTTAGTTCTTTACATATTGGCTGTGCAGGGGTGGGGTAGCGGGATAACCTATGGAATCTGAGCACCAAGGTCAGAGGACCTCAGAGTTCAGAATCTAAAAAACCCTGTAGTCCCACAGATGATGTCAGGAGACCATAGCAGTGCTTCCTAAACCCTAAAACCTGAGCTCAAGATTGGAAAGCTGCTTTAGTCATAGCTGAGAATTTGGGCACATCCATGGGATTTCTGACTTTTTTGTTTGAATTGCCAGTCTTAATACCATACTGCAAACTGCTTTACAACATCCCATTCAGTTTTAAATATGTGATTTGCCATGTGATATGCTGTTTCTAAAAAAGTCCTCAGCTTCTTGGGCCTGCAGAATGAGTGTTGCTCTTTGAATTCTGACCAGTGTGAGATCTAGTTCAACTAAAGTTAGTTGAATTGTTTCTGTTGAGGACACTGAGGGCAAAAATGTATCCCAGGTTTGGTGCTTGTGTAGAGAAGCTGATAATCATGCAACAACTGAAGGAAATATATATGCCTAGATATGTACACATTTAAAGGACAATGGCTGCTATATATGATTTAAGCCGAGATTTGTGTTTTCTGAAGAAAAACAAAAAGTGTGATTTTTAGTCTAAATTTTCACATTTTAACAATATTTAACTTAAGATGGGTTTTATTGCAGATTGCCAGTGAAACGCCTCTAGATGTTGTAAGTATAAAACCTTTGCCATGATTTTATTGCAAATATTCAGAAGCTCAGTAGCTTAGTAGCATTGAAAAACATATGTTCTTATTAGAGGTTTTGGTATTTATTCAGGCTAGTTAGTAGAGGCTTGATTCAGTAACATAATGAATTGATATAAAATATATGACTCTACTAGTTTTAAAAGCAATCAAGAAAGTTCAGATTCCTATAACATTGTCAGCTGTGTTCCCGTTGGTGCAAGTTTAAACCAGTTAGAGAAATCTGAAAAGGCTGCTTATTTTTAAAACCACTGGCATAATGAGTAGTGTTTGACTGAGACTGGGATTGGGATTGGGATTCTAGTCCTCACTCAGATGAAGCACACTGGGTGATTTTGGGCCAGTCATGAATTGTCAGCCAAACCTACCTTACAGGGTGGTTGTTGTAGAGATAAAATGGAGGCAAAGAAAACCTTGTAAACCAACATGGATTTCTTGTAAGTGGAAGAAAGGTGGGATATAAATGTAATATTACTACTAATAATACTTTTTTAGTTAGATCACTTTGCTTGATTCTACTCATGTTAATAACTGTTGTTCTCATCTATCTCCATTTCTCACCCATTCTTTTTCTGATGACTGATAAACAAATTTAGCTGAATTTAATTTGTTTAAAATTTAGTTAGCAAGTGTGTCAAGTGTTTCCAGTAGTCCTGTTCAGTTATTCAAAAGTTAAAATGTACATGTGAGAAGGAGGAGTGCTCCAGCTCTGTCCCTCTCCTTTGCTGCTTTTGTTCTAGTCACGGAGGGCAATTGTCTGAACAGAAGACCATTTATCAGTGGGGTCCCTATAAAGTTAGAGAACCATAATTTTCCAGCATTCTCAAATATGTGAAGAGCGATGGACAGAGGAGGCTTTCCAGACAGTTGCCCTCCACAAGTAGAGTACAGTGAGTGTGACAAGACAGCTGGGTGGGGCTGGAAGGTTGAATTTCACCCCCTTTTGAATGACTGAATATTGTTAATAGGAAAAGGATAAATGCAATTTCATTTTTTACTTCAATCGCTTACTCACTTTTTATATTTTAATAACTAATTCCTCATCTTGGTATTTCTCATACATCGGAAAAGGAAAAATTGTATAATCACACTTTGCTGAAATATGAATATAAATTAAAAAGAATTTATTGCATTATCAAGTTTTTGTTTTTGTTTGTTTAGCTAATGGAAACATCAGGAACTGACATGCTGAATGATTCAGACAACAGAGCACCAATTAGTCCGTTACACTTAGCTGTAAGTATTTATTTCACCAAATGTTGTTTATTAGCCTATTTAAAGTGCAAACTCATTTTCCTGGATAAGTTAACATAGCTTTGACTCATGATCAGTTGTTGATAGGTCAATAATTATTTACGTTTGGTAATACTTGACCTATATTTGATAACTTTGTAACGTATTAATTTTGGCTTCACATGAAATGTTTCAAATGGTATAGGTTAAAGTATTTCTGTCTTACTTTTTTTTTCTTTTGCAGGCCTACCATGGACACCATCAAGCTCTGGAAGTGTTAGTACAGTCTTTGTTGGATCTTGATGTCCGGAATAATAACGGAAGAACACCTTTGGATCTTGCAGCTTTTAAGGGACATGTTGAATGTGTGGATGTGCTCATTAATCAGGGAGCGTCTATCTTGGTGAAAGACTATGTTGTAAAGAGAACACCGATACATGCCGCAGGTAAAATTTCTAAATTTTTTTTTATCACAGTAGAGAGGAATTAACGAAGTGAGATTTGAAGCAAAGCCTTTCCATTATCTCTGCTCAAAGACTTCCTCCATCTGCATCTTCCCACACTGTTATGTGGAAGCAACCATTCTGTAAAGCTATAGCAGAGGAAAAGATGGGGAACAAAAGCTATTTCCAACACCTCTGCTACAATATCTGAATTACTGAGCACCTCCTTTCCTTGAACTGTTTGTATTGCAGTTGATCACAATAACTAGTATTTAAGTGTAAGTATCACTGCCTGAATAGCATTTCTTCTTCTCTTCCCATCCATCTTTCCTTCTGTGTAAAATCTTTCAGATTGTAAGCCAAGCAGGCAAGGACTGCCTCATTTTATTGATTGTACATACACTATTTTGGCAGTCTTTCCAGCTTGCAAGAAGGAAAAAAGGTGGGATATAAATATTATAAGTAAATATGTTTTAAATAATCAGCAAATAAGACAAATTTGAATAGGGATGCTGTTTGGGGACTGAAAATTTTACAATTTCTGTTAGAATTAGTACTGATTTATCTTATTTACCTTATTGTGGTTATTTTAATTTGGGTTTGTTGGACCATATATTAGTGCTTTTTAATTGTTGACTTGGGAGTTCTTTTTCGTAGAAGGTTAAATGTATACAAATAGCTTTTGTGATCTTCCTTAAAGTTTGGAGCTAAATGACAGCTCTGTACTTGCAAGATGAAGTAATAGACAGTCTGTCAATATTTTCTTAGGCTAAAATGGCAGTCCATCTTAGTAGACATGCAAGCTTTCTGGAATCCTCTTCAGATGTTCAGTCCGTTTATTTATAAAAAGATTTATATGCCATATGATTTTCAAGGTGTCCTTACTACAAAATGTAGTAATACAAAAGCAATTCACTTGATGATAAGGAAGCCATGATGTAAAAGTCTTCTCTACCCTCTGGTATTCTTGCTGCTGCTCTTAGAGAAGTTGTGGCAATCCCAGGGGGCTATCCCACCCCCTCACTGAAGTGCACTTCCAGGCAACTCAAAATTGTCTATAGGAGGTAACGTTTTCATAATATGTAGTTGATGGAATGTGGTTCCTAGTTTATCTCTGTGGAGATGAGACTTAAGAGGGATGACAGGGAGATGTGAAAACTGTCCACTGCTCACTTATGTTTATGTTGCTGCTAGCCCATACCTTTGTTACATGTACAAGAAATTCACGTATCTTTTAATTACCAATCAATTGCATAATTTTTCTTACTTTGGTTTATGTCTATACTACAATAATGGTTCATGCAGCAAATTTCTTCATGAGATTACTTACATGCGTTCAGGAAATGTACAGAATTCCAAGCTGAAAATACATTCTGAAGTTTAGGGAGCCATAATCTAAAATATGAAACAAATCTGGAGAGTGTCACAACACAGTGGGTTGGCTCTAGGTTAGTCATGACTAATGTAAGTTCCATTGAATTCTGCAGATCCACTATTTAATCCAGTTTGTCTGTTATGAAAACAAATTTAGTTTTTGAAACATGTCCATGTTTAGTCCATGATTTGCAGGGATGCATGCTCCCTGCAAGCATCTTGTGATTACTGTAAACAACCTCTTATTAGGCCTATCAGAGGTATGAGTGTGACATGCAAACCTGGGCCAGTGTTGTTTAGGGGACAACCGATCCAAAAGTTTACCAATGATTTGTTGTTGAATCCACTGTTGAGTTGTTTAATTTCTAAATAGCCCATCAGTCCAAGTTTGCATGTCACACTGACATTCATGTTTTTCTTTTTCCAGAAGTGGTGTGTATCCCAGCAAATCATGCATTAATTAACCCACAGTTTGCCACTGTGGCATGTGAACTGACCCTGTGAGTAAAAATGGACCAAGCCAATTTTTTAGCGAAGTTCTAAAAAGCAAGCATTTACCATCTGAATTGTTTTAGAACATTTACTCTGTTTTTAACTAATTATGATCATTGATGTTTTATTTGTTGGTAATATTTTATAGCCACAAATGGTCATTCAGAATGCTTGCGGTTGTTGATAGGAAATGCAGAACCACAGAATGCTGTAGATATTCAAGATGGAAATGGACAGTAAGTTTCAAACTTTTTTCTCTCTTAAAATGCGCCAGTTGGAGCAAGGCTGGCAGTAGACTGGTCTGATGTATGGCATAATGTGTGTACGTTTTCCCAAGTAATAATTGAAATGCATGCAATTCAAAACACCATTCAAAATCCTTTAAAAGATTTTGATTTCTGTTACCAGTGGAACTCCACTGAGCACAAATCTGGATCCAGCTCGCTAACGGAAATATTCAGTTAAACATAACACAGTAAGCATTTGTTTTTATAGCCAAATCATTATGGTTTCTTGTCATTTTTCTGGGCCTTGTATTGACATTACAGATACAGAAATCTAAAACTCCTCTTGTTCTTTTTTTGTATGCAATACACATATGGTTTTAGTTCAGTCTTGATAACATCCTAAGAGGTGTCTACTAATACTGAAAACCTTTTGCTGTTCTCTCTCTCTTTTTAGTCGTCTTTGCTTAAGAAACACCTGCTTTACCTCCCAATCAATAACATTTCTTTGTTGTAGTCTCTGTGCATCACACATATGGATACTGCACCTGGGCAATGCCTGTATTTGGGAAAATTCTTTCAGCTTATTACAGTTTTGGCAGGAACTCCGCATCCGCTCCCCCTCATATAAATAGGCGGAATACCCAACCTTTCACCAGTCTGCTTTTGACTGCCATTTGCTGTGCTTCGGGTTCTCTCACTACTTCCGATTTCCCTCACAAAAGTTTTTTGCCTATTTCAGTCTTTCTAAAAGTCTTTTCCCCTACATTTCCAGATCTCTATAATTCTATCTCTACTGTGACTAGTCCCCTTCCCTTAATCCCCTTCCCTCAAAGATCCCTCTCCCATCCCCTCACAAAAAATGTAAAAACCAAAAAACCCACCCATCATCTTATCTTTTCTCCTCGCTAATGTCTTCCTTCCCTTTCTGGATGGTGCAGTGTTCTGCATTTAGAAGATGTGTTCATCGCAGGGCAAAAATGCTGTCTACAGACAGCCATTTACTATGCTTACTTTGCATTGGAGAGAGGCATCGAGTGGACAAATGTGTCCACTGGCAAGTCTTCACAAAAACGGGATTGCAAAAATTGCAAAAACAGGCTCAAAAAAGTACTCTGGGACAGAGCTCTGATAGTGATGAAGGAGGTCACCAGTGGTCCTCCCAGGGCTGAAGAGAGTGCCAATTTCTCCTTCCTCAAAGAAAAAAAAACCCTTCAAAAATATATCTATCCCCTTTCTGTCTCTCTCTCCAAACCTTGATCAGTAGTTCAAATTTCTTCTCCTATCTCCACTCTCTTCTTGCCATACAACAGCACTCAAAAGCCCCCATCTGCTGCAGCAGAAAACTGCTTCCAACAGTCACGTTGCCTAGGAGAATGCCACAGGCCGGGAAGCATAGGGTCAGTCACCTCAGGGCCAAACTTTGGAGCAGGGTCCTCAGTGCAGTTGATCTGCCCATGCTGCCTGACTGCCCATCCACCTCAGATGCCCTGGCATCACTGCCTGCCCTGCCAGCCCCAGCCACAATTGCCCTGGACATCCTGCTCACCTTAGGTCAAGATCGCCAAAGCGGAGAAGCTCACCAAGAAGGCCAGAGCAGCAAAGATGACCATCCCAGCCAAGGGTCACAAGAAGCACACCAAATCTGGGCATGCTGAGGCTGCACACCAGGACCCCGCTGGTACTGAGAGCTCTCCAATCCAACCGTCTGGTAGCAACATGTGAGGCATCCCTCACTGCCTCAGTTTTGGAGGATAATTTCTGATACCCCTCATCTCTGCCAACCAAGCACACACCATCCCTGGCTTCAGAACTGAGGTGCATGACTCTTCCTTCATTTACCCTGCAGGACTCACTACACCCCACAGCTGGCTGCAGTAGACAGTGCTTACCCTCAGCAATCCCACAGAAACAATCATGCAAATCCAGCCACCGCAGATACCAGTCAAGCTCCCTGTTCTCCAGCTGGGATCAAAGATCAGATTGGTCTTTGCTGGTCCAGACAGAAGGTCACGTGATCCCTGGGAATGCTACCAGGATCACAGGACTTCGTATGATCACAGGTACCATGAGGAAAGCTACCCAACCTTACCTCACCTGACCCTGGGAACAAGCGTACGGAGAGGCACTCCTGGTTTTCCACTCTCCAGCTGGCCCCTCCAGCACTACCACGACCTCTCTGGTCTCACAGACCCACACCCGGCTCCCCTGGACATCTGGCTGCTGCAGTGGTCATCACCAACCCCAGGCCCAAAGTCATCCAGGCTGTGGTCCCCATCCTTTAATTTCATTAAGTACAGGTCAGACCTGGAAACCTCACCCAAGAAATGGCAAAACCAACCCTGGATGCAATCATGGTGCCAAAAGCGTGCTTGTGCCTGACCTCTGCAGGGTGGCCACCTCATCAAACTCATCACCCTTCATAGAACACTGCTGCCTTGATGTTCATGCCAGGGCAGACTGTGCCTTCAGCAGTATGGTTCTATCATTAGTCCTTCAGGAGTGACCCCACCTGCTTTCATGAAGTAAGCTCTCCAGTTGCCCGTGTGTGATGCACAGAGATCACAAAGAAGAAAGTAAGGTTGCTTACCTATAACTGTCATTCTTCGAGTGGTCATCTGCGCATTCATACAAACCCACATTCCTTCTCTTCAGTGTTACCTTCTGAAGGCACTACAGTCCATACCAGGGTTCAGGTGGACTCAAGGGTCTCCCACCTCCAACAGAGGGCCACAATGCTGGTCTCATATCATCCAAACTGAGGATTGGGTGGGAACCAGTCTCATGCCTGCACCGGGCCAGGCATAGAGTTCCCACTGAACAAATCGCAGCTATAGAATCTTTCTGAAACAGGCTCCACACACATGTAGAGCCTATATGTGAATGCACAGATAGCCACTCAAAGAATGACAGTTACAGGTAACTTTCTGTCAGCCATTTCACTTTTTATCTGAATAAAATGTGAGCAGGTCATCATTTCTTTTTAACAATTCATAATGTTTTCTCTTATATCACTTTGCATGCTCAAATGAATAGATACTTTTGATAACCTCTATGACTTTTACAATGCAATCTTGTACATATTTATTCAGAAGTAAGTCACCTTGAGTTCAGTCAGGTTTATTTTCAGGTAAATGTATATTGTATTGCAGCCCAATTTCATCTAAAAGCACACTGTTCAATGGTATTAAAACACACAGTTGCAGCATAGTAGTATTTATCATTGAAGTATCTTTTTCAGCATTTGCCTAGCAAATACTTTTTGGCCATCTGTTGGGTAAATAGGTCTTTATTTTTAACTTGTAATTAATGACCTTCAGTTGTGATATGGTTGAGATGATCCAGCCTGTGTTGCAACCATTACTGCTAAGATAAGGGTTTGTATGACATACCAGCTTTTAAATGAATGCTTCTTTAGTAAAACTTTGTATGTACTTCTGTACACCCATAAGTTTGTTCCATAAATTAGGGTGGCTTGTGTACTGGCTGAAATGCTTGAATTGCTGCTGTATTAGCAGCAAACCTTAATTTTTTTATTATCACACCGAAGTATTGGCCATTTTCTATTTCTTGTGACTTAAAAAACCTGACGGACAGACTTTAAGAATATAAATAAATCCATATTATTACTTGCATTTTCATTTTTTACTAGTTTTCCCATAGACTGTGTTTCCTTGTTTTCATTATGTTTATTTTTAAATTATATGTAGTATTTAAGGAATGCCTCTAATGGCTTTGTATGCTTGCTGGGTTCCTGGAAAACCATGTATCATCAGCAAAGTTTTCATTATTTGTTATTAAATTGTTACTAGAAAGACTTGCAAGTCATTCTGTAAATATGAACAAGCAGGCTTGGGCATTGTATAAATTTTAGGTAACACCTTTCAGATTGCTATGATAGCATTTCACTCTGTAAGATACATCATAAACATAGGGTAATTGTGCTGCTTTTTCCTGTTTACCCAGTCTCTTCCTAATGTGAAGGAAGGGCCTCTTCCCTCCATTAGTATGTGCAGTTAGGACTACTGGTGCTATGACAAGGAATGAATCAAACTAAAGTTTGTTGGATCCTCTCAGCTACCTAACATTGCTATGTCTGCTGCTTTGTGAAATTGTTAACATGAAATGTATGTGCACTTATTTTTTCTCTTCTAGGACTCCTCTGATGCTGTCTGTTCTCAATGGGCACACAGATTGTGTCTATTCATTGCTTAACAAAGGAGCAAATGTAGATGCCAAAGATAAGTGGGGAAGAACAGCATTGCATAGAGGGGTAAGAGAAACAACTGATGGATCCTCCCAGGCAATCCTCTATGTTGGGGTCCTCAAACTTTTTGAATCGGAGGCCAGTTGAAAGGTGCCAGCGATGGGCATGGGCCACCAAGACGGTGCAGGAGGGGGGCTGTGGGGCAGGGCAGGTGTGCGCACAGCAAGGCAGGGGCATGCATGCGCAGAGATTCTTTTCTCCAAGCGAGTGCAAAACGATCTCCTTGCGAGCAAGCCGACACCTCACCGTGCGTGCGCACGTGTGGCAAACTATAGTGGGCCGGATAAATGGGCATGGTGGGCCAGATCGAGCCCACGGGCCATAGTTTGAGGACCCATGTTCTATGTTTTGGTTCAATAGGTAGCATTGCTGAAGTTTGAAAGGTTAGATAAACATGGATGGATCAAAGGGCAAACAGAGACAGAGGGCCGGCTTGCATGATCACCCTGCCGTTAAAACAATCCATATTAAGTTTTAGCTAGGTGGTTTGTTAACTATAGCAGCAATCCACCCTCATTGTGCTCAGATAATAACTGTTAGTAACACCAACACAAGGGTCTATAAGCAAATCAGGTGGGTGAACACAACATGGCTAACAAGCCAGCATGGCCTGCTAGTTGTGTTGGTGATTGTCATGCTTGGCTCCACTGAAATTGATACTTTACATTGATTAAATAGCAGGTAAGTACAATTAACTTAGATTGATCTAGACTATTGTATTTATTTAAGCTTTTTCTAGCTTGCCTTTTAGCAGTATTTTTGATGCTACAATTCAAAATAATTTAAAAATGGTGTTTCATTTCTTCCTTCCTCCCCTCTGGACAGAAACACTGCATAGCTCTGTCCCTTGTTAAAAGGGCTAGTATTCTGGTGAAACAATTAAAGGGTTGTATACTTAGTTTAAGAGAGCAACTTCTTGGTTTTCTTGTGCCTGTGTTTCTCTACCTGACCCTATTTGTGTAACTTTTTTTTCAGGCAGTTACTGGACATGAGGAGTGTGTAGAAGCACTGCTTCAGCATGGTGCAAAATCTACATTACGAGACTGCAGAGGACGAACACCTATACATTTGTCAGCTGCATGTGGACATATTGGTGTACTAGGAGCCCTCTTACAGTCAGTGGCATCTGGGGATGCAGTACCTGCCTTAGCAGACAATCATGGATATACATCATTACACTGGGCATGTTACAACGGTAACTCTTGTTTTGGAAAAAGTACTCTAGAAGGAGAAAGAGCGAAGCTGGCATAGAGTCTCACTGCCAGGAAGCTCGATTCCTTGAACTTCCAGGCTGCAACTGCTCTCAGATTATAAATAAGAGTAGTTAACAAAGTTATCACATTTTAAAATATAGTAGGATGACTCTGAAAGGCTTCTTGCCAGAGGTATCCTGTTTATCTGACCACTACTGTGGGAAGTTTACACCTGCAAAAGAACCTTAGAAGGTTTACAGCTAACTGGTCACATCACAGAACCTGTGGCTAATTAGGTTGTGCACCACTGATTCCATAGGTAGCAACTGATTGCCAAGGCAAATAAGTCTATGGTGGTAAATACTTCAACACATACAGGCAAAGGGTAAATAGGTTTTAGCGTCCACATACAATGTAATCAAGCATTGAAGGGTGTACAGTATTCCATATTTAAATCAGTATAGGCCCCAGATTAAACTACCTCTTTCTTACCTTCCTAGTTGCACTCCATAACTATTATGGCAGCTTTATGACAGCATCATGACCATCCAAAAAAATGAGGTGTGCGTGATTACAATTACCTGAGTGTTGGGAAGGTACAAAAATGCAACTCCATTCCAACTAGTACATATCACAAGGACTAGACAACAGGTGAATTACATCTGTACTTACTGCTAATGAAAACTTCTGACTTGTATTATTTTTTGTTTCCTGTCCAACATTTTAGGTCATGACAGTTGTGTAGAACTTCTTTTGGAGCAGGAAGCTTCCCAGAAAATGGAAGGAAATTCTTTCAGTCCTTTACATTGTGCTGTGTAAGCAACTTCTACATGGCATCACTTGATTTTCATTTTAACAAAATTTGACTTAATTTGGAGCTAATTGCTTTTTATTTTTTTGGTAGGATAAATGATAATGAAGGTGCTGCTGAAATGCTTATTGATACACTGGGTTCTAATATTGTAAATTCCACAGATGCAAAAGCAAGGTAATCATGCAAATAATCATATTCAAGAAAAATATTCTTAATTTTAAGTTGATACCCTGCTTGTCTTCATAGAAAATCAAGGCAGGTTGCAATCAAGTATCAGTGCAAATTACAAGTGATATCCAAGAAACCATATGTTGTGCTGTAGCCTGGTTGTTTGAATATGGAACAAATACGGCCCAATCAGCAAGGTCTTTCCTAAGGATCTCAGCTAGAAAAAAAGGAATTGCTACTAGTTAAAATATTCAGGTTTCCTGCTTTCTGAAGGTCTGTCAGTCAAACCAAGGGACCTTATTTGTGGTAGAAGGTAATAGATAGCCAAGGCAGTAGTTTTAAGATACCTTATATGTTCTTAACAATCTTATCCAGTTATTAGATGAGCAGTTGAAGTGTCTGTCATCAAAATTTCCAAACATTTTAAATAGAGCTCTGCATGAAGGTAATTTGTAACCATAGATAGTGTACAAAAATACAGTTATAATATGAATATTATAAATGTTGGTACCTGCATTATGATTTTAAAATTAATTCAAATATTTCAAAATTATAACTGTTCCAAGTTGGATGTAAGTGGCAAATGGAGATCTGAGCCATAGCTGCTGTTTAGAAGGTCAGATTCAATGGAATGTCTAAACTCTACTTAACAAAATATGGAAAAGGCAAAATTGTCCAGAAACACCTTGCTGAATGGCTGTTGATAAATAAAAAATGGGAGGAGGACAGAGAAAGGGGCGGGAGTACCTTAGAATTAGGCATGGCTGGCTGGGACCATGGCAGGACCACTCTACATTTGTTTTCTCTTTAGACAGTTTTTGATTCACAAATCACAGCTTTTTAAGCATTTGTAAAAACTATGAGTTTAATAAAAATCATGCCTTATATTAAGGCCTTATCAGTGGTTAGTCATTACAGCTATATAATGTGCTCTTCTTTTTCCTTCATAGAACACCCCTTCATGCAGCAGCCTTTACAGACCATGTAGAGTGTTTACAGCTTTTGCTCAGCCACAATGCACAAGTCAATGCTGTAGATTCTTCTGGGAAGACTCCTTTAATGATGGCTGCAGAAAATGGGCAAACAAATACAGTTGGTAAAAAACAAATTCTGTATCTCTCATTAATTATCTGTTTCATAGCATTACTAATTATCTATTTAGTAGCATTACTAAATATGCTACTCTAAACAGCTGTATTAGAATCACTAGGCAGTTTATATGGAGAATCCAAAAGATCTCAGAAATATGAACTATCAACTAAGTAGCTATTTTGATTCATTTTAAGAAACACATTGGATTCAAAAATATAAACCATGATGCAGTGTCTTAAAGAGACAGCCACAACAACTTCTTAATTTAACTTACAGGCAAAGGCCCCTGTATGGGTTCCACTGAGGTTTGGAAAGATATACTACCTTTCAAGTTTAAAAGATAGGATGGTGATCAGTGGGACAGACCATTCCTTACTGTGGTCTCAGGATGGTTTAACAATAAGACAAAATAGAATGAAATACAGCATCTTAATAAAAATTTTTCCATCATCAATAAAACCCCCCATTAAAACAATCAAGTCTTAAAACATTGGGAAAATACAAAGGTTTTAGCCTGGCACCAAAAAGAATAAAGTGACGGCACCTGGCAAACCTGTCTGGGGAGCGAATTCCACAATTGGGGTGCCACCGCAAAGAAGACCCTTCTCTGGGTAGCCACCCTCCTAATTTCCTGCAGGGAGAAGGGCCTCTGGAGAAGGGCCTCTGCCCCAGATCTTAAGGGGCGGGCAGGCACATATGCCTTCATGTAACCAGGCCCTAAGCCATTTACTAAATTTACTAATGGTTCAGTGAGTGATGAGAAACCTTTCACATCTAGTTATGCTTCAAATTTGGGAACAATAACAAGTTTGTCTCTTGATTACTATAAAAATAAATATAATAAAATCTCCATTTAGCAATGCAACTTTTCAGTTAATCTAAGTCTTCATTTCTTTCAGAGGTGTTGGTTAGCAGTGCTAAAGCTGATCTGACCTTGCAAGATAAGTGTAAAAACACAGCACTGCATTTGGCTTGCAGCAAGGTATATATCGTTTTTCCAGTTTGGGGCTTCTGAGATTTATTGCTGTGTTTTGTTCACATTATCATTTCTCCATTCAAGTGCAGTTAGTTAAGAGCAGCAGTGGCAATACAGCATTTAACTGTAATAGGAAAGAAATAAATCTCTTCTATGAATGCATGGGGAGGGGGAGAATTGTTTACTATCTTAAATTAATTCATAGCTATAACAAGATTGTGAAGCAGGTAATTGATTTTTAACCATAATGATTTAATGCTAAAACAAACATGAGTAAAGCCAACTTGTGGTTTTTCTGTGGTTGACCACATGTTTGAACTCTGTTCAGGAACCATCCATTTACTGGGCAAATAGAACACTTTATCTTAGACACCAGACCTTCTAGGAGTAGGGTGAGAGGGTGGTACTGTTCTCAAAGGGAAAGCAGCAGAAAGGAATACAGTCAGGAATACAGTTACGGATTTAAAAAAAAGAGTCAAATGCAGGCTGTATCCTGTCTATAATATCCAAATACCAGCCCTTTCTGATTCTAGTAAACTATCAGTGGACCATACTGTACCTTAGTGCTAATTTAAAATTCTACCTGGAAATTGCAGATAATCTATTGCTTGTATATTTAGAGACAACATACATGAATTGTTTCAAGAATTCATACAGAATCTGCCAAATTGTACAGTAATAACTACAGTTTTTAAAGAGGAAAAATAGAATAGTAATGATTGTTTTTTATTTTAGGGTCATGAAACTAGTGCCTTGTTAATACTGGAAAAGATTACAGACAGAAATCTCATCAATGCCACCAATGCAGCATTGCAGACGTAAGTAGAAACTGTGTGGGAGAGTTTTCACAAAACACTAAACCATGGTTTAGTACTTCAAGAATGAGCTACAGACTGACTGTGATCAAAAGCCTTCACTTCTGTTTTAGATTAACACAGTGTGTCATCCAAAGCATAGAACTGTGGTCAGTCTTAGCTGTAGCTTCCTGACACAAGCCAATTTCCTAATCAGTGGGACTATTTGACAGCCCATTGTGGAATAATTTACCTGCAAGTGGCATTTCTGTATGTTATCCAGCTTGCTGCATTGTATGAATCCAGTCAGCGGGAATTGTTTGAGGGTTAAACAACCCTCATATAACCCAGAACTAGCCATGGGTTATTTGTGGTTTGCCAAACCTGCAAACCCTGCCACCTGGGTTTGTGTGACACTGCAAGTGAATGCACAAGGCAGAAATAGTGCCCATGCCTACATAATATAACAGGCTGTGCAGATAATCTAAGCTGCAGTTGACTCTCATGTGATGCAAACCATGGGCTTTTTAAAAGAAACCATAGGTAAGAATCATCAGAGTTCATCAGATTTGAACAACTCAGAATTTGATTGCACTATGATTAATCAAATGCAGAATTCTCAGACTCCCTATTTGTTGCTGCACTGGGATTGAGGGGACAGCAGAAATGGGCTGTATGAGAAAAGCTATTCAGTTTTGCTAGGGGCTTTACCTATTATGTATGTGCTTATTTACTTCATTGTAAAATGGAAAACATACTAATTCCTGGCAGTATGATACTTCATTTATTAGGAAATGTTGAGCAGTTGTCCATGCTGATAATTTTGAAAATTAGTTAATACAAGCTTCATCTCATATTGAAAATCCATATGCTGTGTAGACCGGCTGTCTGCACACATGTTTATTGTACTTTTAATTCTACAGAGCCATGACAAGTGGTTTAAAAATATTTTTGGATTATATTTATTTTCCATACCATCTAATAGCTAAAGCTCTTGTGATTGTTTATAGCAATTACAAATAATTCAGTACAACCAGAGGAATGAATACTGCTCAGCTATTTGGAGAGCATTTATTCCAAAATAGAAAGTGTACATATTTTCTTTAATATGCATCCAGTTGCCTAATCACACCAATAAAAAGAAAAAAACTGCTAGTAGTAAAATAAAGAGTTGCATGGTGATTTTGTATGCATTTTAAATTTAGTTATCATAAAGTTTGTTACACTGTGTGGATTGTTTTCACAGACCTTTGCATGTTGCTGCTCGAAATGGATTAACAGTTGTAGTTCAAGAACTTCTAGGGAAAGGAGCAAGTGTACTTGCAGTAGATGAAAATGGTAAGCACATGCAAGCAGGGTGAATTCTTGTATTAGTTAAAAGTGTAAGATCTTGCTGATTTATACCACTGTGTACATTATTCAGATTCCAATAGTAGCCAGACCACTATATCCAAGAAGCCTGTTTTTTTCCCCCTTACAATATGTAGCTCTGTCTTAGTAGGCAAGAGTTAGCCCTTCAGCTAGTTATGAGGGCTGCCAAAGAAATACTAATTTTTATGCTCCTAGAAGAATGGCTTACCTGTAATTTCAACTGTATTCATTCCTATGTTGGCTGTTCTTGTGTGAAGTTCCATTCTCACTTGACCAAGGAGGATGTTCTAAATGCTTTGCAGTAGCCCCTCCGCTAGTAGTAGGCAGAGTCCAGTATGTCAGGTGCCCATCTGAGACATGGACTAATACACATATCAATCTTCCAGACTATCGTGCAGATCTCTGGTTCTGCATTTTCAAATGTTAATTGAGCTTAAAGGATGAGGACAACTTCTCACCTGTCAATTCTTATGCAGAACTTGACTAGGTGGGAGTTTCAGTCCTCAGGTTTTCATTTCTTAAGGACAAGCATGTCATTTTGCATGCTTTTTCCCACAGCATGTTTTTTGTCTATTTGAGCAAGAAATATGAGCCTCTGTTGTCCTTCCCTGTTGCAGAGACTAGTGAATACTATCTGCCACCTAAGAAGTTGCTGATAAAAGGGTGGTGATTAAGCAAATCATTTCTGAGGACAGGGAAGAATCTAGTTTGGTGTTTTTCAAAGTCTTTATTCTGTTGCTAATTAAATACAACAAAATGACTTGATACGGTTTGGAGAGTCTTAATGGTGCCTTGTAACCATCAGAGCAGATCCTTTAAACTTGGTGTACACTTGAGAAATCAGCCAGTAATACTCAGCAAATGAAGGCAAACAAGCTTTCGTGTGCCTACAACAAATGAACACTAGGAATTAAATGGAAGCATGCTGGCTTCAAGCAATACAGTTGTTATTGCACATTGTTGTGATTTCTTCACTATTGGTCATTCCTTCTACTTTAGGAGGACATGTTTACAAAATGTAAGCTAGGTCTTTCTACAGGAGCATCTGTATTAGTAAAGTAGGCAAGAAGGTACTGTAATAAAGACAGGGATGAGGAACATGTGGCTATAGGGAATGGCAACTACTGTCATCCTGGACCTTTGGCCATGCTGACAGGCTGCAAATCTGTACTGGGATAGGAAATAGGTTCTCTGCTGCTTCTCTAATACATAGCAGCAACTCTCTTCTGCCATATTAGTTTTCTAGAATACACTGAAATCAAATCAAAATTAACATGTGGGGACTTCAGCTTTTAAGCAATATAGTATAACAGAACTATGCTTTGTAGCTATACCAATCCACAAAAAATTAAAGATTTATCTAACAAAATTATGCTTTTGTTTTGATTTTAGGTTATACACCAGCATTGGCTTGTGCTCCCAATAAGGATGTGGCTGATTGCCTAGCTCTCATTCTGGCCACAATGATGCCTGTTTCATCAAGCAGCACATTACCTTCCCTTACATTCAATGCCATTAATCATTACACCAACACCTCAAAAACTGTCACCTTTGACTCTTTGCCAATTATCCGAAGTGAACATAGCTCTTACTGTAGTTTCAACAACATCGGGAGGGAAGATGGCTACCCATATACGGAAGAAGATGAACTTAATGACTCAGATTCTGAAACCTATTAAGGAACTCCATTAGAGGGCTAAAGAGTGAACTCACTTGCTGAATTTTGAGACTGTTGCCTGAGAAAGCAGTCTCACTGAATATTAAAAAGGACAACTTGAAGAGAATTTTTTTTTTAAATGTGGGTGACATGAAAAAATGTGCAACACCCAAGAGACTTTTAAAAAGCAGGTTATGCAAAGGAAATACTTTGGAATCCATGGTGCAAAAAATTATATAGAATGTTATTTAATTGCAGTGTACTGGGTTGTCCATGGTACCATGAATAATCCCAGCAAAACTGTGCACCAATGTTCATATAAATGAATGCAAAGTCATACAACTAAGAGAGATAGATTTAAAACAATACCAATAAAACTAAGACCATTTTAAAGGCAATAATTGAGTTTGGTACAGAAGGTGTAGTTTGTGCAGCAAATTGCCAAAGGACCAAATAACTTAAGACTTTTTTAATTAAAGAAAACTTTTTTTGAGAAAACTTGAATAGGTTAAAAATAAGTCTTAACCAACCCTTAAATTACTTCTGGCAATTAATCTTAGATTTGGTTTTAAAAGTTGATTTGTTTTTAATCACATAGGAGCCTTCCGACACAATTAAATGACATGTACCATAAAAATGTAATTTTTATTCTCTTTTTTTCTTAAATGAAAAAGAACTTGTCACAATCTTATAATACTAAAGCTGTAACTTGCTTAACAAGGAGTAGTCAGGGTGAAACGTGTACAGTATAAAAGGGGAAAGAGCAGTGCAGTAAATCTATATTGCACAGCTATCTTTCATTTACAAAGAAAATCCTGCTGCTTAAAAATATTTTTTTATTCAGGATGCAGGAAGGGTAATTATCTTGGCAAGTGAGATTACATCAAAAAACAGATTTGCAATATCCTGATGCCCTGTTAGGCTGCCTTAGGAAAAGAATTTTCTACAATTCACCCAGTTCTACAGCATATAGTAAAATGAGATTTGTGCCTCTATGGGGTGTGTGTGTGTGCGCGTGTGTGTGTGTATATATTTTTAACTCCTAGGCTTTTAAGGCACAGGATATGGCTGGTGTTGATTTAAAATGTTTTCTCCTTATCTAAAAGGTACAGTGTCGGATCTTTGGGAACATATAAAAAGTGTTTCATTTTACAGTTTATGAAAAGAGACAGGTCCTTTGCTATAGTTAAAACTTGTCCTGAGTTTTTCTAATTTATGATAGGTTATTTTGAAAAAAACAAACCCTGGAATGGAAGGCATTTTCTCAAACTTAAGCAGAAGTTTGTTAAAATGGAGGTGTTTTACTTTATTTGGTTCTGCTTTAATTAAAGTAACAGTTTAATTATAACTTGCTTATGTACGTGCAAGGACTCCTTGCATGTTGAGGTAAAACAAATGAATTGCTATAAACTGACCCTAACCTTTTATCCTTTTTGTATTGTGAAACTGGAAACCTTAATGCCATTGTAAATTATCAGCTTGTTTTCTGAACATAGTGTGGAAACACAGGACAGTATTTTGATCTATTTGATAATTTTGTGGGTTTTTGAAGAATTAATGAGCATGTACATAGAAATAGCAACTGCTTGAATACTGTATTTACCTGCACTCTTTCAGTACATCAAGATTTCTGTGTATATTTTACAGAGTATAATAAAACCCAGATGTGAGTTGTATTTAATGAATAACTTGAGTAGCAGTGTGGGATAATTAAGTGTTAATTCTTTAAAGGGCTTCTTTTATTAAATACCTCAGACTTATACATCATATTTACAAAGCCTTTTTAGTCCTCTTGTTCTAAAGCAGAAATTAATACTTCATATACTTAATTAATTTGGAGGCTTCTTGATCATTGTATTTTGATCAGTGGCTGCCTGACATCAATACAAAAGGATCATATGCTTTTGGACAGCTTATAAACATGTTAACTTTGCTTGTTTCTTGAATGTGCTGTTTTTAGCGAATGGGGCTGCCAAGATATGGAGCTCTGAAATCAGAGTCAGCAATGATACTTCTATATATTTGTTTTGCATTTGTTTAACAAATTAATATTAATGTTGACATTTTTCTCATGTTAATTTTTTCTTTTTAAAAGGATTCTTAAAGCAGTTAATATAAAAACAAATGCCATAATTTCAGACAATATGAAAAATAAAAATGCTACAATAAAATGCTAAAAATAAATATTATAAACTTCCTACCCGAGCTAATCGGGGCAAGGAATGGACACCAAACAATGGAAGTGCTGATCAAACAGGAAGTGAAGGCAAACAGAGGTGACTACAGCAATGATAGTAAGTAGAAAGGAACCAGCAGTGGGTGGTCTGTTTGGATCTAAGCACAGGAGGAGGGCAGGGATCTCACAGGAGACACTGTACCTCCAAATCCAATGTGCTACTGAATTATACCTCTACTTTTTCTTGAGCTCAAAGGTTAGGAATGGAGGGGACAAACAAGGATCCTCCTCACTTTGCACTAAAAGACCTGTTTCTCCAGTGCCTCTGCCTAGTTGAGCAGCAAATTTGTGAGATCCTACAACTGGTAAATTGATGAAATAATCCAGCTTGAAGCTTTTTTGTTCAAAGAACACACACTGAAAATGCAAGCGATCCTAAGTAATCCAGACAGTTGAATAATAGTCTTTGATTAGTTTCCTGGGTTAATTTTGATACATTTTCTTATCTCAAATTCCTCACTTAATCCTTGTCAAACCATCGCCCGTATAAACCAGCTGTTATTAAGCCAGAAGATCCTCCCTTTTTCTGCATGACATAATAGTTGTTTTTCCATCCCAAATGGTCAGCAAAGTCTAAAGTGACATCAGACCTTAGCAACAGAGGAAAGACAAAAGCAGTACTGAAATTTCCTTGGAGCTGAAAATCTATCAGTCCAGTTGCCTTTGTGACTTCTTGCCCACAAGATGTGTAGTTAAGTCCAGCACATTTCACTAATGCACAGGCTTGTACATAGTATGTTCCATGAACTGTGTGCAGGCCATCAAAAACTCCTAAAACATAGAGTTCATTAGATAAAACCAATCTCTGATAACTTAAGTTACAACAAAGTGTATTAGAACATACTTGGATATCTCCTTTAGCTTCCATTATGGGTATGAAAGTGAAATTATCATACATCATTTCTGCATAAAATATGACTGGAGGTTCTTTCTGTGTTATGCCACAATGGACTTCTTGATCTTCCTTATAACAAATGGGATTATCTGTCTGGAAGCTTGAAAAACTCTTCACAGGCTCTGATGTAATAACAGGGATTTCTGCAACAATGAGTTTGCCATTAATACTTTCCATATCATAATAAATGGAAGATTTTGTTGGTGTATATATACCACTGCCTGTCATACCCAGGTCAGGATGATGGATATTTGCTGCCAGAAGATTGATATTAAAAGCAGTTGCAAAAGCTTGTTGAAATTCTACAGCTGACAGAAGTGGGAGCTGGTTCATCCATGCTGTAGGATATGCAATCTGCTTTACACTGAATTGCTTGATAAGGTTCACACTTGGTTCATAGAACAGGATATCAAAGCAAGTGAAGATTCCAAATTTACCAGCAAAAGGTGTATCAAAAATAGTGTAATCTATCTCTGGTGGAGTATTGAAGGCTTGTTCAAAATACAGGTTTTGTTTTCGATATCTGGCTATGAGTGTACCATTGTCACTGAATACCACGTTGGTATTAAACTGATACCTTCCATCTGGTGGGCAGTGTGGATCGCTGTGCTCACATGACTGCTTAGTTCCTAGGTTTGCCACTAAAAACACTTGATTCTTCCATGCCATACAGCTGAGTTTATGGAGAACCTGAAAAAAACGTGTTTAAAATGGTAAACATTGAGCTCTTCTATTAATAAGCTGTTGGATCAGTTGCAGATACAGCATCTATACTGGTAACCATATTTTGAAATAATTATGAAAATATGTTCAGTGCATTTGAAAGTCATGTACACATTCCTGAGCACGTATTCTCTGCTCAGGAATTCAATAGCATTTGGTGTAGCTATAGATTGCAGCTCTAAAACACTGATTCTTGTAGTATGTTTCAAGATTATTCTGCAAACATTAAGGGAATAACTCTACAGCCCCTAGACCATGGGTCCTCAAACTACGGCCTGGGGGCCGGATCCAGCCTGCCATGCCCATTTGGACCCACTGCATACGCACCCACACCCATGCATGTGCCCACCGCCACCCACCTTGCCCCGCACATGGGGAGGCAGCGGTTTGCTCGCTCGGAGAAAACAATCTCCAAGTGAGCAAGCCACTGCCTTGTGCACCCGCCTTGCGGTGCCTGCCTGCACCTCCCTTCACCTCACCTTGCTGCATGCCCTGCCCCCGCCTCAGCGTGTACGCCTGCATGCACCGGCCTGTGCGCACTGCCAGCACCACCTCTCCGGCCCATGCCCTGCACTGGCAGCTTTCATCTGGTCCCCCTGGTGGAAAAGTTTGAGGACCCCTGCCTTAGACAATACCTAAGGGACCTAGGATAACTTTGATTCACAGGTCTAAGGTCAGTGACCATGTTCTGACAAGCAAATCAAAGCTCTTCTTCCTATTCCCCTTTCACCTTCCTGTGCACTCAAGTATGAAAAGAACCACCTCAGCTGCTTTCCAAGGTCAAAAAAGCAACCTCAAAGAAGGATAAAAGCGAGTGGGGAGAGGAAGAGAGAGAAAAGGCCAGGACACAAGGTATTTTTCCACTGCTCCAGCCTCCTTCCCTTGTTCTGCAGAGGATGTTTGTAAGCCACGAGCGTCGTGATAGATTGCAACGTAATTACTTTGCTCAAATGAGTGTCTTCATTACAATAACTCCATGTATTACTCTTTAAGAGACAAAGTAATGTTGAGAAGATTAAAAGCATTGTTCTAAAGATTGTTTTTAGGACATAGTCCTATGGCCTGCCAACATTGGCTGGGGAACCACAGAATTGTTCAGAGTCCCAGCTCCAACCTCAGAAATGCCTTCTGAGGCCAGAAGCAGGACTCAGATTTCAGAGGGCCCTTGTAGTTCTTTTCATGCCAGGTAGGCACCAAAGACAGCAGAACTGGTGTGGATAGAGGGGGTATTCTGGGATGTGGGGAGGAGCAAGGCATCATCATCCCCTGAAGAATCCTGGTAGTGCTTCAGCTTCTCTTGTGAGGAGGAGGAAAGAATTTAGACAGCCAAAACAAGACTTGTAAATATTTTGTTGGGCAAGAGGAACATGGAGGGAATCCTGGCCCCAGTGTTCCTCCCACCTTCCATTGGATGCCTGTAGTTCTCCAAGTTCAGAGTATTCAAGGCAGCTACACTAGAAGGTGCCCTCATTAACTTACATTGATCTAAATAGCTGAACAGAAGGCATCTCTTTGTGATACTACACTTTGTGGGAAATATATTTAAAGTTTCAGCAAAGAAAAGCAGGGGGGAATTTTTAAAAATGGAAAAGAAAAATTGAGCAAAAGATTTTGATCAACTGATCTTGAAAAAAGTTCGGAAAACGTTCTCAGTTGTGAAACTGCAGCCTGTAGCCAGGGTCTCAAATTTGGGGCCCATCCATAACCACCAATGTACCCACAGATACTTCTCTTGATACCCACCAAGCATCATTCCTTTCCTGTTTTTTTAGGGTTTCAACCCCATATGGTTCATGGCTGAAGCATGTCCAGCTAGCCAAAAAAAGGTAAGTTGTAGAGGATTAGGACATGTACTGGCACACAGTTGATGTTTTGCCTTGGCATGCATATGGGGGAAAATATCGGCTTTGCTAGAGGGGATGAATGTGGGTGTTTCACTGAGTATTACCAGTTTTACTTTTATGAAATAAGTATTTTGTTGGGCTCTGTAGATGGAAATAAATGATTTAACATTTGGCTTGAATCTTACACCCTGCTTTTTTGGCCAAGTTACTTGTCTCTGAGCCTCAATGTTGCACAATATGCAAAATTGGCATGGGAACACAAAACTTGTTTCAAAGGAGTGGTTTTGTGTTTTGGAACTCAATCCACATCCCTGCCTTGTACCTTAGGTTCTGGGGCAAGTTGCTTTTATTTTTGTGATACCAATTTGCCTTCTGAATGCCAAATATGCCTGCCAAACCAAGAAGGTTGGTAACCCCAGTGAATGACAAGAAAACTTGAATATTTTTCAGCAATATGGCTTTTTAAAATTCCTGGTTACCTCTCTCCAGCCTAATTCAGCAAAGGAGATAAGTATACACAAAATAATGTTACATGGCATTAAGGGGCTTTTTAAAGTAGATGGGCAGGGCAAATGACATCAAGGAAGGGTAAGTACTTATTCATGGGGAATAATCTGGCCCCAAGACCAAATGTAGTTGCTCTGCAGTGACCTAAACAAAATTCATATATAACATTTAATCTAAACCAGTGGCATCTTGAAAATCACATAATTAACTGTCTAGCTAAGAAAAAGTGATCTATGTTTGTTTGTTTAATAACAGAAGCCTGCTCTTGCAGTACAAATGTGTAAAATATTATTTTGTTTTGTTTAGAAATAATGTTGTCTTGAACAAAAGAGGAAAAATTATAACTAAATGGGAGAATCTGTCCAAAGGGTAGTGTATAAAAATAACTGTGGCTGTAGCAGGTAGGAGTTTATTATACCCTTCACAGCCAAGCAAAGTTAAGTGATAGAAATCAATGGATGTGTATTTATAGAAACTGCAGTTTTACCTATTCCCCATTGACCTTGAATAGGTAGGCCCCTTAATGCTGAATCAAGAACTAATGCATAACAATCCTAAAATGTTACTCATGTCATTTATCATTGCCTCAGCAGTAAAAAAAGATCTTCTCTAAAGATCTCAAATGTATCAAAGTATTATTTATTTGTAGTAAAAGTATACTTAATAAGACTTTCCAGTTCACTGTTGTAGAATCTAATGGTTCCACTCAGATTTTGTTACAATTCAAGTATACCTATTCAGATCAATGACTTAAGCTGCCAATACCCAAAGGCTCACAGATTTCATTGTCTCCACTCCAACTGAATGTAGATGGAACATATTTAATCCCAGCATTATATCAAGAGTTTTTTTAAAAAAGTACTGGCAAAACATCACCTATTCCTTAATACTGTTTGTCTTTCTCTGAATGCAGTGAAAGCAATGATGGAACTGCTCCTCTGTTTTTGCTTTTTACCCACAAAGAATTCTGTCACTCATACCTCAGTGTCATTGAACAAGTATGCTTCTTTGCAGGGATTCCAGGTAACAGAGTCAGGATATGGAATGAAATCCAAGTAAGGATAAATGGATGTCCTGGTGAAGTTGAAACCCTGAATTCCATCCTCTGGAAAGATGATTATCTGTGCCCCCTGACAGCAAATACAGAACCAGAATAAGAAAGGAGAAGAATGTGGAATCTTTCCAAGAACAAACAACTGCCCACATAACTGTCTTAATCCCATTCAAGTGTTGTCAGTTCTTGGAACACATAAACCTTTGTATTCCATTTAATTTTTCCCCTGGCCTTTTTAGTGGCAGATCTGAAATGAGTGCTCATACGTGGCAGTAAGCACCTGAATAGTATGACAGCCACAGGGTCAGCACAGGAATGTTAGAAACAAGTATCCATGCCACATCAATCTAGTGAAAGGGTGACCAGGATGATCTGGGCACAGGGCACCCTAAAGGTGACATGGAGAGCCAGTGTCCAGGCCACACTGAGAAGTAATAGGTGAGCTCCACTCAGCTAGAGCACTGCCTCTCAGCCAAATATACTTCAAAGTGTTGCTGTGGGGATGAAATTAAGAGCAGGAGGATTATGTATGCTGCCTTGAGTTCCTTGGAGGGAATGCTGGCTACAAACATAACAACCTATTTTTAGCAAAACTCTACTCCTGAGTGATTGATTTATACCTACCAGAATGAAGGTAAGTTGTTCTACTAAAAAAAAAGTAGAAGTGAAAGTCTTTCAAAGGTGGATAGTTAGAAGGGTCTGACCAATTAAAACTTTGAACATTTGAATTGCACTACCATTTTAACCATTCCCATAGAGGTATTTCAAGCCCATTACATGCTCTTTAACAAATTCAAGCTCCTACTAGATTGTTATTTACAAAGTTATGTCTGTAAATAAGAGATAGGAAAGAGGAGACATAGCCATAGCCCTTAACAGTAGGTCAGCCATAATGGCATTTTTCATTTGTATTGGCATCAATGTTTTAAGAACAGGCACATGAGCCAGAACAATTATACAAATAACCTTGAAGATCATTTTCAGGGTTGCATATTATGGCACAGCACCGTTAGGCTACTTTTCAGGTTCTCATATGCTATTTTTCAGATTCTCATAGCTCTGAAAGTAGTGGACCAAGCTGGATGTGTTATATAATGAACAGAAGTAGGGAATTGCACTGCTACATATGTAACAATGGAAATCTTTTACAAGTGAAATGCTGTAAGAGGTTAAGCTCCGGAAAATTACAGAAAAAACATGCCAATAACCAATTAGTAAACCATTGTTTACTAATAATTACAGAACAGAAACCTGTTACACCAAAAACCAAGAATCCCATCACTCCTCAATAACTGCTGACTTGTTATGACCCAAGCAGCGGTGCATTTCATCCAATGTCCCTGTTGTGTGCCCCCCTGCAAACACAACAAACCCAAGGTTTGAATCACAGTCACATTTTATATAAAGGATTTATAAAGATATTGTGCTACCTGTTTAACAGCAGCAATCACTTGCTCTTCATAAATGTCTAGGTTTCTGTTCATCAGTTGTAATGCAGTCTGTCGGTCAGTGATGGCTGTTGGATTGGGGTTCAAGATGACAGGATGTTCATACACAGCAGCAACATAATGTCTGTCTCTGTGGTCATTTCCAGAGAGGACTTGGTAGCAGAACAGAACAAGTATGCAGCTGCTGCCAAAAGTAAGGTGTGCCATGAATCTAAAATGGAAGCAGATGCAAGGGGAATATGACCAGTAAGGCAAAAGATGTGTAGAAAGTTTCTAACATTTGTCCTCATTCTATTAAACATTTACAACTGAGTGGCAAGAGCCACTTGTAAAATGCAAACTGAATAACAGAGGTATTAAGTGTGCCTTTGTTGCTTATGAATGTGTTTCAACTATCATATCAGACAATTGCTATAGCACAAATGCAGAAGATGATTATCTCTTTGTATACTAAAGGATAAGAATGAACATAAGAAATATAGTTGACTTATTCCACTATTCCACCATGTGCCATGGTTATGGAGGTGGTGATAAGTAACCCAGTTCCTGGGAAAACCAACAACACTGGGTGGAGGAGTTCAAGCAGGAGGCTTGGGAAACCCTGAGGAGTCCAAGTGCCTCTAAAATCCACCTGCTCTTGGCTAGTGCCAGTGCTGATCAGAGACCAAGGGATACCTATAGCGCTTTGATGTGGAAAATTGGGAAGATGGTAACTATCATCATTGGTCATAACACTGCAGTGCAAAAGGTAACAGACACAACCACATATTTTCCAAGTATAATTTGTGTTGCTAAAGAGTCAAGCCATAATGATGCACATCTCCCGTAGGAGTAGAAGAAGGAAAGAGATGACTGCTGGAGAGGACAGAACTCAGAACGACCATTACTGTAACAAATGTGGCCACTGGTATAAGTTATTGCTAGGCAAGAAATGGCAAAGTTGGCCATTTCCTGGACACTGTATCCTGGAAGCAGTCTGTGGAAACCTCCTCCATTAGTACGTCTACTTGCTTGACCTTAAAAGGGGACATTGCATAGTAGTTAAGATTCTGTCTACAGCTCAAGACTGCTCGCGTATGGAGGACAGACTTGTCCTGGGAGCTGCACAAAAGTTTATGAATTATTTGTTTGAAGGTGCAAATTCAGGTGGCAGTGGGGGGTCCATAAAAAGAGCCTGGGGGAGCTGTTGGTGGCTGCCCAATCCTATGTGATAAAATGTTGGCTGAACCAGCTACTGCTATTTTCAGCAACAGGTTGCACTCAACAGAAAAACTAGCTGACATGAACAGAAGAACCAGATGGCAATACTATCATTGCAGCATGCCAGAGCATGTGTGTGCATCGATCTACTCACTCTACTGTGGGTTCTTAGCATAGAATCAGTACAGGACTATTCTACAGTGGAAAAGAAGAAGAATGTACCTTTTCTAGGAATGCTTTCTGCCCTCTTGGTTGTTTTCCACAAGGCCAAGATTGGAATGCAAGTAATTGCTATCTCAATGGGCTCTTGTTTTCTCTCTGCCCTATTAGCACTTGCCCCAAGAAGCCATCACCTAGGAAATCGAATAGACAAAAAGTTCCAAATGCTCTGGTTGAAAGAGTTGAGATAGCAGAAAACATGCCAACTGATGCACATGTGAGTATGCATATACAGCAGCTAGCAGTTCTTGTGTCCTAGTCAGACCTCAGCCTTAATGTGAAAGATTGTTATAAAAGATTTCAGTTTGTGAGAGAGCGGTTTCTGCAGTAGAAAGGGAAGCATTAAGTCATGCATGTACAGCAAAGACTGATTTTAGCATATGCACTACACATGCAAAAATGTCCATCTCTTTTTTTCTGACATGCAGCATCTCAGTTTCATCTTACCTATAGTTGTCTACATACCTGTACCCTAGGTTGCCACCCATGCTTTCTATGCCAGTTGTGCAAAGTGTTATGGTAGAGGGTACATGTATTTTGCATCTGCGTAAATGCCAACAAAAATGGTTTCTTTACTTTGCAGAGTGTATATTATTCACTGACGTATCTGAATGTTTCCTTTTCTATCCTGGCACCTTTGGATCTACTAGTTTGATTTCGCTCCTCTTCCAAGTTAAGTTTTGCTCTTGATAAATTTGTAGCTAGCTGCTATGTTTATTGTTTTATATGTAGTATTTTTATAATTTTTGGCTTGTTAGCCACTTTGGTTTCTTTTGGGACATAAGGTACTATATAAATGTCTACAAATACATTTGAATGCTTCTACCGTCAAATCTAATCGAGAATGCCAATGTAACTTGTGCCAAAAAAAGGTCCAATATAATTGCTATTATGTTACCAGAAGGTTTTGTCTTGTTAGTGTATAAAAGTAGTCAAACAAAATTAAAATAGTCCTTGCCTACTTTGAATATTAAAAACATTCCAGCCACATTGCTCACTCAGGATGACTGGTTATTATCTGGCATCCAGCTAGTCTAGCTGGTCTAAAACACCATCATTTCTGAAGAAAATGTGACACATTTTACGAAAGATGTCCAGAACCCTGGATAGGAGTCTGCTGACATAAGCTTTCCCTGACAGGTTGCAAAGTGGAGACTGAAGGAGAGCTTTTGTGTGCAGTAGTCAGCATTCCTTATACAGTACTGCAAAGGACAAAAGATGTTTCTCAAGCTGTTAAACATTTCCTTCTACAAACAACAGAGCTCTGTCATGGTGTTTTTTAAACAAAATCTATCCAACGAGTAACAGAATAATCAAGTCCAGCTGCGATTCAGGCTGGACATCAGGAAAAGCTCCCTCACTATTAGAGCAATACAACAGTGGAACCATCTGCCTAGAGAGGTGGCGGGCTCTCCCATACTAGAGGCATTCCAAAAGTAACTGGACAGCCATCTGAGTGGGATGGTGTAAGCTGGTGTCCTGCAACAGCAGGGGGTTAGACCTGATGGCTTTCATGGCCCCTTCCAACTCTACTATTCTATAATTCTGTGATTCATGCATTTATATTTAGAACAATTACATCTTTGGGTTAAGTTTCAGGTAAAGGAAAATGTTCTCAAGATGCTTAGAACAGCACGATGATCCCATTAACCATTTGGACTACTTTAAATTTATTTAGCTATGTTAATGTTTGTTGATCATTAGATCGGAACTTTGGAAAGTGCTAAGTACAAAAATATTAAGCAGCAGCCTGCTGGGGTGGAAGCAGGTTCATTCACACTGCACAGTTCTCTCCCTGTTCCTAAGTGAAGGCATCCTTTAGAATACAAGCTTGGAATCTGAAAAAGAGGGTGGCAGGCAGAGGGAAGGAACAGGTCCAAATTAGAGGTGAACTTACAGAGCTGAAAGGAGCTTTGGGTCATAACTTTGGTGTCCTTTTAGATCTCACTTAAAATAGATTTTAACAAATTAAATGTACAAAATGCTTGCTTGTTTTCTGAACATTATGAAACCTCACACCAGAACATGTGTGTTCTGCTTATGCTTCACAGATTATGTCAAGTTATCTATCTACCCACTCTGATAGAAAACATTTGAGAAGATGACCAGTGGGAGTGTTTACAGCATTAAGAAAACAGTCATTTAGCACACTTACTACTGCTAATTGCCTATTAATGAAACCTCTAATGGTCCATGTGGTGTTGTGCCTGAGCACACTTTTCCTCTTTCATATGAGAGTTAGAAAACTGAAATGTCAATTGCCTCTGGAAGATGACAATCAATCACTACTGAAAGAATATGTAAACTGGATGTATTTGGCATTGATCCATCAAGTAGCATGGCAAGCATTTTCATGTCAATCGAGTTAGCACAACCCTGAGGTTTAACGGCAGCTGCAATAAAGACTGCTTGCTCCCAGCACAGTTACATTGTTTACACAAGTTTTTTTTTTCCTAATCGAGATGTGGAAAGAGCCCAAAACAATACGTGCAAGAAAGGGAGGGGGGTTGACAAGTTTGAACAATGAACTCAGTAGGACTTGTTTCTGAGTAGATAATGCGTAGACTTGTTTTGCAGCTGCTGATCTTTCCCTTAGAAACAATTTTAAAGACAGAAGCATATTCACCCAGCTCAAATGAATTTTTAAAGGGTAATGCTGGAGATGCATTTTCGTATTACATGCTACTGTGCTGGCATGCATTTGTTTTTGGTGCTTGCTCATTTAGCACTGAACTATATGCAACTGAATTAATTATCAATAAAATATTAAACATTCTGGTAAATTCTAACAAATTGGGCAGGCCAATTTCAGAGTTAAGCCTGGCTCAATTTACTAGTATTTCAAAACCCTTGTAAGTTTTCCAGCCTTTGGAAAACATTAATCCTTATTATTATTCAGTGTATAAAGAAATGGGGCAAATTCTTGTCTTCCAATCCTGCAGGCTAATGAAATACAGGGGTATTGCAGAAATGAGCATACATTAAGCCAGTCAGTTTTGGTAAGATTTGCTCCTTGATATACCTGTTGGTATATTTTCCTTTGTTTCCATTAGAATATCACTCAAGAACATTTTTAAAAGATTGTTCATGTAGACTTCTTACAAGCTACTCCACTGGAAAAAAATGGTTGCAGGAACTAGAGAGTATACCACTCCATATTTGATACACTTGGATTATTAAAATTTAATACAGAGAAAAAAAAGTAAGCTATCCCAAAACTAGTATTACCAGTTACAGAGCTACTGGTGCCATTCCAAGACAAGAACAGTCCAACTGCAGATTTAGTTTGTTATTTTCTGGAATTCCAATGCAAAGCTGGGATTTGTCAATTGCATATAAAGCAGGTCTGGCCAAAATTCCAAACATCTGGTGACTTCAGCTCCTGAAAGTCCAATCACAAGAGACTAAGCATATTAAATATTTTTCTAGGACTAAGAGAAATTCTGCTTCAAGTGATGTTTTTGAACTTGATAAAGTCACCACAGTGTGATTTTTTTAAACAATAAAAGCTTTTAAAATGGGCATGGTGAAACGTTGTTCTACCAAGAACGAATGATTTTATGAAATAATTTATCTCCAAGCCAAAACTGAAAAGTACAAATCCACCCCAAGGGTTCCCTTGTCCAAATAAAACGTTCTGCCTGCAGACCCAAACAACAAAGGAGACCTTGTGTCCAGGACTAAACAAATGTGGTAAATCCCTCCTCATCCTGAAGCCAGCTACAGATTGGAAACAGAAGCACGTATTGTGTGCACTGTGGGAAAAAAATCTTATGCCGTTTCCTCTATGCTGTAAACATTGCTGGCTCTATTAGTTCCCAGCTATGGTTTACAGACTGCCCCAGATTTGAAGAGACAGCAGCAAGGAAACTGCCATCAGGTTGGATCTAGGACCTGCCTTCTGTAGAAGGACCTCTATTTGCAGAAGGCCCCTTGCCTGATTTTGGGGGATACCACTCTCCAGCACACCGCAGCTCACCCATTCAGCAGGGCTCCTGACTCACTCTCTTGTAGCACTTTCAGAGGACTCAAGTAGTCCTCTGCAGGGAAGAGGTGGGGGAGAGTCCATTTCCACCAGCACTGTTGATCCAGCTTAAATCTAGATTCAGCCCCATGTCCTAGCATGTCTGGGTTATATTCAAATTTAGGAATGTACAACTGGACTGTCAGAAGCAAACTTCCATAACCATTCCTCTCATGCTCCCCCTCCAGCCCCCTGAAAATACAAAGGGTCAGAAGACCCTGCCAGACGACCAGTGGTGTAGGGAATCTCAAAATTATAGGGAGAGTTTTTGTGAACACAGCCCTATTGTTTATGGAAGGCAGATCCTGGGTCCTTTGTGTTGGGCCCAAACTTAGTCCTGTCTAGAGTAGGGCTATGATCTGTTTGTTCAAATATTTTCAGTGGGTTTACTCTGATCAGGATCCAACCATCTGTATATACTTTTGTGCTTTTGGTCTGGCAAAAAGATGCAATTCTTATTCCTTTTGTATGTAAGCACTGGAGAAGCCTAATTTCATCAATATTATTGATTAACCCCCCCTTTTTTTAAAGAACACATAATGGAGGCTTGAATTTATAATAATTCCTACAGTCCTTTTCCAGCACAGTTACAGAAAAAGAATCCTAAGCAGAGACCAACCTTCTTCCTCTCCATTTTGAGAGACAGGTTAGCTTGAGAAGTCATGATTGGCCCAAACTCACCCAGTGACCTTCATGGGGACTATAACCCAGATCTCCCAACCGTAGTTCAATATGCTAACCACTGTACCACCCTGGTTACCTTATTGCTAATTTCCAGTCAAAGAGGCTCCTGGTACCTTTAATCAAAAAGGTTTACCTCCTTAAGAATTGCTTTTCTGAAAGAAATCTAAGAAAGAGTGCAAAAACATGGAAGGATTACAAATAGTGATGTGAACACACCTAACATTTCAGTTAAATTTCAACCCTGAATGCAATGGTCTTACACAACCTTCCCCTTGCCCCCATTTCAAATGGCCATGTGCCTTACTTCAGTTGTGAAGCATACAACAATATATCTCTCCCTGCCACCACCACTGCTATTCCATTAAAAAATGCTTAGGATGGAATGTTTGCTAACCTATAACACTCTTGAGTATATGGAGTTTTGCATTTTAAAATTGCGTAAACAGCACCACAATCAGCTTACTGCTCTCTGTATGGTCATTTGTTCCTTTCTGCTCAGCTGTGGCACCCTGGACTTTGGCCGTGAGTCCCAGCCCCAGCTGCACTGTTGCACAATAAATGCTTCAGCTAAAAGCACCCCGTAGACTGGAACCAGCCCAATAACACATGTTGTGTTTGTTCATAAATAATCAGTGTAAGGAATGCATAATACAGGAGAGACAAAATGAGCAATATACCCATCTTGGAATATTTTGAAATTGTTGGCAGACCAGCTATTTTACTTTATGTGCAGTCACTTTGAGAAATAATTTGGGACAACAGCAGCAAGTCCCCAGCAGAGATTTTGGCTAGTTGGCTTCTCACAGGCATTCAGAGCAGTCTCAGCATGAATTCTGGGGTAGCTACTGAAATAATGATTATGGATGGAGAAGAATATTTAACTCTTAGCACCATCTAAGAAGGCAGTTTCCATAGGTCAGTTTTTAAATTCAAAATAACATGGTCTCTTTTTTTCATTTTAAAAGGTTGTAAATTGTACAAGTTCCTTAGGCAGTTGTGTTTATTTGAAATATTTACTTTTCAGATGCAGTCAACCTTTTATTACATTAAAACAGTTTAAAAATCCATACAATAAAAAACCTTGATATTGACAGAGCAATTATTAGTCATTCTTCTACACTCCCGAACTGTAATAAAGTGGCTTATATTAGAGTTAATCAAGCTTTGCAAGATCATTCCACTGTTGGCTGAGAAATACTGGGAATTGTCAGACTTTTGTTTGTTTGTTTTGTCTCAACAAGTAGAATTATTTCTGCTCATTATTTCTGGAGGGAACTATCCTATGGCATTTAGACAGCAGCTGAAACGCCATGGGATACTTTAGATTCCCATCCCCGAGTCTAGAGATAAGGCTCTGATCCGAGAGCATGGGATTAGTTTTTGTCTCCCTTCATACCCATGCAGAAAGAAATATACCAGTTACTTTCAAAGGTCAGGAAAGTGATCTTGAAGAAGAGCAGAAAGGATGAGGTATTCGTAGCCTCAGGGGCCTTTCTCTGGAGCCAACTCCAAGGGAGACTTGGAGGGTAGCAACAAGGCGGAGGGCTTTGTCTGTGGTGGTCCCTCATCTTTGGAGCAACCTCCCTGTTGAAACCTGCCTGATAGCAAACTTGCCACCTTTTCAGCACTAGGTTAAGAGAGCCCTTTAAGCTGAAACCTTTATAGATCTACTTGGTTACACAGGGATCTGAAGGGATTGTCCATGTGACTTTTTTTTTCCCTTTGCAGGGTCATGTTTGTACCTTTTTTGTATTGTAGCTTAATTTTAATGCTACTTTATTTTTATACTTATATTGTATATTGTCTTATACACTGTTGTAAACTACCCAGAGAACGTTTGCTATGGGATGGCATTGATATGAAATAAACAGTTATATCCTAAAGCTACTCCAGCCTATTCCCCTCCCCTCTGAAAAGCCGTCACTAGATGGTCAGACCAGGAGGAACAGAGTGGCAAATATCATCTCCACTGTTCCTCCTGCTATGTATCAGGTCACCATGAGCTTCTAAGCTGAGGAGCTTAAATTCATTTCCAAAGGACTGAGCCCCAAATAACTTTGGGTCAGTCGTTCACTTAGCCTATGCTACCTCAAAGCGTTGTTGTGCAAATAAATCAGGGAAGGGGATAAGGGAAATAAAACATGGAGTAGGAGAAACTTAACCTACATTTTAATAGCAACTTCTTGGCATTAATCTGCTCATTTAAAACATTTCTGTAACAGCCTTCAACAGCACCTTTCAGGATGTTTTATATAACTGCAAATATAAATTAAGTGCACCAATCAAAAAAGGAATACTTCAGTAAATATCCATTCTCCCCTAAATATATACTTTCTGCTTTACAGCCGCCGACTTACATAGCCATACCAGGGTACTCAGCACAGCCACTAGCACTGGAACTGCTGTTCCGCCCTCCCCACTTTCATGCCCGCCTACAGACCATGCTGCAATCCCGCAACTAGGTCAGCCACACAGCAGTCTTATTATCGTCCACGCGGGCGGCCGGATTGGTTAAGTATGATCAAACGGCAGCCAGCCAGTAACGCTTTCTCGCCATGCCCGCCTACATTTTAAAAAAACCAGATTGTTTTACAGCGAGCTGATTTGACGACAGACCTCGCTCGCCTATTGGCTGCTGTTCTTCGTACCGAACGGAGAGCGTGTCAATCGCGCAGTAGTGCTTTTCCTCATTGGTCAAAGAAAGAGCCTTTCAGCGTAACCGAGTTGGCTGCTACCTGGCTCACCATCGACGGGAAGCTGGAGTGATGGCCCCTCAGAGCCCACCGGCAGCAGAAGAAGGAGGTGTCAGCGGCGCTCAGCTTATCGTGGACGCCCTGAAGATGCAAGTAAGCGCGCTATGTGACCCCTGAACCGGCTGCGGCCGGAAGCACTCCGACATCCCTACGGGGAGCGGGAGGGATCACTTCCTAGAGAAGCGCGCGCGCGCAACTCACTAGCGTGAGGCGGGGGAGCGGGGTCTGAACTCGGAGTAGCGAGCCTCCGTCCGGGAGTGTTAGTAGTAGGTCCAAACGGCTGTGGAGAGCGCTAGTCGGCGTGTAGGAGTTCCCGGCGGAGGAGGGAGGCCCAAGCTCTGAAAATACCTGGTCTGAAATGTTAGCGAACCTGCCTTCATTCCAGCATCTCGCAAACAAAGTAGTTGTCTGAGATGCCTAACTGCCAACTGCCAGTTTTCTGTCTAGCTTGTTTTAATTCCGCACGAAAGGAACTTGCCAGAACCGTTGCTTTTTTGTGATTTTAATTAAGCTCATGAAGCGGTTTTCTTTTGAACTCTATAAGATGGCTGGATTCGGGCTCTTAGATAAGGGACTGGGCTTGGGGCACCTGCCCACAGAGGCTCCTCCAAGCAAAGTGGTACAGCCACCTGGCCGAGACACACCTCCACCTGGTGGTTCAGTCAGGCGGTTTCAGGGAGCTCGATGGAGCTCCTGCAGTCAGTGCTCAGGTTAGGAACCTACCTTTGCTACATACCAGCTTTACCTGGCTGGGGAATGCTAGTATACATCAAAGGCATGCGTGCCTAAAGTTGGCTGTCCTTCCACCTGGCTCTTCAGTTCGGGCATCTTTGTTTGCAGGCTTCCCTTGATCAGGAGTGTGGAGCAATTTTTCAGCACATGGGGTTTCCCTCACTGGGCATGCTTATGTGCCAACTGTGGATTAAATGACATCCAGCAGGCCAGTGAGTACTAGATGGAAAATCAGTTGCCCCACCTATCCCATTCTAGTTCCACACCCCAATATAAGGAAAGGATGTTACTATGTTGGACGAGTGTCAGGGCTTCCCAGAGCTCAGTGAAGGATATTTAATCTGTAGAGAATCCCTGAAACCTTCAGTTAAAAAGACAGGGTAATAGAATTGCTGCCATTCAGACCAGATAACACTCCAAACCTGGTATGAGGCAGCTTGCTGTGTAAATATGTCCAGAAAAACATATAATAGATTCCATGTGTCATGGAAAACATCTCGGTATAGAAAGTTGCAGGAAACCTGTTCATGGGTAAAAACATGGTATCCAGGGATAGGAGGGATGTGAAAATCATAATCATATTCTAGGAATCTGCAAATGGACACTGCATGAGCCCTTATAAGAGAGAGAAAAAATATCTCCCTGTTCATGTTCCTCACACCCTGCCCAATTCCATACACATGTAATATGACATATACTTCCACATACTTGCCTTTTCTCTAACCTAACAATTTTCAAACATCATAACTTTTCCTCATATGGGAGTTGTTTCAATCTTTTGATCTCTTTGATTACCCATTTTGCATCTCCTCCAATTCTAGCATATTCATATTCAAGTATGGTGACAAGAACTATGCATAATATTCCAACAGTCAAAGCATAGATTAGTATAAGCATTATGAAACTGCCAGTTTTATTTTCAGTTCCTATTGTAATCTCCAATACAGAAATTGTCTTTTTCACATTAGGAGCGTACTGGGTTGCCATTTTCACTTCCACCATCACCCTAAGTTTTCTTTCCTAGTAAATCACTTTCCACTAGACCCAATCAGCATATATGTGAAGTTGGAATATTTTGCCCCAGACTGCATCATTTTACACTTGCTTTCATTGAAGCACATTTCCCCACTTTAGAGACATTCTTTTAGAGCTCTTTGCTATCCCATTTTGTTTCAAGCAACCTAAAAATTTGGTGTCGTCAGCAAAGTTGTCCTTCTCCCATTCACTAATTCCAGATAATTTATCAACAAATTAAAGAGTCCAAATATAGACTTTTGGGAACTCTTGCTGTTTTCATCTCTGTTGTGGAAACAACTCACTCTTTTGTTTAACTGATTAGCAGCCTATAATAGGGTCTTTTCTCTTACTATATCTGCTGCATCAACACATGTTTGTTAACATGCTTAAAGAGTTCTAAAAACTAAACAAACTTCTAAAATTCACCCTGAAATCTCTTCCTTAAAAATATTAGTATTTCAGCAATATGTATTTAAGATAAGTATTTTATGAAGACAGTTCTATTTTTAAAAAATACTTTTTATTTCAGAACATTCAATACATGTTTGGTATTGTTGGTATTCCTGTGACTGAATTAGCAATTGCTGCACAAGCAAGTGGAATTAAATTTATAGGAATGCGCAATGAACAAGCTGTAAGTATCTTTGTCTTTGTGGTTTAACTTTTGGTCTAATTATCCTTCATGCTTGCTTAGTAATTGTTCCATCTTAAAAGTTCATTTTACTCACAGATAACTCCCTACACATCAAATTCCATCTTTCACACTCGCAACAGTATACCTCAAAATATTCATTGAGCCTGATAGCACAAATCTTGCTCTCATGATTTTTACATTGTATTCCAAGCAGCTATTTTGTGACTAAGAAGATGGCAGTGTCTCCAAAACTCTTGTGCATGACAGCTTCTTAATAGAGGAATAACCTTCTTCCTGTTGACTTCTGCATTGAGTAAACCCCAGTATGGCATCAATCATTATGAAAATCTGCATTTACTTTCAGGTAGAGAAACTTTCAGCAAATTGAGTTAATGCGAAACTTCAGTAGCTATAACACCAATGGGTGGGGAAAGGAAGGACATGATGCAGAGATTTTCATTTTAAGAAGATTGCTCTTTAAGGCAACATTCCAGTACAGTTTGCATGCTAGGCTAGTGTGATGAATGTTGTTCTCCAACACCCCTGGATAGAAACAGGCTAGGGAAGAATGTGGTGATGTTTGTTGTAGGAGCTATGCTACTTTATAGCTTTCCAGTAGTGCTAAGACATGGGAGAGCAACTTGTGAACTTCATAATGTTTTGGCTTGCCATTATTCACTGTTAGTTATAATTGATGGAGGGTAACATGTTTGCCACCCCTGTTCTAACCACAGCACTTTTTTTTATTATTATTATTACTACATTTTTATACTGCCCATAGCCAAAGCTCTCGAGGCAGTTGACAGCAATAATCATAGAATCATACACTCAAGTCACCCATCCCACTTCTGCCCAGGCCTGACCCTGCTTAGCTTCCAAGATTAGGCAGGATCAGGCACTTCAGGCTACATGGAAGCACTTAATAAAGGTTTGAGTTAACTAACATGTTAAACAAATTTTGAGATTTATTTGTATAGTTCATCTGTCAGTTTGCATGAATGTAGCCTAAGGTTTGAATACAGATTACCTTTTCCTGATCCCCCAGTATAAAGAGTTCAACATCCACAGATGATTCTGACTCAATATAAGGTTATCCTCCATAATCTGAAAAAAAGGATTCTACTTTTGCAAAATGCATTTGTGGAAGTCACAGTGTTTCTTAGACCTTAACTCTTCTGCTAAAATCTTCCCCATTGAAGGAAATAATGTCATCTGTAAGCAGGCCCTAATACTTTTTCATTACCGTATTTTTCGCTCTATAAGATGCTCTTTTTTCCCCCTCAAAAGTAAGGGGAAATGTCTGTGCGTCTTATAGAGCGAATGTGTGTGTGCCCGACACCCGGGACGCTGCCGGCCCGCCTGCACCACGTGGCACCACCTGGCCGGCATGCGCTTGCGCACGCTGCTCCACCCCCCCCTCCAGCACAGGTGAGAGCTGTGCCGCTCAGGGGGAGCGGTGCGGAGGAGGAGGAGCCACGGGCTTTAACCTGCTGGCTGCACGGAGAGACGGACTGCTCACCCCCACCGCCCGGGAAGACCTGCCACGGAGGAGGAGGAGCCGCGGGCTTTAACCCGCCGGCCGCACGGAGAGACGGACTGCTCACCCCCACCGCCCGGGAAGACCTGCCGCCGCCCGGAAGACCACCGCCGGCACGCTGCCGGCCCAGCTGCACCATGTGGCACCACCTGGCCGGCACGCGCTTGGCGCGCCCTGCTCCACCCCCCCGTCCCGGCGTGGGTGAGAGCTGGGCCGCTCAGGGGGAGCGGTGCGGAGGAAGAGGAGCCGTGGGCTTTAACCTGCTGGCCGCATGGAGAGACAGACTGCTCACCCACACCGCCTGGGAAGACCCGCCGCCGCACCACCATGTTTTCAAATGGCAACCCGTCTTTTAATGAAGCCCATGGGGAAGTGATGGGGAATGTGCCTGTGATTATCAGGAAGCTTTCCATGGATCCCTCCTCTAAAAACTAGGTCTTATGGTCAGGTGCGTCTTATAGAACAAAGAATACGGTAAATTAGTTTTTCTGGCTGATCTGAATGATTAAACTGTCATCTCTGTGATTAGAGGAGCTTGCCATCTTCCTATGCACTGTGGCCATCCATCAGAATTGAGCTAGAAATGATCTGGATGATAAAATAAAATCTGAGACTTATTTATAGATGTGTAAAGGTACATGTAATTGGTTTTGAGAACTGTTCCATGTTCATGAAAATTCAGTCTTGAAGTTTGAAGAACTGAAATGATTGGTTGAGAGCGAGCAGAGGAAGAAGAAAAGGGCTTTATACTGAGGAGTGGTTGTAGGTCTTCAAAGTTCCTGTGTGATTGTCATGTAATAATATATGTGAACTTTAGTTACAGAAATATGAATAAAAATCATGAGCCTATCATTTCCCGTTCGATATCGGACAACACTGACAGCTTTGCATGCATCTGCAAAGTTTCCTGCTCTCCTTTGGCCTGTCAGTTCCTTTGACAATGTGTTGTTGCCATGGCACCCTGCTTGGGAGGTACAAAGAGCCTTACTAATGAGACACCCACTCCTGATATCTTTAAACATTTGTACACTGCCATGTGCGTTTTTTCAGAAGGAGAAGGGAAACACATGTCACATTAAATTGCCTTCTGGTTTCTGAGTAGTAATCGTTTTCTCTCCTTTGTTTGTCAAAGATGAATGAAAAACTGCATTTGTGCCCAATTTAATTTAAATAGCTACCTCAAGATTTTTCTCCTACATTAAGTGCTATGTTAACTATTAACATCTATTCTTTCTGGACTCACTGTTCTAACAAATTAACCATGCTGGTTCTTGTCCTTGTTTGTTCCCATGTCTACATCACACCGGGGAGCTGGAGGGAAGGAGGGAGGTAGATTTTTTAAAAATGTAAGACTTTTTGGAGAAAATTCTATCTTTCTCCCCAAATTGCTGTTTTCTTTGTAATACTACTATATTGCTTAATAGATTGAGAATCTTTAAGCAATTAACATTAAAATGCAGCAAAACAATGTAGAAACAAACTAAACTGTAATAGTAGAATAGGGTGGTATTAGGAAGGTATATCATGAAGCATCAAAGCTTGCCACTGTTTCAGTATCTTGAATCACCCTTGGGAGAATGTCCCAAAGGGTTGGTGCCACTACCAAGAAGGCCTGCTGATGCACTGGTACTTGATGATATTCCATTTGCCATAAAATGATTAGTAAGACCTCAGAAGAACTCCAAGATCAACTAAGGGAACAGCTAGATGGCCTGGTTCAAGTCACCAAAGGCTTTATATGTCAACAGCAACAAAATTATAAACTACTTGAATGAATATACTGCAAATGCTGCAGCTCTCTCATTAATTTTGACATTGGAAAAAGCATAGATTCTTGTTGGCAAATAGGAGACATTCAACTCAGCAGCAGTGACTGTAACTTGGGCTGGGGCTGGGATTGCAGGCCTTTTTCTGTGTAAAGGTGCATAGGATTGCACCCTATATTAGCTTATCCCTTCTTGTTAGCCTAGCAGAAATTTTAGGCAACTGAAGTTACAAAATGGAGGTTGATAACTAGAAGGACAAACAGATTTGTAGCTGGTGCTTCAGCTAATAGTTTCTGTTGGGAGAGAGAACTTGGGTCCTTTTTTCTATGTATAATTTAATATATTTTACTGAAATAATGGGTAGTTTTTTAAAAACCTAACATAATTTTGAAAATTACATTATTCAGTTTTAGTGCATTATTTCCTGCTGCTTTTGAGTAGCAGTATCAGCAGCAGCATTGAATAATTTTCAGTGTTTGCATAGATGTAACCAAGTTATAAATGGAAGAAGTGATCTGGCAGAAAGCCTCATTATAGCTTGTAATTACAATAATGTAATTACATCTTGGATGTGATAACTCATACTGAGTGTGAGAAACAGATCATGTTAACCCACCCAGATTATATATTTGGAACATGCTTTTGTTCCTCCAAACGGGATTATAATCTGAGATGTATGAAATCTTTAATTATGCAATGCATTACTTCAATTATGCAGAGTCTAAACTAATTGTAAAACAACATACAAACAAATAGAAGTATGTAGTACCAAGAATCTCGCTGAATTCATCTGTCCCAGTTGCTGGTTCCCTTTAAATCCCTTGTAGAGCAAGGTTGATAATAAAGAAACATTAAATATGTTTGTTTCAACAGTAGCTTTTGGGACCAGGTTGGACAAGTTTACTCTAGATTGAAATACTATGAAGTGATCTAAGTTTACCTGACATACAGTTCTATGCATAATTAGACAGTGAAAAGGCCTGCATTTCCCAGTATGCCCTGGTCACCTTAAGTTAATAACCTAGGTCCTTGACCATCTTATTTCAACCTAGTACTTTCCAGATTGTTGGGCTTCTATCTCCTTCGTCTCGAAACAGCATGAGAGTTGCAGTCGAATTAATCTGGAGGCCCCAAATTGGGCAGGCTAATCTAAGCTGAGAAATTGTCCACTGAAATCTAAGTAGTGCTGGGTGATCTCAGCAGGCTTGTTTCTTCCCTTGCTCAATTTCCTTATCTTTTTTTTTCTACTGATGCCATCTGGTGGTGTATGTGAAAATATTCATAGAAGTAATCCAGAATAGCTGCTTGTAATGATAGTTGAAAAACTTGTACAAAGATTTGCATTTAGTGTTCTTGCATAAGACTTGTTCAGGGAATGCACGTATACATCCTAGTCAATCCAGAATACCATTTTCTGTGAAAGGGAGACCTGCTTTTAGAGAGTGTGTCTCTCTGCCCTTTACACCTTTGTAGAGGCAGTTGCTGTATGATAAATCAGTGAAGTGTTTTAGGTAGCCACTACCTTTTTTCACAGACTGCCTAGGACCAACAATATTTGGTTTGAAAATAAAGTGTTATTTTCTAAAACTAAGTAATCCCAGGATGTAGCTGAAAATGTATCAGCTAGTGTCCCAAGACTCCATGGTCATGCAACACAACTACACATCAAACACTTTAAGTAAATTTGTTTTGTTATTTATATCCATGCCTGTTCTTTAGACCCATAGAATAAGAAATGGAAATTAAATTGTGTGATGCAATTTACTTGACCAATTTCTCTTGTTGTAGAACTATGGTTTTCATAGCATAAATTTCATGTTTCTTTGAAACACATGTTGCTTTCAAGAGCTTTCTCAGTAATAACAGACAACCTGGAATCCTCTGCTTGCTTACTTGAAAGCAATTGCACTCAGTGGGGCTTTGCTCTGAGTAGGGATGTATAGAATTGCACTGATGATCTTCCATGTTACTGCACCAATATAATTTGACCCAAAAATAAGACCCCCAGTTTAGAACGCTCCAGATATGTTAAACTAAAATTTCCATCACCCCCAGCTAGCATGGCCATAGAGGAAGGGTGCAGTAATAGTACCTTGTTCTGTACACTGTACCTTGCTCCTTGTTCTTTAAATTTACCCATAGGGCTGTTGGCAGTACAGCAGGAAATGTTTTCAGTATGGAAACCTCTTGGCCACATGTCATAGCACAGTGTCCATTATAGTGCATAGTTTCTGTGTATGAAGCACAGTGCATTCATTTTAATGGAACCCTACTTGCACACAGTATTTTTGTCTACCAGATGGAGGAATCTAAAACTGATGTTATGATACAGCCACAGCCACATAAGTTTCATTCAGTTGCTTATTCATAAATATGTATTCCATTTTCAACAGGCCTCTTATGCTGCCTCTGCTGTTGGGTACCTGACAGGCAGGTAAGATGCATGCTTCCGAATCGATAGTTGACAGAGGAGCAAAAACAATCCGCATTCTGTCTTTATTGTCAGGTCAGGATTTTTGCTGTAGTTGCCTTCTATAATTTGCAATGCATGTGCTTTGTTGCTTGAACACTCGTGTCTGCAGTTGGCATCTCATAAAGCTGGGGAGCAAAATATTGCTCAGCATGAGGGTTGAATTCAAGTTATAGGTAAGGCTAAATGGGCAATGCCACGATATCAAAGATGCCAGCATAATTTGGCTTTAAGTTCTTACTGCCAGCAAATAATCCTTAGTGGAGGCATTGCAACCTTTTAGAATGGCAGGGGGAAAAAACTTGACAAAAAACAGGAAACCTGGAGGAAGGGATATAAAGTGAAGGAAGGGTCACAGTCCATGATTCCTGGAGGGCTGGGTTGGGCTTGAAATATTTCCACCTGCTATAAAGTTATCTTTCCCAGTGTATTTTCTTTTTGTGTCGTGTCTTTGAGACTGTAAGAATGAGAGCAGGGAACCGTCTCATCATCAGTCTTTCTAAACTACTCTTGGAGCCATTTTTGGCTCAGGGGCAAGGTAAAAATCCTTAAAATCAATAAATAAAAATGCATTTTCTTTCAGATTAATTTGTTGCCTTAACTATGTAACAGCAATGCACCTGGAATTATTCAGGGCTACTTTTCCATAATTTATATTTCTATTGCATAATTTTTATATGTTCTATTTTTCTTTTGTCTCTAGGCCTGGTGTATGCCTTGTAGTTTCTGGTCCTGGTTTTGTACATGCTCTAGCTGGAATGGCAAATGCAAACATGAATTGCTGGTAATGAACCTACATTTTTTCCTCTTAACAATTCTGGACATTGACCTAAAGTAACAGCATAGGACATGTTCTATGAAAGCCAAACACAGGATCATTCTTTCCCTTTTTCTCTCTTTTTGGTTTTGTTCAGATTCATATGGATGAGCCTTTGAACTAAGTCAGATATAAATATGTATTGACTTGTCCGTAGACTTCAAGTCTTTCTGACTATGTTGAGGTTCATTGCCCTACAGAAAAAAACAAAAACAGCACAGTAGGAGATTTCCTAGCACAGTCATATCATGCAACTTGGTTTCGAAGCTTTCCTGATAGCACTTCCTTATTCTGTGCCTGTCAAGGAAATGATAAAATGTTACTGGTTTCATATGATCTGATGGGGTAGCAAACATTTACAGCCTGGAAAGAGCACTCAGATGCAGTCAAGTCAGTGGCCCTCCACATCTGTGCTGTCAAAACCAAGCTTTTCTGAGGGTATGCCTGGACCCAGTCAGTATGGACTGGTGCACCTGAATGCTGCATATGAGGCTTTTACCCTTGTTTACTTCCTGGATCCAGATGAGCTTGTGTTCAGAACCTTGATTTAAGAATTGAAACTTGTGTTATTCCTTTTCTTCAGGCCTTTGATTGTTATTGGAGGTTCCTCTGACAGAAATCAGGAAACAATGGGGGCTTTCCAAGAATTTCCACAGGTACATAGCTATGTACATACATTTTGACCCTCAGGGGAGCATCCAGTGTCTGCTGGGGATTCACTGGGCTTGTGAATCTGCATGTTTGCATGTGGACATCTATGCACATTACCATTAGCTGGGGACTCAGCAGTGCTTTCAGATAGCATTCCAAATACCAAGTTACTCAAAACCACGCAGGACAAGCCTCAACAGCTTCCTTTGCAGGACCTGCCTGCACTCTCCAAAAGGGAAAATCTCTTGTCTCCAGTGAGCAGTTGATTGGAAACAAGAGCATTTCTCTTCGAAGCCCTGAGAAAGCCAACTTTTTTTCAGCACATCTGGGAAAAATGCCTTTTATGCTACACATGTCCAAATGCTGTTAAACAGTCACCCAGGTGTTTCTTTCTCTTTGAGCTTACTGCTTAAACTCTTCCTCTGTGAAGAGATCTGACAACCATGGCAGCATGTGCTCTAGCAGGGGGCAATGTTACAGGTGTGCTTGCATGCATTTTTAAAAGAAGACTTTTTGTGTATTGTTATGATGATAAGGGAAATCTGTTCAGGCAAGCATCTCTGTATACATGTAAAAGATTACTAAAATATGAAAGGGGTAATTGGATTTTTCTTTTCTTTTTTAGCTTTTGTGAACCCAAATGAGAATGTTTTCTCTAGAATATTTTCTATTTTTGAAAGCTGTAAGGAGACATAGCATTGTGTAAAATTAACTGTTAGTCCCATATCAACCTGCCTACATAATAAGGTAATCAACAGAGGCCTTTCTCACATGCTGGCCATTGTGGGAGGTTAGACTGGCAAGTACAAGTAAGAGGGCTGTGCACCTTTGGAATCAACTTTCAAGGGTTCATCAGGCCTATTCTTTGCACATCTTCAGGAAAATTCTGAAGACTGTAGTCTCTTGGACTTCTAGTTTTTAATGCGGAAATCTTTTACTGACTTTTTAAAATGAGTAGTCACTCTTTCAATTGAACTTTTGTTGAACTTATGTTTACTGAATTTTTATTGTACCTGTACCACCTTGGAAAGGTTCCAAATTTAATGGTAATAAAAATAGAAATGAATTTAAATAAACATAGTTTAATTTTAAAATAAATTAAACAGTCATGATATTTATTAGTCACAGATAGAAACTCCATATTCAGAGGCAGTTGCCACTGAATATAATTCATTGGTGGAGTAAAAAGAGAAGAGTGCTGTTTGCTTCATGGCCTGTGGCTTAACGTCCTGTTCAGCCACTGTGAGAAGCATCTGGCTTTATCAAGCAGCAGAATAACTATTTAGAAAAGAGAGAGGAAAATCTTGTTTTCAGTGGGTTTGTTTGCTTTGCTTGATTCCAGGTTGAAGCCTGTCGACTATACAGCAAATTTGCCGCCAGGCCAAGCAGTCTAGAAGCTATCCCTGCTGTTATTGAGAAGGTACAAGCCAGTTCAAAAATGGTGATATTTCCACCCGAATGCACAGTTTTGCATGTGTGCTAATGTGTGTGCACAGCTGCCGTGGATGGTGTTGTATGGATGCATGTGTTGGTGCACCTCCTCTTACTTCTACAATAGGGAGATGTAACCTATAAATGTAGGAAAGAGCCAGTGCATTTGAAGGCTGTAATAGTTGACATCTGCATTATTTTAAATATATGATTGACAGTGTGCTTCTATGCCTGTCAACTCAACATAAACCTTGTTGGAGTGCAGTGTGACTTATTTATTTATTTATTTAAACCGTTTTTATGCCGCCCCATTCGCAAAAAGCCTCAGGGCAGCTTACAACAATAATAAATAAACATAAATAAACAGTTTATACAATTAGAGTTAAAAAAAACCGGAAACATCTCAGCAATCCCAAGTAAGATTGTAGCCCTTGTACTTAATCCCAAGTAAGATTGTAGCCTACTAGTGAAACAAGTTGTCCTGAAGAACCTAAGCTTTTTTCACTTAGTTCTGTAAAAGTTGCATTATGCAGGCAAAACAAATATTTTATCCAGACATGGAGTGCTTAATGGTACCCTATCTTTCCAGTTATTGTCTTGTGAAGTACAGCTGAGTAGTCTTGCAGATTTATTTGTTTTGTTGATACTGTTCATTTCTTAACCTTTCTGGAATGGGTTTTATAAAGCTTCACACTAATGATACCCTCCCAGAGCCATACAGACTTTAATCCTTAAGTGTTGGCTCAGTCTTTAACATGTGGCTGAAACAAATAGAATCCAAAGTAACTGAAGAATGGCTCCAGGGTGTTTACTCAGGGGTCATGCTACTTAAAATAGGCAATCAGCAGGAGATTTTGACTGAATAATTCCAGATGCAACTGCTGACAGTATAGTGAAATAGTTAGCAGTTACATATGGCTTCAGTTGTTCTGCTCTACAACAACTTTGACAATGCCTTTTTTCCATTGCAAGTTTAACACAATTGATTACTAGATCTTTTTTTTGGGGGGGGGGTGGAGGGATTTAATAGGATGCTTACACCTCTGCCAATCCCATTGCAGCCCACCATAGTTTCATTGTCCAAACAGCCCCTAGTATTTGTTGAATAGTGATTTAGAATCTCTGGGAGCAAATGGAAATAACTGGAAATGCTCATTACTAGAACAGGGTAGGTCAGTGGAGCTTGAATAAGGGACTCCTGCCAAATTGTACAATCCAGAAACTAACATTTTTGTTCACTTATTGTCCTCTAGAAGGTGCTACATTTTCATTGTGTAAGCAATGGAATTGGCAAGAACCACTGCTTGTGGAAAGGAATTGGTGTGGGTGGAAAGGAATTGGCAGGGCCTAAGCCCCAGGTACTGCTGTTTTAAGTCCTAAGTATGAATGTTGCTGTGTGTTTTATCTTTCCCATCATTTTAGGCTGTCAGAAACAGTATCTATGGTCGTCCAGGTGCCTGTTACATTGACATACCTGGGGATTTTGTAAATCTGCAGGTGAACAAGAGCTCTGTCAAGTGAGTCCTTACTAGTAGGATGGCTTTTTTTTCTTAAGGAGACCCTCTGCTTTTTTCTTAAGCTGACCCTTTTGCCTGTGTTTGTGCCTGTTTGTGGGATTGAGTCCAACCTGGTGCATGTCAATTTACCATTTAGAAATTGTGAATTAACATACTTTTCATAAGGAAGCATTATCTAGATGGAGAAGTGGAAAACTAAGCTCACTATGTGTGGGACTAATCTTTGGTTCTAGGAGAGGATCAAGGCCATACCTAAGAACCATTGTCAAAATAGGTTTCATTTTTATCATGTTTAAAAGAGATACTTCAGATGGATAGATGGGAGGCAGCAGGCTACAGGATCTCGCAAGCCTGTGCATGTACTCAGGCATATCCTACCCTACTCAGGCATTTCCTCTTCCAACTAACTGCAGTTTCTTGTGCCACACTGAAAGCTGTTCCAGAGCCTTCCTAATCACATTTTGTTGGGGAAGGGGGTCAGGAGGAGGCCATAATGTAAAGGTTGTGTAGAGGGTTGGCACAAAAGCTCTGAAGTCCACTCAGAACCACCACTTGCGGCTCTTTTGATCTTGTTTCTTAAGTAATAACTGGGAATGAATATAATCCTTGCCTGCCTTTGACAAAAGTAAGCTCAAAAAGTATTGGGAAGTTATTTTTGATTGAGTCTGAACCAAAAAAAATCTAGGGACAGCACTGCACTCTAACATTTTGAAATGAATTGGTTTATGAAGAAATTGAACTGGTGCTTGCTGGTGCCATCCTGCCTGTGCATGCCTATCTGTTAGGAAAAGCAATGCATCATTTGCCTAGGTGTAGCACTGGTTGTCAAATTGCGAGGTATGGATTAATAGTTCCTTATTCCAGGGTTAGCATTAATAGGATGTAATGAAATACTACAGTATCTTCTGCAAACTGATTTTTTTCTCTTCACAGTTATATGTTTTGGTGACAATGTTTCAAGTATCCATCGGTAAAATATTTTTGCCTTTTACAACTGGAATTAATACATAAATTAGAATAGGCTTTTCTGATTTTAAGCACGAAGACAATTGGCTGTTTTATTCAATTCCTTATCCCATTTCTTTTTCAAGATGATGTTTTTTTTAAATATCTTCCAGGTATGTGGAGTGTTGTCCAGCACCTCCTATCAGCATGGCTGAAGAGATGGCAGTTTCTCAAGCAGTTTCATTCATTGTACATTCCAGAAAACCACTCTTAATTATTGGCAAAGGTAATCCCTTTTCAACCATGATGCTCACTACAACATTCAGTAGAGTATTTCCTTTCATGCAAGTGTTGTGTTCCTTTCATGTCAAGTGTTATTCACAATGTAAGTTCTCTTTGAATTTTGGGTTAAAACTAAGAGGGTGGGTTTTAACTCCTGCAAAAAAGAAAAAGATCAATAGTCTTTTCTAAACTGTGCCATACGGGGAGTAATGGGCAATTGAAAATGGATTTAGTAAAACAAAAATACTACATAAGCCTATAGCTTATTTATTAACTTCGTAAGAAGATGTCTAACTGACTTCTTATTGTTACATGTTAAATCCCCCCACTTCCACCGTAGTATAGTTGTCTTGTGTTCTCTGAAAGTTCAAGAGAGTTTGCTATTGCAAAATAATATCATCTTTGCAACCTCTTAAAAAGTATTGCAGGTTTTGAGGGCTATAGGATTCTTTTGGAGTCTCTGCTCTGATGCTGGTGCTGAGGTTCTGGGCCCAGAATGTCCTCTTCCAAACTGCCAGCTGGTATAGAAAGAACTATGTCAGCTGAGAAGGGGTTTGGTAGACATTTAGGGGAGAAGGTACTGGAGGAGACCAGTGCCTTGAAGATGTAAGTTACCATGGGTCCTATAAGTGCCTTCCTTCCCAGTCCAAAGCTGTGGAATAAGCTGATTTGCAGAGTAGGAGTCGCACAGAGGCAGCCATCACTTTCCATGCTCTTCCCACTCTGCATAGGATGCCCATAATCCTCAGTTTGGAGGGTTTCTGACATTCCCATAAGATTTTACCCAAAGTGATTTTTTTTTCTTTATTGAAAGTCAAGCCTCCTGCAAGAGGGTCCATTAGAGATGTGACCAGCCTGCATACTAATCCTGCAATGTTATTGTAGCATTTGAATGCAACTAGTGAGTCGCAATTAATAAAATCATCACTGTCGGCTCTTACTCTGAAGCATTTTTAAAGGGGACTCATGGTGTGTTGAAAAAGTGTCAAGAAGTCTTTTGTGGTGGTGGGCATTTTTCTTAGGTGCTGCTTATTCACGTGCTGAAAACAGCATCAGAAAGTTGGTGGACCAGTGTGGGCTTCCATTTTTGCCTACGCCAATGGGGAAAGGAGTCGTTTCTGACAGCCATCCATGCTGTGTAGCTGCAGCCAGATCTAGGTAAATACATGAATCAAGGGTTCCCCTCCTTTCTCTGACACTAAAAGCTGAAAGATTCTTCCAACTTTCCCTAACCTAGTTCCCTCCATATGTACCGGGCTACAGCTCTCAGCATCATGGCTGGGGGATGCTGAGAATTGTAATCCAGCTCATCTGGAGGGCACCTGTTTAGGGATGGTTTGGAAGATCATATTCCTGAATATCCATCCTCTTAATAAACCCTTACTGTAAACACCTGCTGCTTGTTTACGGCTCCTGCTCAGTTAGCATAATAAAAATAACAAACATAATCCAAATCAAAATCATCTAATTGCTTTCTGCTTTATAAATATGGCTCTTTCCAAACAGATGTACAAGTATTGATTCTAAGCATTGTTTTTAACTGCACGAGAATTTGGTGCAGCCCCCTAATCCCCAGTGTGCGAGCACCTCCCTGAATTTTTCTAATGAAAAACAATGTGAGAAAAGTTCATTTTTCCAACTGTACAAAAACATAGTTTCCACTCCGAGTTTTTTTCCCCAGCTGCACAAAATTTGTCCAGCTGCGCATTAGAATAAACTGTTTGGAATGGATTTGGAACATGTTTACACTGTTGTGTCATAACTCTGTGCAGACCTCAATTAAACTTAATTCCAGAAGGAAAACCCAGCAGGAACCTACAGCTCCTGGAGGCCACATTTAAACCAAATCCTTAGCTAAACTGAAGGGGGCACGAAAAACAGTACCTGTCCCTGTACTCTAGAGCCCCTGTGCAGGCCAAGCTAGTGGAACAGACAGCTTATAAGCATACAGTGAAGGCTAGCTGCAGTTTGGGCCCAGTTTAGGCTCAGGTTTTTAGAATCTTACAAACTAAAGCTCAGAAGCAGAGTATTCCCAAGTTTGAGAAGCCAGGTTATGACTTAGAATTAGATGGCACAGAGGTAGTCAGCCTTCTAAACAACAGCCCTTCACAAATCGCCTACCCTTTGACTGTTGGGTGCTCCAACAACCCATTCACTGTTGGGTTCTCCCCTGAATAGAACATCTTCACTCCAAGTGGGACGATTAAGAATTAGCATATATTCTAAATCACTGGAAGCTAGGGCAGACCAGAAATTCATCCATAGCCACCCTTGCCTTTCAGACAAGGCCCTCCAATCAGATTGCTTGCAGCAGCTTTTGGGCCAGCCCACCCAGAGCTATATAAGTGATCATTAAAAGTAAATCCACTACCCTCTCTCAGTATGATGAGGGCATGATTCTGAGGAAGAGGGGAATGATCCCTTAGAAAGGGACCCATTCCTTGAAGCTGAGAATGTATCCTTTCACACCAAGGATGTGCTGCTGTGAAAAGGGCAAACTCCATGTTAGGCATAATTAAGAACAGAAAACGGTACTGCCAAAATCATACGCTCCTTGTACAAATCTTTAGTATTTGGTACTCCAGCCTTGGAGTATTGTATACAGTTCTGGTTGCCTTAGCAGAAAAAAAGACTTTATCGAGTTGGAAAAAATATAAAGAAGGGCAACAAACGTGATGATGGGGCTACAGCAGCTCCCTTAAGAGGAACAGATACAATAGAGCTGTTTAGCTTAGAAAAAAGTGGAGCAAGAGAAATTAGAGAAGTGTTTAAAATTATGTAGGGTGTGGAGCAAGTGGATGATAGAACATGCTCATCCCTTGCAGCTTATTGGTAGGAGCTTTAGGACAGATCAAAGGAAGCACTTCTTCACACAATGTGCAGTTAAACAACAGAATTCACCTCTGTAAGAAGTGGTGATGGCCATTATTTGGATGGCTTTAAAAGGGAATTGGACAATTTCATGTAGGTGGAAGCTATAAGTGGCATGCTATATAAAAAGTTGGTGGTGGAAAAGCAGTTGAGTCTGCCAGGAATGTAACAATGATACGCAAGAAGTGAAAACTAAATGTAAGAAAGTTAGGAGTAACAATAGCCTACAACTGCTGTTCTGCAGGAGTGGAAAACAGGCAAATTCAGTCATCTTGATTAAATAATGCAGAGTTCTATTTTTTCAAGTCCAGATTGAATGTGTTTGTCTCTACTATGTGTGAAAATATTAATTATATTTTTAACTATTAGAGCACTGCAGTATGCTGATGTGATCGTATTACTTGGTGCCAGACTAAATTGGATTCTACACTTTGGACTTCCTCTGAGATTTCAGCCAGATGTAAAAATTATCCAGGTACACCAACTATATCACTTGTAGGATTCTGTCACTTATCTAAAGAACCCTAGGGTGAAAGCGCAGTCAATTTTTTTGATAGCTGAATTTCTTAAAAAGATTGCATCTTCATCCCAGGAAGCACACCTGGTGTCATCACCTTAACCTTGCAATAAACTGCCAAGACATTTAATCAAAATAGTGGTAGGAATGCTTCTTCCACTGAGCGCTACATTCCCTCAAAGTAATCTCTAATAGCAGCCGGTGTGGAAAAGCCAGTGATGGATGGGGCTGGAGCCAAAAAGGAGTGGGTTCATTCCCCCTTTCTGCCAAATTCCATTTTGTAGATGATATCCAGTGGGGGGCACATCCCAGAGGGGGAAACAAAGAAACAGAGCAAGTCAGAAGGAGCCTCCCAGGCCATCCAGTCTGACGCCTGGCTCTAGCTGGCTCCACTCATGGCATGCCTACCACGTGCATGTCCAGCCTACCCTTGAATATACCCTACCAATGGAGTTTCAACCACCTCCCTTGGAAGTCCATTCCATACTCTAGGAGTCCTAACTCTCTGGAAGTACTTCCTGGCATCCAAATTTGGGAAGGGCCAAAAAGTCTTAATGCTCTTGCTACCAGTAGCTCAGTCTTCAGGGACACATTTCAGTCTTCTAGAATGGAGAGGAAGAATGCACAAGAGCCAAGAAAGCACTGATGTATTAGTTACCAGAAGCAAAGAAAGTAGGCATGACCACTTGTGAAACTGTCAAGAAAAAGGAAACTACCAAGGGAATATATTCTTATTGATCAAACTGCTTGATAATACTTTTCTTCCTGCTCCCCTAACAGACCCAGCTAAGGATAGCTGAAGGAGAAGCATTGTAGCAAGCAGTTTTGATAAGGAGTTTCCTTGAACTGTCTTGGGAGCTGATTCTATATGTGCAGCCTTTCTCACTTCCTCTATTTCATTTCTAGCTCTCTTTTGATTCTTCTGTATGTATTTGCTTTGGGAGGCAATTCGTCTTACCTAGCATATCTGTTATTTTATCAGAGATAATGTAGATTCAAGCAATACATCTGAGAAGAAAGGAAGTCAACTGCAAAGGGGAAAGATGAATACCAACAAACTGTTGGCTTTTCTTGTTCTGGGCTGATAAGAAATGTGACATTCTATTGCTCAGGAAGGAATATTAACCCACATTCCATTTGCTGTTCATCATAGCTAAGCCTGTATCTTTTTTCCCCTTTTCTTTTTCCTTTTTACGTGATAGGTAGATATTTGTGCAGAAGAGCTGGGGAATAATGTGAGACCTGTTGCAGCTTTATTGGGTGACATAAAAGCAGTGACGGAGCAGGTAACATGGGAATTGTCTTACCTTAGAAGCTTTTGTCTGCTTAAGTAGGATTTTGTGATTTTGCAGACAATATCTGAAAGAACATGCTTCAGTATGCTGGGACTTTTGACAGTTGCTTCTCTAAAGCCTCATGCCACTCAGTTGTGCTTGCAGATTTTAGTAAAAGTGCACATCAGTAACTCTTCAGAGCTGGAGAGGATTTTCATGCAGTTATATTGTAAAACTATTGCAATTTTCTTAGCTTTTAGGTCAACTGAACAAAAAGCTTTGGAAATACCCTTCCAATACAGACTGGTGGAAAGAGCTACGAGCAAAAGTGAAAAGCAATGAAGAGACATCAAAGGTATTGTTAGTAATATGTGTTAGTAAGAAATATATCTGGTTCTCTTATAAAATCAGTATAGCTATCCCTACCTTTGCTCCTTGCCTCCCTCTGCATATATATAACATTTTAAAATCAATTCAGCGCCTCAAGCGTAATGTCCATAACATGAATCTATATTTTATAGTCAGTTGTGCTTTTGCAATCCTTCCATCTAGCTGAAGCATCACATCCTAACAGAATCCTTTTTTTGTTTATCATTCCAGGCTCTATCACTGCAAAAGGGTCTACCAATGAATTACTACACAGTATTCCACCATGTCAGGGAACTTTTGCCAAAGGACTGTATTCTCATTAGTGAAGGAGCAAACACTATGGACATTGGGCGCACTATGCTTCCAAATTATGAACCTCGCCACAGGTATCCATTGGTCTTTTTAATGTCTTCGTCTGTTTTTGTTTGTTTGTCGGGAAAGCCCACTAAAGAATATGTCTGCATCATAGAAATACCAGGCATTTCTCTTCAGTTCTTTGCCAAGAGATAAGTGGGAACAATTCTAGGTTGGATCTAGATGGATGCTTGATCTACAGCACTGGTGGAAGTAAATTTTTCTATACCCTTCTTCTCATGGAAACCCTATCTACCGATTCTAAAATGCTACACAGAATCAGAAGACCTTAATGAACAGGGCAAGCCATGGTATATGGAGCAGGGCAGGGGATTTCTAAGAATCAGGCAAATGGGCTTTCTGCAAATAGAGCCTGTTTCTTGTGGTAGGAAGATTCTGGATTCAACCCATTAATTCTTTTAATGAGGAGCAAAATTACGAGAAACATTTCTCCCAATCAGATAAGTAAAATGCTAAAAAGACCTCCCTTCAACCAGAGTTGAAAGCAAATGACTTTGTAGCTTTTAAGGAGTAGATAATATGGCACTAATTATTCCAATTTGGCACTAGTACTAACATAATTACATTGGGCTAATGTAAGCGATGCCACTACTGTAATGCTAATAGTGTTTGCTGACACAGTGTTTCTTCCAGGAAAATTTGCCATGCCAACAAGCCCTACTGACACTCCCACACTGGATATTTTCCCTTAACTTGACATTTCTTGAAGAATATATATGGTGACATTTTTCTGTGTACTTGGATACAGATGCATGTATGAGGGAGGGACAGGGTGGGGAATTTCAAAGATAACATAGCTGTGCCTACACTCTTGTAAGAGCTACTGTATGCATCTAAACATGGTCATTAAATGCATAGGCTTTTATCTTGAAATCTGCATAAAATTTGCAAATACTGTTCCCAGAGTTTTAAAATATAGAATAGTTTTTGTATGCCTTTGTTAATCACCCAAAAAACTTATGAAATTGAAATTTTTCATGCTTCTATTTTACATTTAGTAAAAGAAAGGGACAAGAAACAGTTGCACTTGAGCCTGTAGCAGCATAGTTAAACTTACTAGCATGTTTGTGAAATACCATTAATTAAACTCTAAAACCCCCAAAAATGCAATGTTATAACTCACCAACCATTAAAGCCTTATTGTAACCACCAATTCAGTCTAACATTCATATTAATTAACAGTTTTTATAAATCTGCACTTTAATCAGTCCTGTTTATTGATACAAGCTGTATCATTTTCAAAGATATCCTTTACCTCCTTAATAATGCAGGATGTCAGAAGTTAGTTGTGAACTACTGGAAAAAAGATATGCTAAGTTGTAGAGGGGAAAGCCAACACCTTCCTTTCTTTCTTATAGGCTTGATGCTGGGACCTTTGGGACAATGGGAGTTGGATTGGGTTTTGCAATAGCTGCTGCAATGGTTGCAAAAGATCAGGATCCCAAGCAACGAGTGGTCTGTATTGAAGGAGACAGTGCCTTTGGTTTCTCTGGTATGGAAGTAGAGACTATGTGCAGGTAAGAACCTTTGCCTGATTTAGTTTTTAAAATCATTTTCAGTGTCATACAGGGCAAGTGTTGCTACTGTATGAAGTAGCCACGTTTCCCCAAGACTGTTCTTAAGAATGTATTTGTGCTTGTGAATTCACTGCAGGTATAGCTTGCCTATCATTATAATCATTGTCAACAACAATGGGATATACAGTGGCTTGGATGCAGATACTTGGAAGGAGATACTGAAGCTTGGAGAACCTTCTGCATGGTGGGTAATTCTGTGCTGGACCTGCTTAGTCAATTTAATTGTTAACATTTTGCTTTTGTAAATGTGAAGTATATCTAAACATGTTAGAAGTTACATATCATAATACTTCTTAGGTTATATCATGCTTAGTTAGATTCTATTGAGTCAATGGGTGTTAGGCACCTGTACTATATGGAGTTCAGCATAAGAACAGAAGAAAAGCCATGCTGGATCATTCCAAGGGTGCATGGCCAATGAACTGCCCAGAGGAAACCCAGAAGCTGGACAAGAGTTCAATAACACCCTCCCACCCATATTCCCCAGCTCCTATCATACATTGGCATACTGCATCGATACTGGAGATTGCATATGACCATCACAACTAATAGCCACTGTTCCTCCATGAACTTGTCCAATCCCCTTTCCAGGCCATCCAAAGTGGTAGCCATCACTACATCTTGTGCAAGTAACCTCCATTGTTTAACCAAGTGCTATATTTGCATGCACTTCAAAAGGGGCCACTCCTGACAACAGCTAAGCTGCTGCATTCCACATTAGCTCAAGTTTCCATATCAGCCTTAAGGACACCCCCACATAGAATTGGATCAGCTGAATTAGTCCCCCACCCCACCCCCCGTGGTCCCTGCAAATTTTCACTTTACTCCTCTCACAACTTTGGAGCAAAGACTAACCCAAGGTATGCCCCATTTCTGACAAACTGAGACAGTGTTGTGGTTGTTGGGGAGGCAGCAATGGCACAGTGTAGCATCACACAGTGTACGTCGACTGAGAGTGATTGTGATACAGTTGCTAAGGCAACAGAACATCCTTTAATGAAAGATGGTGATAATTCACCAGGAGATGTTCTCCTTTCTTACTGGGAAATTAGAAGGAGGAGAATGTATATAGCCATAGAGGGGACAGGAAGACTGGGGACAGGACTCAGGTATTCTCTGTACTGCAAGCAAAGAGAACCCAAAGGTCCTAGGGTAGTATTTCTGGCAGCACTGTGTCAGCAATGCAGAGAGGAAAGCTTTCCCTGTTCACAGCTGTCTGTGCTGTTCTCTTAGGGAAGGAGGAAGTTAACTAACCTTGTAAGGGGAAGGAATAGAGAAAGTGGTCATATAATGTGTGCATGTGTAAGGAGGCAGGAGTATGCATGAATATATGCTTGCAGAAGAAGAAAAATGGAAAACCAAGTGTGAACACAGATGCATACCATGCATAAGTACCACAATGACGTCTTCTGCTAAGATGACCTTGAAAAACTCCAGGTATCTTTTTTTAGTACTTTTGGGCTGGTGGAAGACATCCAGTATGCTTTGAAACTGAATGGAGGCCACCAAAAGGCTCTATTTTGCTACTGCTGGGAATTCCTGTGGTTCAACTGAAAGCAATCTTGGAACTGCTGTCTTAGTAATTAAATGTGCCATGAGCCATCTCCCTAAGGCACTAGGAAAACAAAATTTCTCTATTTGGGCCTGATACTTAGCAATTTGGCAGGATGGGCATTTATATTGCTACTTCAGTTGCATTGACACCCTGAGAAAGGCCAACACTTCTCTTGCTTCATTTCAGTGTGCCTCCAGTTTCCCTGTTGCCGAATGCCCACTATGAGCAGATTATGTCTGCCTTTGGTGGCAAAGGGTACTTTGTACAAACACCAGAAGAACTGCAAGCTGCCCTGAAAGCAAGCCTGGCAGAAAAGCACGTGCCTTCTCTTATTAATATAATGATTGATCCACAATCAGACAGGAAGAAGCAAGTAAGTGTGCCCAGTTTTAGCCTTCTACCCTGAATTGTAAATGTATGGCCATTACCTTGTTAAGCAGAATAACCTTTCTACAGTGTCATATAGCTAGATGGGGGTTGCTGGGAGTTGTAGTCCAACATACCTGGACGGTATCAAGTTCGTAAAGTCAGACACATAGCATGAATTCAGTAGCATTTGCTTAAGCTACAACTTGCTTTTGCAGATTGCAAGGTGGAAACGTTAGCAGCAAGTAGAATAAGGCAATTACTCTTGGTAGACCTCATGATTAAAAGGACAGTAACACAAACTTCCTAATATTGCTGCACCACACTCTGTATGTCCCCCAGACATGCTTTTCTTGAGAATGGCTACTCTGAAATCCTCTGTAGTAGTGTAACTCAAAGTCAGACAGGTCTGAACTGCCCCTCACCCTGCTTCCCTATTGCCATCACCAGTTTTGCCTACCATGCACAATATCATAAGGAAACATTAACTTGAAGCTGTGTTCACCAAGTACTGCAAAATAACTTACAAGCATGTGGAGGGGAAGAAGTAAGATCCTGATTGCAGCAGCAGTCCTGGGGAAAAACAAGGGTATCTAGTGTTGAATGTTAAAATTCTTAACCTTGTTTGCTGTGAATGCAAAAGCCTTTATGGATGGAGATGAGACTTACAGGGTATCTAGCCTTCTGAAGTGTTCTCCTAATCTTACTTCACATGAGAAAAGGTCTAGACCAGTCCAAATACCATTTCTAAAGGATTTTGTGTTTTTGGGTCCTTGCAGATTGGCACCACTGTTGCTACTGATTTGCACTTTGATGTTCAGGGAGGTGGAAGAGGTGGATAGGCCTCCATTGTACATCTAGTGTGTGTGTGTGTACATACATATGCACACACAAAGCTTTTCCTTTCTTTCCTCAGGTGAAACACTTGCCTTGTGAGAAAGTTTGGCCAGCCCTTCCTTTACAGTGTACATGGATAGCTTTTTGCCTTCCAGATGGCTTGGCTTACAACTCTCATCATCCCTCACCATTGGCTATACTGGCTAAGGCTGATGGAGGTTGTAGTCCCAAACATCAGAAGAACTGCAGGCTGTCCATTCCTGTTTAATAATTGTAAACTGAATGTTTCTTCTTTTTAAAATTCAACTAAAGCTCTGAGTACTGCCACAACACCAATATTTGCTTTTGTTTTCTATGGCCAGAAATTTGCTTGCATGATTCTTAATTCCTAGATGTTGAGTATTGCTCTTTTTTTGTATTCTCAGGATTTTCATTGGCTGACCCGCTCTAACATGTAGCCTAACATGCACAGTATGGAAATCATGAGCCAAATGCCAATATAAACTCAAATGAATGGACTTCCATTGGCAGCACCCATCAAGATTTGAGGCCTGCACTCAAGATATGCATATCAGCCCCTCTTCTATGCTGTATATTTTTTTACTAGACACCCATAGCAGTAAAACAAAACCTTCAGTGTCATCTGCATCCTTCTGTTTGATCTCGAGAGCAGAGGGAAGCTCTTTCAAATACCGAGAGGTTTCTAAAAAGGAAATCTTCCAAAGCAAGAATATTGATTCTTCCGGAGGGAAGTTCAGTCCTCCTCATGATGAGCAAGTAAGTTTTTCCGTTCCAAGATCATTCTGCTTGTTTTCAACTTGGAGGTTTTAGAGAATATCTGATTTTATCTTGTTTCTGATTTCCCTGCCATATGAAAACCCTAAACATCTTCAGGCAGCCAGTTCCCATTGTATTCTCATCCTTACAAGCCATGCCTTGTTTAAGAGCTCGAGTGGGTAGCTCTGCAAGAACTTGTAAAAATCAGCTGACATAAGCCTGGTGCTCTAGATGCAAAGATGAACTCTCAGATAATAACAGACCACTGAAGAAAAGGCCATTTGACTTTGGAATAGGAAATACCTGCCTTTCAGCTTCTTTTCTAATTTATCCCACTCTTTCTCCTCTCTAACTTGAAGAAAGCATCTGTGTTGTCTTGGATCTAGGTACAGTTTCCCATCCAGTGAAACCTCTCATGTGTCCTTCCGACTCCCATTGCCCTGTTTTTTCCTTACTTGGTTTTGGACTCCCCTCCATCCTTCCAAAATAGTCAGACATTGTTCTCTCTCTGTCTCTTTCTCCAACCTTCTCTATGCATGCAACTTTTATTTCTATCTTTGTAATGAAATGTCTGTTTCAAGACTAGCTTGCAATCTCCTTATACTTTCCCCACCCGGGTGTACCAGACTTTGGATTAAAGACCCTTACATGTGTCATTCAGGTACTTTTGCATGAGTTCATACCTGTGTAGGTAAGGGCACATTTTTGGCTGTATGTAGTGTCTCTTTCTTCGTCATGGTCTCTGTGCATCACACATTATGGGTGCTGCGCCTGTGCAGTGTTTGTATTCGGGAAGATTTCATAGCTTTAATGTTTTTTGGCAGGAACTCTGCACCCCCTCCCCGGTATAAATGGGTGGAGTCCCCGCCTCCTCATCACTCTCCTTCCGACTGCCGTTCGCTGTGCCTCGGGCTCTTTGCTTACTCTAATTTTTTCTCACACAAAACTACCTTATTCTACTTGTCTCCAACTTATTTCATGTCTCTGTTTCCCTGATATTCATCTCCTAGTTCTTTCCAACCTCCAAGAAACTCCTTCACTCTTTTACCCTTTCCCTCTTCCCCCACTTAAGCTCTATCCCCCCCCAAAAATACAAAAAAGTAAACCCTTTTATCATCATTCTTACTATCCTTTCTTCTACTGTCCTCGATGACGCAGCAGGCAGCGTTTCGTAAGTGTGTCCAGTATGGGGCAAAAATGTCACCCACAACCCACACTCTTTTTGTCTTCTTTACCTTGGTGAGGGCCATCACATGGACAAGTGTGTCCATTGCCAAGCCTTCACCCGGCAAGCTTGGAAGAATCAGGAGAATCGCCTAAAGAAGTTGCTTTGGGACCAAGCACTCTTGGCGATGAAGGGGGCTACCATGGCTCCCTCCTCCACTACTCCCGCTTCTGAGATGAGCGCTCCCCACCATCCTGTGCAAGAGGAAGGAACTGGTACCAAGGGCAAGCACTCTGATCAGTCTCGATCGCCAAAAAAGAGGAAGGAGAAAAGAAAGCATATCAAGACCGAGGGGACCGCTGGCTAGCATCCACATATAAGTGCTGTCGCTGAAATTTTGTGGCAGACGTTGGCTTATAGATTGCATGTATGGAAACTTGTCAAAAACACACGTCTGAATGATGTTTCTGAAGTTGTACTGCTAAAACAATTTTTAAAATTGAACTGTAAAAAAATTCCTGCCATTTGTTTTTACCATTGTAGCCATTGACTGCAATTCCACTCTCTCCACAATTCTGAGAAAGCAAGTTTCTCTTATTTTTGCATCCTTGTTGCAGGCTACACTCTTGTGTACAAAATTAACACAAAGAAAAATAGTGTTCATCAAGAGTTCATGACCACAAATAGCAATTTTTAAATCATCTTTGTTGTACTCTTTAGTTTCGTTTAACATTTGGATTAGAATCTGGCCTAGTTATATACTGTAGTCCCATTAACTTTAGTGTGAAGCAGAGAAAAATGTTAACTTTTTTCCTAATCATTCCATCCATTAATATCAATGAAATTTAAAATTCCTCACTATTGGCTGGTTCGTGCCAATGTGGCATAAGTGACATAACACTACAGTTTTCCCATTTTATAAACACTGGAATTCCCCCACCACTCCAGATAAATTCATTTTCTGACTTTGTTTTTCCATGCTTAAGTCAGAATAATAGAAAGCTTTGCAGACACCACATTTCACTTTTTAAAAAATCAGATTCCATACAGATTGGAAGAAATAAAGAACAAAATGAAGAACAAAATGAAAACTTTGGCTGTGGGTTTCTTTGATGAATTCATTTTGCCAGTCAATTGGCAATTTCAAGCTTTGTATTTGAACTGAGAGAAATGCTGGGCAAATAAGTTCAACATACGCCTGAAGACCACATGAGGCCTATTTTCCAAAAGCAGTGTTCTTTATTCTTCATGTCTGTTCAATGCCACCAGAGGGTGTACATCATTCATGGTTCTCTTTTTCAGAATGAAATATTATGGAAAGTGATTTCTTTTTAACTGAAATTTCCATAAATGTATACTGGATTGTAAAATGACAATATTAATGAAACCATAGAAGATTGCATAAGCGATTTTGATAAGATTTTAGTATGACAATGAAACCATGGAAGAAAAATTATTGGCATATCAAATAAATCATGTGTAATAATAGCACCGGCTGTGTCACTTTAAAAAAAAAATTATCAATAGGAGATTGATTTAGTTCATCAGTATGCACAGTTCTGTTCGATTTATTGCTCCCTCTTTATGTGCACAAAAAGTTAATCAGAACTCCAGAGATGGCAGGAATTGGATACAGTTTAAGCTCTTGCAGGCTGGAGACATGTCACCTGTTTCACTGGGGCGCAGCCATAAGAAGAGTTCTGCCAGATCAGAACGAGCATCTCATTTCAACAGTGGCCAGGTAGCTGCATCAGCTACCTGGTGAAGGCAACAGCATTAAGAACTTATGAAGAGCCACGCCAGGTCAGATCAAAGGTTTTTCTCATCCAGCATTCCATCTTCACAGTGGCTGAGTATGGGTAGTCTGTAAGTAGGACATGAGTGTAAGACTACCTGTCTTGCGTTCCCTGGTATCGAATAGAAGGCACACTCTCTTGATAATGGAAGTAATGCATGGCTCTCATGGCTAGTGGGCATTAATAGCTTTATTCTCTGCAAGTTTATCTATTGGAGCATTAAAAGAGCCATACTGCACTCTGACTATGTAGCTTATATTTGTCTAACCTCTATTTAAAGCCATCTAAGCCAGTCGTCTATTTCCACACATTGCGATGAATTCCATTGCATGAAGAAGCACTTTGCCTAGTATTATTCTGGCTTTATACCTCAAGCAATTTGATGTGAGAGGAGAATGGAGATGTAGCAGCTACCCTTTGGCCAGTATCATTGCCTTTTATATATTGGTTGCAAAGGAGCCTGCCAATAGTGCAAGGCTCTAGCGTGAACCAAGCAGCTTCTTTGAATATCTGAGCTCACTGCTCAAACCTGCCACCAGATCATGTATGAATAAATCAGATACCAATAACTTTTGGGAAACTTACTGCTTATCTCCATTGTAGAAATGCTGTTTTTCTATTCCTTCCATGACTTGTTCTTTAAGCTTCCCACTTGACCTGTCCCAATATTTGTTTATCCCATGTTTTCTTTATCACCCAATAGCCAAAGCTCTCTAGGCAGTTCACAACTACTAAAATACAGCATGGTAAAGATATAATATAAAGGGTTTAAAGTTTAAAACTAGAGTATAAAATAGTGCATATACACCTATCAGCAATGTACAGTTTTAAAGTGCAGTAAGAATAAAAGGTGAAACACTAAAATGCCTTAAAAAATAAGGTATTCATCTCATGCCAGCTATGTCACAAATGTGGTGCCAGGCAAACCTTTCCACAGCCAGGGTGACACAACAGAAAAGGCTCTCTTCTTAGCCACCCACTTCAGTTTCTTTGGAGGCAACTTTAAAAAAAAAACCCAAATGTTCCTCAGTGTTACACTGTGAGTGTGCTGAAGCCTTTGATGTTGAATCCTGGTGGTTGTAGCCTCTCAATGGTAAGAGGAAGACACCTTCCAGTGGTGGGGTTTTTTTACATGAACCATGATCGAAGGTGAGGTTTTTATCATCCCATCATCCTGTCTCATTCACAGAATTTTTCAGGGAGTCCAAACATCTTCATTTTTTTCTTGTAACCTCTTATTTCCCCCATCACTTCTTTTGTCATTTTTCTTCACACACACACACACATATGTACGCCACCAAGGAAATGACAGAATACTTGTAGGAGACCAGCCCAGAAGCACTTTGAATCCCCACACAGAAAACACCCTCTCCAAAGTGCTGGACCTACTATCAAGCAGAGCAAAACCTTTGCCTCAAAGCAGCAGGACTTGGTATCATGAAAGGGAAGCAAATTGTTAGTGTTTTAACTGATTATGATCATATTTTACTAGTATGGCTGGGGAACAATGCTTGCAATATAAAATAAGTTGCCTGGCTTTGGTTTACCCTTCGATTTGGCTTTGTGAGGGTGTGCTATTAGCCATTCCACCTGAGCAAGCAAAATGTTTCGGTTCATCCCTCCCATTCACAAATCAAGCTGTCCTCTCCACTTTCTAGCTAACCACATTCTGTAGGACTCCTATAATATGCTAAGAGGCCGTGTTATTTTCCACATAGGAAGGGTTGGTGAATTCTTTGAACTATGAGAAAGAGGAAGACTTTCTCTTTAAAGATGAGATGGCTGAAGGTTTTCTGTTTATTTTTAAAGAAAAAAGCTTGCAACTAGTGGCATTCACTATTCAGTGTGGGAAAAGGCAGTCCTATGGGAACACCACTGTGTCATGTAGCATTGGCAGAAGGTGGCTGCCTTCATCAGCCAATTAAAGAAATGGCAGTTCTTTCTCCATGTCACTTGATGGGAAATGCTGTATGGATTAGGCATGAATTCCATGAGACTTCTAAGCACTGTTAGGATTTCAAACCAATTTGGAAGGCCGGCTGATGGCTCATATGTCAGTGGGCTCTTTATCCATTACTGCTGTTAAATTGGTGGTGAATCTATTTTAGGAATGGTGTTAGCTCCATGGAGATAGCTCCCATGAAGCTCAAAAGAAAGCTGCTATGGATGAGGATCCCTCTTGACCCAGGAGATACCAGCATTCCCTGCCAGTTAGCATATTATGAAAGGAACACAAGACATCTCCCTGTATTGTTACATGCCACAGAGGACCCTTTGATCCATCAGCTAATTGCTTTCCAGAACTGGAGGAAAGAATCTGTGCAGACACACAGCAAAAATATTATCTTGGCATTTTAAAACGTCTGCTCGAGTTATTAAATTGACACTAATTCTCTGCAAATTTTGTAAGGAAAATGGAATTATCAATTTTCATTTCTAAACCAATGTGTGTGCCACTTTTCTGTACTGCTTACAGAGCTAAATAGGTACTGAATGAATGAATTAGTAGCCCCTCGTTCTCATTGCTGCACTTCAGATATTTCACTCCTTTGGTCTGAAAAAAAAAAGTTTGACATACTTGCTTCTTATGAAAGTTGTCTGCTTGCAGAGGAAAGCCAGGTTGCTGCCAGTTTGCTCTCACATTTGTTACTGTATTCTTTCTTCTCTTTAAATACAGATAAAGGCTGCTGAGTCAAACACAGGGAAAGCAAAAGCAGCTCTTCCTTTAATTGAATTGTTGTGAGTTCTTGTAGAGAAACTGGAAAGCTGGTTCATCCTGCTAATTGCCAAGGCAGTTCAATATGCCTAGTCCCTTTAGACCAGGGCAGCCAATGGCCTGCCAGCCTCAGGCATTGCTGTGCCCCTTGCCCTGCTCCTGATGAATTTGCAGCCGCAGTGACAGTGGAGGCCGTGACAAAAATGCTGATTTAGCAACAGAACAAGGCATGAGGGGAAGTGCAGTTCTCTAGCTGGCTACAGCCACCAGCATCTCTGACCATTGGGTATGCTGGCAGGGGTCAATGTGAATTTAAGGACAAAATATATGGAGGGCATTTGCTTAGGGAAGGCTGGTCTAGCCATACCAATCTCCCAGGGCTGACTTGGATGCTACCTCTACTATATTGTGAACAGATACCTCCCCACCCACCCTCCGTGTGTGCTACCCCTGCCTCACACACTCCTAGATGTCCTCACAAGGCACAACATTGGAATACATCCTATAGGTAAAAGCCCAGATTCTGTGGTCATTTGCTGGATTTCATCCAGGAAATCAGCAGAGCAAAGGCAATTTGCTTCTGTGCAGCCTGAAGTGCCTGATCCTGCCTATTCTTGGAAGCTAAGCATGGTAGGGCCTGGTTGAAATATGGATGGGTGACTTAAATTTTATGAACTGCCCAGAGACCTTAAGTTACAAGTGGTATAAGAATGTTATTAATTTATATTATTTATGTTAATGTTGATAATTAACATTTTAATGTTAATTATTAATAATAATGTTTACTATTATATAAATATATGATGATTAAGAATGTTAACAACAACAACATTTTATATGTGCTGCAATTTAAATTAGTAGGTTGTATGTGAGTTTGATGGCCCTTGTGGAAGAGGTAGGGGAGGCATGTCAGGAGGTGGGCGGGAAGTAGGCATGTTGCCCCCCACCCATGTTTTGGCCACATCAGGAGAAATGATACTCCTATCTAGACATAATAAACCATGAGTACTGTGTGAGGAGGAGGAATGTGCTAGCCTGACCCCTTCTCACACATTTCTATCAACTTATACCTGTGAAGGGCAGTGGTCTTAAGGACTTCCTGTATCCATCTAGCCTCTCTACATGATTTTAAAGGCTGCAGACGGTAGTATGTGCAGTCCTGAGGTAGGTCAGTGACTTGTCCTGTGCCATGTGCAGAATGCATGCACCACAGAAGATGCCAGAGAATCCTCTGCAATGCCAAATGCCCATGGAAGAAGTTCCTCAACAAACAATTTAGTGTTGAAACTTTCCTAGGAAAGGGACAATTTGAATACCGCAGTCTTAGAACTCTTCTTTTGTCAGTTGCTGAATATCCAGAACACTTTCAATAAATTAGGGGCTACTATTTGTGTGTCATCACAGTCCATAACTCATGTTTGTTCCAGCCCTAATAATGTACAATAGATTTTTAATGGCACTCTAATATCTATGTATAATTTGTTAAGCACTGTAAAATCTTGAGGTGATCTATAGAAATGAAAATCACTGTGCAGAAGCATGAGGCTGCTCTGGCCCGATCCCAGTGTAGAAGCATTTGTTGGGGGGGGGGGGGAGAGGATTAAATAATGAAGGCAGTTATTTTGGTGATTGCCTGGTTATCAATCAGAGAATGTGGTTCCCTGCTCTACCTCAGATCTTGCCTTCCCTCTCTTTATTAGCACTCTGACTATGTTTTAATAGCTGGCATTTGTGATGGGGGCATCTGATCCAGGGCTGGAGTTAAATATAGCCCTGTCTAGTGTAAGGAGAAGATTTAATGGGAAATGGTTGGCATTCTTTCTTTCCAAAGCACACACAGAAGAGAGACAGAGAGAGACATGCACACATAAACATACCCAACCAGTGAGGGAGTGAAGGGAAGCAAGCAAGCAAGGCAGACGGGTGGAGAAGACAGTGGACAAGGTATCTGCAGCCCTCTCATTGGAATTATACAGCCTGAAGCCAGCATGGTTGTCCTTAGCTGCATTGCTTTGGGATTTTATCTTCAGCTCCTTTTCTGCTTTGCTTTATCTCAGACCTCTTTTGTTGACAGTGTCTTCTCAATTTCAGCCGGTAAGTGACAACATTGCTTTATTGATAGGGACTTGCATTTCTTTTAGGTGTTTTAAAATGTTCTGGTCATTCTAACTGTTCAGAATCAAGAAGGGTGTGTGTGTGTGTTTACACACACACACACAGGGTGAGGGAGAATACAAATGCATTTTTCCCTTTCTTTTTTCAAAACTGTTCTTCTTTGTTGTATTCTTATACTAGGAGGCTAATGTTTCCTATTCAATAGTAATGGACCATGTTCTCACAAAATAGAAACTTCTCTGTTAAACAGCAGTGATGCTTTATTGAAGCAACAAATGTTAACTTGAAGGTTTGTACTTTGCGCAGACATACATGAAGAGGAGAGATGAACCACAATGTATATCCATTTCTATTAATATATCCTTGACCTCGTCTAGTGCTGCAGGCTTTAAACTGCTTGTTAGCAGAGAGAACATGTTTTGGCTATAGTGAACAGTAACAAAGACTCCTATGACTTTCATAGCAAACAAAATCCCACTGCATGGAAAAAAACCTGATAGGTGTGAGGCAAAGGTCATGAATTGTCCAAGAGAGGGGAATCCTATTTTCTACTTGAATCCCAGAGGCTTCCTTGCAGCAGTGAAAAGGAGCCAGGGAATAGGAACTGTGGTTCTTTTACAGTGAAGTTCTTGTCATCATCATTTGGGGATGGAAAGTTTCTTTTCCAGTACAGAGGTTCCAAACAGAACACTGGTTTCAAATCTTTCTAATCTAACGGTGGCTCTTCTTTATGCCAATTCCCATTTTACAGTTTCATCCTTACCAGATATCATGTCTATCTGCAAGACAGTGTAATTGCAAACGTGTCTATTTCCAAGATGAATTTCACAGCAGTATGAAAGAAATACTGTCTCCTTTTTCTGAACCTATTGCAACTGCATGCAGTGATGGTAAGGATTCAGGAGGTGTCTTTTGAAATAGATGTGGGAAACCTATGGAACTCCAGATATTGTTG